GGTGGGACGGAGTGAACTGCTGCGCAACAAACCTGTCTATTGCTTGGTTTTTCTACTAGTTCAACTAAATACTACACACTTTTGTACGTCAGATCACTGTAAGAAAAAAAACGAATAACAACCGGATTATCGCATTGGCACCTATAAATTGTGAATGATTGGAAATGAAGTATTTTCATCAATGAATCATTACTACTGAGCTGGTGGGTGTGAAGGAGCCGAAAGCGAAGCTGGTGGTGCTGGGGACGCTGCTGAGAGGCAGGGCAAGAGCCGTATATGACAACTTGGACGGAGCTGGCGGAGAGACGACATGGTAGGCGGTCACCGAGCAGCTGATGACGGAGTTCGACAGCCCAGTGGACAGGGAGAAGGCGATGAAGGAGTTCCGGTTGGCGAGGCTGTCGGCTGGTGGTGACCCGTTGGTGCTTGCTGTGGAGCTCATCAGATTTTTGCGCAGTGCGCTATCGAACATCGATGAGGAGTCGGAGGCACAGTTGTTGACGTCGTAGTTTATCAAGAGTGTGCCTGCCGCCTTGTCCCAACAGCTGAGACTAGTAAACGCAGCGCGACCTATGGACATCGGTGAACTGGCGAAGGTGACTCGTCAGCTGATGACAGGAACACTTGGTTGAGAAATAAACCGAAACAAAAATCGACAATTATCTCAGTCGCGCGCGCGCACGCGAGAGAGAGAGAGTGAGAGAGGGAGAAAGGATGAACACATACAGATTAAAAAGAACACACATAACACAATGGACCCTCTAACCCTTACATCATGTAAATGACATCCTTTATTGGCGGCATTCCCTGAATCACCACTATCCACCAATTGAATTTGTTCAGTTGTTAAATAATTCAATAATGATTCTTGTTTTTTCAATTCAATATCCAATTCTTCATTCGTATCAGGCAATTCTAATCCATGATTGAATTTTACTGGCGGGATATATGGTTTCAATGAATAAGCTGGATGTGGAAATAACCAATGCAAATGATTTGAATCATTCTCATTCTCATTATCATCAGTATTATTCAATGGCTGCAATTTGTCAGGATTAATGAATATTGGCAATGTTGGATCTAATTTGCATAGATCTAAGGAAAAATCTGTAACACATGGGACAAAAAAACAAAACAATATAAGAATGAATAGATGAATTGATTGTGAAATAATATTTGAAATCATCAATCAATCATTGTTAGACTAACATTAGAAACCTGGAAGCACTAGACGGCCGTTTCGTCCTGGTATGGGACTCATCAGTGGCAGTGCGCATCCACGACTCCTGCTCCTGGCAGGATTCGAACCCGGTACCTTCGGCATTGTAGGCGAACGCCTTATCATCAGACCACTGGGCCAGCATCCAACGGTGTTAATGTCTAACTCTGATTGATCTAGGGATTTTGCGCGACCTCACCCGTTTGCTTTGGTAGTTACTGCCTACACCCGACAGGAATGAACTCCATTGGTCACGTCTTCTCACCCTAGAACTCCGAGAATTTCCTCACGAAGCTAGTCACTAGTGAGCACTGTTACGATATTTTGGGGCAGAGTTTTGGAGGTTTGCGTTTTTACACATTTGAAATCATCAATCAATCAATGATTGTTAGACCACCATTAGAAACCTGGAAACACTGAATATTGAACGGAATGAGTGAAAATTTTCAAATGAAATAAATACTCCAATTAGGAATTTAATGTGAAATTTTGGTGAGTTTAAAATTAAATTAGAGTTGATGGAGGCCCCATATTCATTAATCAATTTTCTCACGACCGTAGCTGCTATCTTGACACGTGGTGGTCGCGCTTGCCTATCGTGATGACCCAACCTAACTATATTGGCTGGAACATATGTTCCTGTAGGTTCTACCATGCCAAGCAGGTCGATTGGAGAACAATGAGACTAAAAGCAGCTACTCAAGATCTGAGGGCGAAATTGAACAGCTGACTGCTTAGGGGTATGACAGCAGTAAGGTGTTTCCCTCGGACAACTAGTATCTGCAGCGATGCTGCTGCCTTCTCACAAGGAAGGAAGGGTTAGAAAAGGTCGACCCTAAAAATGTCACACCTCACCCTACCTCACGGATTTCCGTCTCCGCTGGTAAGGGTGCCCACTAAGGGCTTTCAAAAGCGGAGCTAACACTTGAAAAACTACCCATAAATATGCCGTTTATGACTGGTCTCAAGCAGTTGCCCCTTGGGCTCTGCTCTGCGGTCACGCTCTCAGGTCTCTAAGACCAACACTAATCTATCTTCCTTTTCACGTCCCTCAAGAAACAACCTTCCACGGTGTGGGCAGCCGGGAAGTGACATCCGCCCTAATACCCGTAACAGCACATGAGACCAAACTGGTTACAATCAAAAAATCAATTTTCTGATTAAATATTATTCTTTTAATTAAACAATTTACTACTATTATTAATTTTTTTAAAAGTCATATGACAACTAGTTTAAAAAAACGCATATATTCTCTGAATTCCACTGTCAACTACTCACTATCTTTATTTCTGTTTTAGAATGAATGAATGTGACCTAATGACAACAAACAGTTCGAACTATCAGTGGGAACATTTAAACTGTCAGTAAAAAAAAAGATGTTTTAAACTTCAGTCGATTGCACAAGTCACCCATTTGAAGTGAACGGTAATGAATGTGTTTGAGTCCTGGAGTGGACATCAATTTTACGATGTGATGGGTTTTAAATAAGACGAAACATGAGTCCCTACATTCCACTGCTAGTCACTCTGTTCATCTCTGCTTGCTCATGGCTCCGAATTGGCTACAACTGAATTCTTCAACACCTCTAGTTTTGACTTTCTAAACTTTTCTCACTGAACCATACTTCTTGAATAATATCTTCTAACCCTAACCTCTCCGATTACTTCTAATTCCCTTACTACCTTTTCTACTATTGGATTTGAATTGACAATTATATCTGTGTGCTGATGTGGTATGGCAACATGAACTGATGTACTTACGTACGAAGTTCTACGTTGCATGTGACTGACTGACTGAGATTAATATTGTCTACGGCTAATTTGTTCTAATAATATTGATAAAGTCATGACTTGCACTACTATTTAAACAATTTTCTTGACATCAATATGAGAGTTATGTACATTGTTGGATTTCATTTAAATCATGAACTGATCAAAGTGAGACCATCATCTTTCAATGATGGTCAGTCAGTCAGTCAGTTAGTAAGTAGAATTTCGTACAGACATCAGTTCAGGTTGCCATACTCTATCAGCACAGAGACGCAGCTGTCAGTTCAAATCCAAGAGTGATATCGATAATAGAAGTATTAGGAGTTTTCTCCACCAACTCAGTATTAGGAGTAATGGAGAAGATTAGGGAGCGAAGCTATTATTCGTCAAGTATAATTCAGTAAGATAAATTTATAAAGAGAAAGATAGAGATTATGAGGAATTCAGAAGGTTAGAGTTTGGGAGAACACAAAGAGTGGATGCACCTGCGCCATTGCAAACGATTTTGAGCCATGTCATTTAAAGTCTCTAATCATCGATTACTATTGTCTCGCGGCCCCCAACCAGTTAATCTACATCTACCAACATGACTCAGTCCCAGTTGTCAACGACTTCATGGATTTGTGCCATGTTTCAGTCTGGCTATCCCTAGCTTTCTTCTAACCTACTACTCCTACACACAACAAAACACATAGCCACATCAAATGTAAAACGAAAAACCCGCGCCAAAAACAAAGTCAAACAAACAAACAAACAAGTGGACATATTACCTTTCGGTGGTGTAGAATTCAACAAGATACCTAATAATCGATGACTTATGCCTAAACATGGCGATAAAACAATGATAATATTAGCTAATGTCATATGATTTTCATTTGATCGTTGTATAATATGCATAATATGCTGTAGAATCCATGCTAATAGATAACGATTTGGTTTAGGCAATTCTTGATGAATCAATACAGATAAATTATGATAAAATTGTAATTGATTGGTAGTACCGCCAGTAGCAGTCGTGGCAGTCGCAGTGGTTGCTGTTGTAGCTGCTGTCAATGATTCAATCACATTAGTTAAACGTTTAGTTAACAATGGTTCAGGTAGACTACGTAGAAAATGTTTAATAACACTGGCAATCACTGCTGGATCATGCGGTAATATAGTGTTGACTGTGGTGAATGATGGCGGCGGTGGTGAAGTTGTCAATGTCTGTGGTGGACTATTACTACTAGTAGTAATAGTACTGGTTAATATATTGGGCGATTGGTGGTGTTTCATGAATAATGATGCATTTGGAAATAAACCTGTGGTGGACGTTTTCACAGACAATCCATTTGTTGTGGTTGTGGTTGGTGTTGTGGTTGTTGTGAAATGGCCACCAATTGATGTAGGACTACTATGTTTCAAACGATGATGTAACAGTGAATGCGAAGAATGATGTTTTTTTGATTTGGAATGAGCTACAGAAAAAAAGATGAATTAAAGAAAATATACGCAGTATATATTTGTATGTGTGTGAGTGAGTGAGTGTGTAGATGTGAATAAAACAAGCCAATCAAACGAACAATAAAACCAGTCAGTCAGTATTAGGGGGTGTAGGAAGGATTTGATTTTGACCAATTCGGTCTCGTGTGCTGTAACGGGTATGAGGGCGGTTGTCACTTCCCGGCTGCCCACACCGTGGAAGGTCGTTTCTTGAGGAACCTGAAAACGAAGGTAGATTAGTGTTGATCTTAGAGACCTAGGTACGTGATCGCAGAGTCCAAGGGATAACTGCTTGAGGCTTTTTATGAAAAGCTTTTTGAGTGTTAGCTCCGGTCTTGAAATCTCTTAGTGGGCACCCTTATCCGAGGAGACGGAAATCCGTGAGGTAAGGTGAGGTGTGACATTTTTAGGGTCGACCTTTTCTAACCCTTCCTTCCTTGTGAGAAGGTAGCATCACGGCAGATGATGGTTGTCCGAGGGAAACACCTTACTGCTGTCACACGTCTCTACAGTCAGTCAGCAGTATGACTTCGCCCTCAGACCTTGAGTAGCTGCTTTTAGTCTCATCGTTCTCCAATCGACCTGCCTGGCATGGTAGAACCTTCAGGAACATATGTTCCAGCCAATATAGCTCGGTTGGGTCATCACGATAGTCAAGCCCGACCACCACGTCAAGGTAGCAGCTTCAGTCGGGAACAATAAAACCAACCAACCAGTCAACAAACAAACTTTAACTTGTTGTTTCAACGCAAACATACTTAATCCATGATCGAATTATTATTAATATTATTATTTCAAGTGTAGCGTACTGGCGAGCGAATGAGCGACTGAAGCGAATCGTATGAAGCGATGTGGAGAAGGCTAGTAAGCCAACTCCTTGGATTACAATGCGAACGAATGGGCGAGGCAAGCGACGTGGACAGATGAAGAGCGTCGACGAAGGCTAATGAGCCAACTCCAAGGGGATAAAGCATGACTAAGAATATATAGTCAGACAAATATAAGACAGACATGCGACAAGCGAAATAGGCATGCACACATGAATAAAAGCGACGAATAGTTGGCAGGGTCAAATGACAAGTGGAACACGTCATGTGAGCTCCTCATACAAACCAGACAATAATAAGAACGACAGGTACATATAAATTGTTGCAATACAAATGGCTTGGTTAAATAAATTAATCGAAAACTCTTTGCCAAATTAAATGTAAGCGAACTGGAATATATATGGAGGCACTACACAAGTGTTAAAACTTTGATGATCTAAAGTGAAGGTGAAATTTCGTTTAGTCATTTGTGAATGACTGAATTGTGATTAGAAACGAACCGAATAAATTAGAATCATTAAACATGTAAGACAAATGTGGTCAGCTCATTAGCTGTAACGTAGGATTCGGTATGTACGGACATCAGCGCTGGTCAGTCAGTCAGTCAGTTACAACGTAGAACTTTGTATGTTTGCTTATCAATTAAATTTGTCATTACCACATTAGCATATTCACAGAGAGGTATGGCAACCTGAACTGATGTACTTACGTACGAAGTTGTTCTACGTTGTAACTGATTGACTGACTGATACACAGAGACAACATTGTTAACTCAAATCCCATAGTAGTAAAAGTATTAGCAGTAAGCCGAGAGATTACAGTTGGAAGATATCATTCAGAGAAGAGAAAGATAAAGGTAACGGGGAATTGAGAAGATTAGAATTTGAGAGACTACAAACAATAGATACACCTGCGCCATCAGCTCTGATTGACATTACCACATTGGTAGAGCAGAGAGATCGAATTGTCCATTAAATTCGCATAGGAGTAGTACTAGAGGTACTAGAAGTATTAGAAGGAATGGCGAAGATTAGGCTTCGAAGAAATTATTCAAGAAGTATAAATTAATTCACAAGTTTAGAACTTGGGAGCAGACAAAGAATGAATGTCAATGATTTTGAGCTATGTTACTCAAAGTCTCTAACGACTGGTTTCGATTATAGGACGAACCACAAACAGTGGATCACAGCAAGTGCGAGTAAGAGCTACGGATGCATCACTCTTCTCTCCATATTAGCACAAATCTTCAACTAAGTGTTGTTAATCGGAATAAAGAACTCTGTAGACGCTCAACATCGAGATCAACAGGCTAGATTCCGTAAGGATCGATTGTACACCGAGTGAATAGTCATGCTACAGATCATTGTGCAACAATCAACTAGAATTCACCAGTGTACATACACTTCCATGATTGCACAAAGGCATTTGACAGCGTGAATAGGATGATACACTATGAAGGCTTCTTCAACGCGATGGTATAGCTGAGAAGATAGTCAAATTCATAAGGAATTCTTATGATGGATGGAACTGTAAAGCAACTATCAAAGTCAGAATTTTTAATACAAATGTCTAAGCGATTCTACTGCATTAAGTAGAAACTTTGAGAGCCATGAAAGTCATCATCCACAAGATACATGTGTTTATTAAAAGTTGTCTGCGTGAAATACTTAGGATCCGTCGGTCAAACACCTACTGTGGGAAAGAACAAACCAGATTTCAGCGGAGAAAGAAGCACTGGAAGTGAATAGGACACACATTGGGGAATGCACCCAACTGCGTCACAAGGCAAGCCCCCACTTAAAATCCTCAAGGCTGATGCAAAACAGGAAGTCCATCAAACACATTATGCAAAGAATCGGAGACAGACATGAGATGAATGAACAACAATTAGACAGAACTAGAAAGGACAGCGGAGAACAAGAGAGTAAGTTAGAGAATGCTGGTGGTAGGCGGCGTATGCCCCATTGGGAGTAACAGGCGTAAGTCAGTTAAGTAGTCAGTACTTACTATCAGTGGTTTTTAATAAAATACACCATTTAAACTTAACTTAACTTAACTTACATGATGAACTTAAATGACGTAGTTTTCCTTTAGAATTTGAATCTAATCCAGTGAGTAAATGATTTGAACGTTGTTTGGTATAATTCACTTGATTACAATAGAATGTAGCTGATGTCGGTGGAATATCTGGAAATTCTATACCATTATCAATGGATGCAATTACTGCTTGTACTTGTGAATGTACTCCAGGGACCTATATACAAGTTATGTAAACATTATTTTTAGTATTATTATTATTATGAAAGATAATTTTTTAAAAAAATACATTGTAGACAACATAAACAATTGGCTCTTGCCAACCTGCGTGACTTACGGCGTAGGCGTGATATCCGTTCGCTAACCAAAGGACGGGTGTACTGTGCAGCAGTTCGCTCCGTTCTCTTATATGGCTGTGAAACATGGCCGTTAAGAGTAGAAGATGTTCGTAGGTTACTAGTATTCGATCATAGATGTTTAAGAAGCATTGCTCGCATATCGTGGGACAACCGAGTAAGCAATGCTGTCGTTAGGAAACGAGTACTAGGTAGGGATGGCAGATCAATCGATGAAGTGGTGAAACTTCATCAGTTGAGGTGGTTGGGACATGTGTTACGTATGCCTAATCACCGACTGCCTCGATGAGCTATGTTTTGTGGTGTGGGAGTAGTTTGGAAGAAAGCTAGTGGCGGCCAGACCAAAACATGGCAGAAATCCATGAAGTCACTGACAAGTGGACTGAGTCATGTTGGTAGATGTAGACTACCTGGTGAGGGTTCGCGAGACGAAAGTCAACAATGGTTAGAGACCTTGAACGACATGGCTCAAAATCGTTTGCAATTGTGTTCATTCATTGTGTTCTCTCAAATCCTAATCTTCTGCATTCGTCAACACCTCTACCTTTGTCTTTCTAACCTTATCTCACTGAATTATATTTCTTGGATAATATCTTCAAAACCTAGTCTTCTTCATTACCATTAATACCTCTACTATCTCTATCACTATGGGATTCAATTTGACATCTGCGTCTCTGTGCTAATGTGGTATGGCAACATGAACTTATATACATGCGTACGTAGTTCTACGTTGCAACTGACTGAATGTGTTCTTTGATCTACTTCTTTGCCTTCAAAGTTGAGTATTCCAAATGAAGGCTTGTCTTGTGGTGCAGTTGTGGGTGGTTTCCTCAATGTGTGCCGTATCCACCTTCTAAATTTCTCATGACCGTCTATCTCATATCAAATCTATTTCACTAGATTATACTTCTTGAATAATTCTTTTCGAACCCTAATCTTCTCCATTACTGCATCTCTGTATTACAGTGGTATGGCAACTTGAATTGATGTACGTACGTCCGTACAAAGTTCTACGTTGAAGCTGACTGACTGAAAACTAAATAGTACACTATATATAACTGTTTTGTTGAATAGTTTATATCATAGACTGGGTAAGGCTAAACAATTATTAAAAGCCAGAAAGTTCTAGTAGACACATAGTCTTCTCATAGTGTGTAACTGCTTAGCAGTGTATATCTATGACCCAGTCCGTTACTGAAATTAAAAACCTTTCAGTTTGACAGTGAGTGTACTTAACAACCTTAAACTATTTGGAAATTATACTATAAACCTTGGTGACTCTTTATTTTTTGTTCATATATTATCTAGATTTTTCGGTTTAATGAATGTAAGAAACTGCGTAACCATCGTCTAATGCAGCTGCTAGATAACTGATATACTAACAAGGAGGTTCGTAGTCAGTCAGTAACAGTGTAGAATTTTGTAAGTACCTAAATCACACATTATCACACACAGATGGAATTGTCAATTCAAATCCTATACTGGTGGTAGATGCAGTCGAATTATTAGAGATTCGAAAGACAAAATTAAGCATCTCTATCGTATTGAATCTAGAGCGTTTGATCAGTATGAAAACAAAATGATGAAAGTATAAAACAAAATTTTCGTATTGTTAGTGGGACATAGATGGAATTAAAGCATGACTACGTTGCTGCGCGCTGATTGGCTAATTTCCTAATCCAATCAGCGCTTGATCGACTCTTGGAGAACACGATAGAAAATTCTCGTGTTGTTAGCTGCACGCTGATTGGCGAAATCTTTTCCTGTTCTACCGTGTTTTCGATTCTTTGGAATTTGTCCAGTGTATTGTGTGGTCAGAGAATACTAAGCAATAGGAATTAGCTGGGAATTATTTAAGCAAGCGCAAGCGTTACAACACGTATAGAATGGAAAACACATTCAACAGAAGATTTATACGTATTAAGAAAAGAGAGTTGTGAACATGCTTCCATTTCTATAAAATTATGTCGCTCAGGTAATTCATCTTCTTAACTCTAGGAATGGAGTTAGTCAGTCAGTCGGGTACTACATAGTACTTCGTGCCTACTTATGTCTGTTCAATTCAAATCCCATAATAGTAGTAGAGTCTCGTGTGTTGTTACGGGTACGAGGGCGGATGTCACTTCTCAGCTGCCCACACCGTGGAACTATACTTCTTCATGAGATTCCTGACAACGAAGTTGAATTAGCACGGTCATGCACGACCTTTCTATGCGAAGATTGTGTTATCTCCGCTCTTCAAGTGGCCTTACCGCCAGAGACGGGAATCCGTGAGGTAGGGTGAGGTGTGACATTTTTACGGTCGACCTTTTCTAACCCTTCCTTCGTTCCTTGTGGGAAGGCACCATCGCTGCAGATGCTGGTTGTCTGAGGGAAACACCTTACTGCTGTCACACCTCTCTGCAGTCAGCATTACAAATTCACCATTAGACCTTGAGTAGCTTGCTTTTAGTCTCATCGTTTTCCAGTTGACCTACCTGGCATGGTAGTACCTACAGAAACATATGTTCCAGTCAATATAGCTCGGTTGGGTCATCAAGATTAACAAGCTAGACCACCACGTTAAGGCAGCAGAGACGGTGGGATCCGTAGTAGTAAAGGTAGCAGAACATTAAAAGGTTCGAACATAGATCATCATTCAACAAGTATAATTCAGTGAAATCAACTTTAAAGGCAAAAAAAGAGAGAATCAAGCAAAACCATACATAAACAAATAAATCAATTCAATCAATTACTTACACGATAAATTCCTTCAGAACTTAAACCATATTGTTCTATATAATCGATACAATGACGAAAAAATGCCGGTAGAACAATACCATCATGACTAGGATTTCTACTACATGCCACATCTAATGGTACGCCAAAAACAGGCTATCCAGATGAATTCAATGATCAAGATAGAGAAGACGAAATTAATTAATTAATTAATTAATCAATTAAAAGTAATTTACGAAACAAATTATCAATCTAAACTCTACTTTTTGCATATCCTAATTCATATTCCACACTTTTGTAATCAGTTAGTTATCTTGATTAATTGACATGTTACTAAGCTGTTCGTTTCGTTCTACTTTATGACTATGAAACATGGTCAGTTAGAGTACGGGATATGCGTAGGTTACTAGTTTTCGCATCTTATAGGCGTCTCGTGAGCATTGCTCATATTATCCTGGGATCAACGAGTAAACGATGCCAAAGCTAGGAAAAGGCTATTAGGTAAGGATGGCAAATCAATCAATGATGTGGCGAATCTTTATCAGTTAAGATGGTTGGGACATGTGTAACGAATGACTAACCACCGACTGTCTCAACGAGCAATGTTTTCGCGGTGTAGGAGTAGATTGGAAGAAAGCTATAGATACTTTTCTTAAATTAAAATACGTTGGAGAATGCTGGTGTGCGGTCATTTTCTACTGGGGGTAACAGGCATAGTTAGGTAAGCCTTTATGTAGTTTTTACCAAGACATTTCTGTAGACACGTTCATGGATGACATTTTTTTTCATAAAAAGCACATATTCTTTCGGTTATAACTTCCTGGTAATATGATTATCTCAAACTGGGCTGAGATGGTGATGAATATTCACCAACTCATATGGTCGTGGAATGTGATGTGCGTGTAACCAACCATCAACTTCTCCAATGTGGGATGTTGCATGTCGTAGGAATCGGTTGGAAAGCACAATGGAATGAGGCAACAACTACAACACATGACATCAATGCATGAAACTTATCGACTGTTAAACTGTGTCATTCTAGTTAGTGTGGACTTTGTAGTTAGTCATCGTTTCTGTGAGTAACTTAACCAATGGTTCGAGATATGGAGTGATATGTCATTGATTTAAGTTCTGAGTTTTTAGACGAATAGTTAGTGGTTTAAACAACTAGAGCCGTGACGAAAAAGTTATTGAAATCAACTATTCACTCTGATATTGTTCGTTTATCTCATCTTCATACTGATATGGTACAATCAATTAAGACGACCTACATACACTGTTTAGGACTAGCTGATACATGGATACTACCACTAATAATATACATTTCAGCGCGATGGAGTTCTGTTCTCTTAGCTGGATGTTTTGTTTACGGAGCTTTCTTCAGTGTTTGTTCTTCTGAACAACATCATCATTAGCACAAAACTTCCGGTGTGTATGAAGTGAAGTATTCGAATTTCTCCATCAACAAACCTGTAGCTTATTCCATGAAACTCAATTTTGATTGGTTGTTATTGACCTTAAAAGTGCATAAAAACGACAGATTATTTAAGGTCAATAACAACCAATCACGATCAAGGTTAATAATTAACAGAACAACAAATCAAATTGTGTCATTTTTGCTTACTTTATGTACAATTTTTGTTTGTTCTTTTTTAGATTTATTATGTGAATGTAATTTTAAACCGTTACGTTTCTTTTTATTTTTAATTGTTGAATGATGTAAATGATTCATCATCAGTGAAGCATCAACATCATCATCAATGGTAGTAGACTGTAATTGTTTCTCAGTTTTCTTTTTAATTTTTCGTTTAGATTTATTATCAGTGTTGTTGTCATTGGTGTTGGTGTTGAGAACAGTACTAGTAGTAGTAGTAGCTTGTTGTAAATAATAATCCACGGAATTTCGTGTACTGGATGATAATGCATACTCTGCTGCTACAATTTCCTTGTCTCCTTCACCTCTTCCTCCTCCTCCACTTTTGTCAACATCTTTCGCTTTCTTAATCAATTTATCTTTTTTCAATTTGGATCGAGATAAACTTTTGAAACCGGATTTAGATAGTTTCGATGATTTTTGACTTGAAGGATTAGAAGACATTGATTGATTGATTGATTATGTTTCGATTTGAAGCTAAAATCTGTGAGGAGTGAACAGTGAGTGAATAAAATAAATCAATAATTATTGATTGAATATAAAAGCAATCAGTCAACCATCTTCTCTTTTCAGCATGAGTAAGATAGCAAGCATGTTTTTTAAAATGAAGAGGAAAGAACAGAACTACATGAGGTCTAGTACAGAATTAGGATTGTCAATAGAGCAGTACTTCAATGCGTCAACCAAATTATTTATGTATTGTTTAAATTCAATGAACGCTTTGTTTTATCATTGATCAATGCAACCGTGCTTCTGGGGGTGCAAGTTAAATCTTGAGGAATTTACATTATTGTTCTCGTGAACGACTTATAGTGTGGTTAAGCAAACGTGTAATTAAGATAGCAAGCAAATAGCCAAATACTAGGCCATTTTAGTGTAAACTGACCGTAGTATATCTCAATTAATTTCAATAATTAATTAGGGTTGATCATTTTTTCTATCAAATTCGATATAATTTCAAGTCATTTAAATGACGCAAGTGATAGATAAAACAAAAGCCGGAGCTATATGAAGAGAAATCAAGTTAGTTACTACTCGCTGTTACCTTGTCTAACTTTACGAACCAATAAGGCCAAATTGGCTTTCGCCAAAGTGCGTCACTTATGGCGTAGGCAAGATATCCGTTCGCTAACCAAAGAATGAGTCTACTAAGTAGCATCTCGCTCCGTCCGACTATATGGATGCGAAACATGGCGGGTAAGAGTTACAGATATTCGTACGTTATTAGTATTCGATTATAGATATCTTCGAAACATTGCTCGTATAACATGGGACAACCGAGTAAGCAATGCTATTGTTAGGAAACCGGTATTAGGTAGGGATGGCAAATCAATAGATGAAGTAGTGAAACTTCATCAGTTGAGGTGGTTGGGACATGTGTTACGTATGCCTAACCACCGACTACCGTGACGAGCTATGTTTTCTGGTGTAGGAGTAGAATGGAAGAAAGCTAGGAGTTGCCAGAAGAAAACCAGAAGAAGAAATCCATGAAGTCACTGACAAGTGAACTGAGTCATGTCGGTAGGTATCGACTACCTGGTTGGGGTTAGTGAGATGATAATAATCGATGGTTAGAGACCAAGAATGACATGGCTCAAAACCGTTTGCAATGGCGCCAGTGCATCCACTCTTTGTGTTCTCCCAACTGCTAACCTCCTGAATTCCTCATAATCTCTATCTTTCTCCTTACAAATTTATCTCACTGAATTATACTTTTAGAATCATACCTTCGGACCCTAATCTTCTCCATTTTTGCTAATATTTCTACCATCGCTACCACTATGGGATTTGAACTGACAGTTGTGTCTCTGTGCTAATATGGTATGGCAACATGAACTTATGTATGTACGTACGTAGTTCTGCGTTGTAACTGACTGACTGACCAATCAATCGATAGTAATCTTTATCATAGAATCAATTTAGTTGACAAATGTACACGCAACATTTGTAATTTCCTTACTGAATTCATATTATTTTATACAAAAAAATAGTCTTCGATTAGAAATTTGATCTGATTCGTATTTAGATTATTATCTGTCTCCTACCTCAATGGGTTGAATTATTTTTTCTGGTTAGCGTTGTTGTTTAGAGAGTTTGTTTTCTACGGGATAGGGTCGTTCAACCCATGCACAACACTCCTCTTTTATTCAAGATTGGGATAGGTATTAGCCCCACAGAAGCTTCAGGCTGCGTTCCTTTCACCTTATACTGACCCCTATTTATCTTCATGATTAATCTCATACAACAACGCATGTCAATGGATATGAAGCCTGAACTTACACGTATGTTTGTGCACAGATGAGGAGTCGTATATATATGAACAAAATATCATAAATTAGGTGAGCATACGTGTATTCGCTCAAATCATGGTATGTATCATATTAGTTTTAAAGTTATTACGCTTGTTACCTGTAATAGGCCTTCGACCAGTTAATTATTATTTCCTGATAAGAGCTTTCGTTCTTTAGCGAGTTAGTTATTTCTACAGAAAAGATAGGGTCGCTAACTAACCCCATGCCCAACCTGCCTGCTTTATCCGAGCTTGGGACTGGTAGTAACCGCCGAACGGCTCCGGGCGGAGTTTGCTTCAATTATGTAATTTTCAAAAGTGTTTTGTTTCACATGCTTTTCTGATTTCTTACCAACATTATTATAATTTAAAGCTGTAATACACGACTGTCCTATCACCATCACTTTTCCATAGTCATGTTAAACTCTTTCGCAATCCAATGACAACAGTGATAAAACATGATTGTGTTGGTGAAAATGGTTGAGATTTGATGAAACAACAGATTTGCATTCATTGTATATGTTATTCCTGAACTCTTGACTAGGCGTGAATAATCTTGTCGACTTACACTAAATGCTACTGATATTCAGACAGACAGATGCAACGTAGAAATTCGTACGCATGTACATCAGTTCATGTTGCCATACCACATCAGCACAGAGATATAATTGTCAATTCAAATCCAATAGTAGTAGAGGTAGTAAGGGAATTAGAAGTAATCGGAGAGGTTAGAATTAGAAGATATTATTCAAGAAGTATCATTGAATGAGAAAAGTTTAGAAAGTCAAAACTAGAGGTGTTGAAGAATCTAGAAGATGACGATTTGAGAGAACACAAAGAATGAATGCACCGGCGCCAACGATTCTGAGCCATGTCATTCAGGGTATCTAACCATCGATTATCATAATCTCGCGGACTCCAACCAGGTAGTAAACGACTACCGACATGATTCAGTCCACTTGTCAGTGACTTCATGGATTTCTGCCATGTTTTGTTCTGGCCGCCCCTAACTTTCTTCTAACCTACTCCTACACTACAAAACAAAGCTCGTCGAGGCAGTCGGTGGTTAGGCATACGCAGCACATGTCCCAACCACCTCAAATGATGAAGTTTCATTACTTCATCTATTGATTTGCCATTCTTACCTAGCACCCGTTTCACAATAACAGCGTTGCTCACTCGGGTGTCCCAGGACATACGAGCAATGCTTCAAAGACACCTATGATCGAAAAGTGATATTCGATCATCAGTATCTCCGAAGCATTGCTCGTATTTCTTGGGACCAACGAGTAAGCAATGCAGTTGTTAGGAAACAAGTACTAGGTGAAGATAACAAATCAATGGACGAAGTAGTGAATCTTCATCAGTCCAGATGGCTACACTTGAACTCTTGAGTTAGTACTACTGACTACACGTGCATAATGTTGTCAACTACTATGACTACTACTAAATACCACGACTTTGTTTTTTTGTCTTGACAGTTTGATTTCAATATGTTATTGAATAGTAAGAGAACATGGAATAACTTGAACTGATCTAACCACGTATTTTGTGTGATCGATTTCCGAAAAAAATGGATCATAATTTTTTTCACAGAAAAAAAGATCCAACTCATCCAACCATCATCCTATGGTTAGGCGTTCGCGCATAATACCGAAGGTCCCGGGTTCGAATCCTGCGAGGGGCAGGAGTCGTGGATGCACACTACAGACAGATAAAACGCAGAACGTCGTACATCAGTACATTAGTTCAGGTTGTCATACCACGTCAGCACAGAGACGTAACTGTCAGTTCAAATCCAAGAGCGATAATGATAGAATTATAGAGCGAAGATATGATTCGAGAAGTATAATTCAGTGAAATAAATTTAGAAGGAGAAAGATAGAGATTATGAGGAATGCAGAAGGTTAGAATTAAAAAGCACACAAAGAGTGGATGCGCCTGCGCCATGTGGCTCAAGGTCTCTAGCCTTTGGTGACTTTCGTCTCACGGACCCCAACCGGATAGCCTACATCTACTAACATGACTCAGTCCACTTGTCAGTGACTTCATGGATTTGCGTGGATGCACACTGCTATTGATGAGTCCCATATCAGGACCAGACGGCCGTCTTTCAGTGCTTCCAGGTTTCTTATAATGGTAGTCTAACAAAAGATTGATTGATGATTTCAAATGTGTAAACAAACACAAATCTCCAAAGCTCTAAAGCTGAAAATATCATTCAAAAAAGCCAACCAACCAACCAACCAACCAACCGACCAATTCAATCAACGTACAAAAGGCGGAAAAAAAAAGAAGAAAGTTGATCATGAAAAGTATTTTTTTTTATTTTTTTCAATTTAAAATGTGTATTTAACAAAAAAAATATTTTCATATTTAGATTTTTATATATATATATATATACTGAATTATGTGTATGTACTGTTTTTGACACAAATAATAATAGTAATAATGACGACGACGACTTGAGAAAGAATTTTTTTTCTTATCAAAGCATAACAAGGTTAAGGGTTCCGGGGTATGGGGACGCAAAAAAGAAAATGTTTTCATCAAACCAAAAAACAGATGAAATGAAATTCAAACGACAACCACAACAACAACAAGAATAACAAATAAAAAAGGGAGATCAATGAATAAAGAGAAAATCTTGCTTAACCGCTCAACTCGATTATTATGAAGGATGTGTCAGCTACTACTTACTACATCCTCGTGTTTACACACACACACACACACACGCATGCATGCACACACTCATCCGGCATACAAGAGGATTCTGTTAGACGAACTCGTCGGATGACGAAGACGATGAGTTAGTTAGTTCGTTAGTGATTTCAGTAGTATACTATGAATACACGAAGAAATTTCAATGTGTGTGGGTGGGTGGGTGTGTGTGCTTGTTCATCAATGAACAGTATCGAATAAAAAGGGTAAAGAAAACAACTTCTTTTAAAAAAACAAAAACAATTTCTGATCATTGATGATGAGTTAGTAAACTTAGAGAGAGAAAAAAACAGCAAATAGTTGATCGATAGGTGAGAAGCAGGGAACGTCCAGAGGACACAACCTCATTTATCATGTTATGTAACCAATAGCAGAGAGAGTGAGAGAAAGAGAAAGTTGACAAGTTAAAAAGTGCACCATATTAGGAAATTAACAAAATACACATGGAAAATAAACGACCAGTGATGATGATGAGGAGGAATATAATGAAAAAAAGGGGATAATAGAGTAGTAGTTAGAACTTCAGTGTGTATCTTCGATTGTACACATGTCATTTGCACACAGACACACACACACACACAAACAGGTACATACGCACACAGATGATGCGTTGAATTACAAAACATTGCTGCACCAATTGAATAGCGACAATGATTAGGATGATGGGAAGAAGAAGAGATAGGAGAAAGGTGGAAATGATTGAATGGCAGAAATTACGAAGAGGATTGACAGGAAAAAGGAAGAAACAAATGGTGGGACCATGGGGAGGGGAGGTGGACGGGGTACTTTGATGAAATGATTTCAGAAAAAAACAACCAAAACAAAACATTTGTATAGGGTAGACGGCGGTGGGTGAGTTCGGAAACTTTATTCTTATTGTAATGAAATAACAAAATAGCGAACAGCACATAACTCTAGTGATTTACTGATTTATTATTCATACGTGTAAAATATACAAATCGACGGTGAAGTTGAATGATGACTTGATAGGAGAAACACAGAGAGAGAGAGCAACAAAGAGTTACAAGGGGAGGAGGGAAAGGGCCTGGGCTAGAAGAGCTGATGCCTAGGCTGACATGTTATTACAATTCAACACAATAATAGTTAGTTGACTGATGAAAAGTGTCTCATGTGAATGAGATGACATAAATGACAATCAATGAGTGATGATAGATTCCTGCTGCTGCTGCTGATGTGGCTGCGGCTGCCGATGATGATGATGATGGTGATGATTGTGTGCTGCTTATCTTAATCTGATTTATCCACATGAAATTGTGAATTTAATACAGGCCAAATTGTAAATTTGATGGTGTAATCAAATCTGATGGAGTACTCGATGCTAGTTGATGACTAATCCATAATTGATTGATACGTTGATATTCGGATTCCACAAGGAATAATGGATTGCCACGACTGGAGATGATGAGGATGACGATGATGATTTTCGAATTTTTTTTATGAAGAAGGAAAAGAAATAAGTAGACGATAAAGACATTTTTTTCACCGTAAAGCTATAAAGATATGTTAGGATATTCATCCAATATCCTAAGAGAATCATTAGTCAATTCCTATTGGTTAATTGCTACTGGTCAATTTTATCGTCGTACTAGTAGATATCAATGTCACGTACCGCAATGTTGTTTCTTATTGGTTGTCCTGACTATCAATGTCACTTCAAATGTTATTACTTCCTATTGATCATCTTAACTGTCGATGTCACAGACTTCGATGCTGTTTCCTATTCCATCAAAATGTATAAATACGCATTATCTGTAAGGGTTTATGATCAGGACCCGGACACGGATCCCTAGTCCGGGATTCTGATTCTCTTCTGGACTCGGACCTCGTACTTTCTGGATGCTTGTAGAATACAGGTTCTACTTCACATTCAACTCTTCTTATTTTTACTCAGTATGGGAGTTGGGATAATCGGATTTGAGAAGCATGTTGTGTCGCCGGATCCTCGCTCTTGTTTTCTGATTAGATAAACTCGCAATAGTTCAAGTATATCAAGTTGACGTGTTTACATGCAGGGTAACAAGATATTTGTTTATTAATGAAATGGTGAATTAATCATTGTTAGCCGTTTCGTCCTAACTGGTATGGGACTAATCAGGTATCCATGACTCTTGCTACTCACAGAACTTTCTGAGAGTGGCAAATCGAAAAATGTGCTCACTAGTGACTAGCTTCATGAAGAAATTCCACGAAGTTCTAATGAGAAGATGAGACAAGTGGAGTTCAACCCTGTCGAGTGTATGCAGTAACTACCGAAGACAAATGGATGAGGTCGCGAAAAAATCCCTAAATTGATCAGAGTTAGACAATAACACTGTTGAATGCTGACTCAGTGGTCCAGATGTTAGGCGTTCGAGTGCAAGATCGATGATCTTGGGTTCAACGAATCCTGCAAGTAGCAAGAGTCGTGGATATGCCGTGTTAATGATCAGTCCCATACCAGGAAGAACCGGGCGTCGTACAATATGCTCACTAGTGACTAGCTGCTTCTTGAGGAGATTTCACGGAGTTTTAGTGAGAAGACGTGACCAGTTCAAGCCTGTTGTGTGTAAGCAGTCATCCCACTGACGAATAATACTTATCAATAACAAATTTAGACAATAAAACTAAGAAATTACCGTAAATCTGGATCAGTTTCACCGAATGCATCTCTATACGGTGCAGGCACTTCAGTGATACGTCTTGCTTGATCTGATAATAATACTACACGGCATGAATGAATACGTAATAGTAGACTATAACCAGAATGACAACGTCTTGAATGAGCTTGCATACGATAGACAGCAAATTCTTGATTATTACTGCTACTGCTGCTACTACTACTGGTATTTTGATTGTGACTGGATGAGATGGTTGTTCTTCCACTACCGAATAAATTGGAATTGGTTTTCTGTTCAAATTGTCGACAACCATAACAGAATAAACAAGCTAAATGTCCACAAACTAGGCAAAGACTTAAATCACTATGTGTATGACCTTCAGCATGACAACTAGAAGAAAAACAATTAGGGAAAATATGAAAAAAAAAACCAACAAAAAATTAATTGTGAAATAATGAAATCTTAACGATCGAAACGATCTGGATTTATCTACAATATGACCACTATCAACCAATTGTGCCAAGATACAACTATGTATTGTTTCTAACTGGCCCTTCATAGAACATGCTGGGAGATGTTCACTCATTCGTGTTGGTTAAGTTGCCTGGTAGTACGCCCGATATAGCTAACTATCTCCACAAGAGTAGCTGAATTTGTAAACGCACATAGAGGAGGCTAACTCAGGTAATTTATCCTTCGTTTGGGTAGACATCACTGGTCGACTTGAGAAGGTCAACGCAAGTTTGGCTTTGTAGAATGTTCTACTAATTACTCTGGTTAATCTATCCTGCAGAGTATCACAGATCACATCTCTGTTGAATTGTTATTTAATAAATAGATGTTATTTATGAGTAAATGAATTAACCTATCAGACATGTTCATGAATAAAACTCCAGGCTGGAGTCGTTTCTAGGCTTACTGCTGATCGCAAGTCCGTATAATAAAGGAGGAGGGTTGAGTGATTGGGCTTAGCGACCTCATTTTGTAGATATCCAACCCCCTAAAAGAAAATTGAGAGGACGAAAGTTGAATATCCGGCAACAGCTTGAAATCGATTAGTGAGTATGAAGGATTTATCCGAAGCTTACTTACTTTAGTTACGCCTGTTATACCCAAAGGAGCATAGGCCGCCCACCAGTTTTCTCCAACCAACTCTGTCCTGGGTTTCCCTTTTCAGTTTTCGTTCATTCTTCTAATGTCTTTCTGTATTTCTCGGCGAAATGTGTTTCTTGGCCTTTCTCTTTTCCTTTTTCCTTGAGGGTTCCAAGTGAGGGCTTGTCTTGTGAAGCATCCGGATGCTATCCGCAATGTGTCTTATCCACTTCCAGCGAATCTTCCTGATTTATTTCTCAGCCGGAATGTGATTTGCTCTCTGCCACAACAGGTTCTTACTGATAATGTCTGGCCAACGGATGCGAAGTGTTTTGCGTAGACAACTGTTCATAAACACTTGTATCTTCTGGATGATGGCTTTGGTAGTTCTCCAAGTTTCCGCTTTATATGGTAAAACTGTCTTGACATTTGTATTGAAAATCCTGATTTTGGTGCTTGTAGACAGTCGTTATGAGTTCCAGATATTTTTCAACTGTAGAAATGCAGCCCTTGCCTTGCCAATCCGTGCCCTCACATTCGCATCGCATCCACCTTGATTGTCGATGATTCTGATCAGATATGTAAAGGTGTTAATGTCCTACAACGTATCTCCATCGAGAGTGATTTGGTTGGCGCATATCGTGTTGTATCGAAGAATTTTGCTTATATGTTGAGACCTGCTACTGCTACACTGATCGTCTTCTCTTGCATTTGTTGTTGAGTGTCTAACAGAAGAGCCAAATCATCTGTGAAGTCCAAATCGTCCAGCTACATCCTAGCTGTCTATTGAATAACGTGTTTCCGTCCAGATGCTGACGTCTTCATAATCCAGTCGATCACCAGAAGAAAGAGAAAGAGTAAGAGTAAGCAATCGCGCCTGACACCGATTCATCCGAAAAAGAGTTAAAACACTTCTGATTCCAAACCAATGGTGCACATCCACTCAGGAATCAATAACGTATGAACCTTTTGTTGGCTTAGTAGTCAATGACTGACTACATACATCACTATTGTCTTCTTGAATGAGACTGGTATGCGTCAAAGACTCGAGGTGTCGCCCAACTCGCCCCTCACCTTCTTCTTTAAGAAAACCGCCCCAATTTCGATTCAGGCACTACAACAACACGAATGTTTGCATTTAAAAATATAAAAATCAAAAATAGCATAAGAACTGGGCAACAAAATGAAAAACCACCTACTCCATATCTGTAGCCAATAATAATAGACTAGTGTATTCTTTTGGTAATTGAATTAAATTTGGTAAATCAGTATTTGGATAAGGAATTAAATCGTGTATCAATGCTATAGCATTATTGTTATTAGTCTTTTGATTACTCGTCTGTTCATTGGTTACAATATAACGATGTAGTAAGGATTGATAAATTTGACGACTTAACGATTGACGTCCAGTTAAACACCAACTTGTAATTAAACGTGCCAACCATAATGATTCAGATAAAAGAGATATATGTGATAATTTCTCTGGTTGATGAGAAGAAGAATTCAATGACGACGATGTTGATGTTGATGTTGATGAGGCAGACGGTGACAATGGTTGGCTAATGAGCGGCGCCTGGTTGGATTCCGGTGATTTTAACAATATTAACAAATCACTCGGTGTTAATGGTAAGCCTAAATATGCTAACAATAAACTATGCTCATTCATTGGATCTGTAAACAAAAAAGTAAACGGAATAAATGAAAAAGGAGAGGGAGGGAGAGAGAGCGAGAGTGTGTGTGGATAGTACAAATTAAGGCAGGCAAGCAGTCAATCAATCAGTCAATCAGTCAGTTACAAAGTAGAACTTCATATGCACATACGTAGGTATGTACATCAGTTCAAGTTGCCATACATCATTGTAATACAAACATATTGAATTGTCGATTCATCAAATACTGTGGTGGAAAAATAGTAGAAGTATTTATTAGTGGTAACATGGAGAAGAGATTACGATTAGAACATAAAATTTGAGTAGGATTATCCAGTAAAATAAAACTTAAGAAGAAAAACAGAAGATTAAAATTTGAGGAGAACAGAAACGATTTTGAGCCATTTCATTCACAGTCTCTAACCATTGCTGTTACTATCGTCTTGCGGACCCCAAGCAGGCAGTCTACACATGACTCAGTCAAGGTGTGAGTGACCTCATAGAATTGTGCCATGTTTTATTTTGGCCGCCGCTAGCTTTCTTCCAAACTACTCCTACACCAAAAAAACATAGATCGGCGAGGCAACTGTCAGTGGTTGGGCATATATCACACATGTCCTAACCATCTCAACTGAAGAAGAGATGGTTCCATCACTGTGTGTGATGGGCCCTTTCGTCCTGGTATGGGAATTATCTATGGTAGTGCGCATCCACGACTCCTGCTACTTGCAGGATTCGAACCCAGAAACTTTGATCTCACACTCAAACGCTTAACGTCCACAAAAACTGATTCGGTATTTAACGGTGTAAATGTCTAACTCTAATCAACCTAAGGATTTTCGAGCAGTCACACCCGGTGTCTTCTGTTCCAAATGTCAGTCAGTCAGAGGTGGATTTGTGCCATGTTTTGTTTTGGCCAACCCTAGCTTTCTTCCAACCTACTCCGACATCACAAAATATAGATCGGCGAGGCAGTTGTCAGTGGTTGGGCTTTCTTACCACATCACTCAACCACCTTAACTAATAAAGGTTCATTACTTCATCTATTGATCTGCCATCTTCACTTAGTACCCGTTTCCTAACAACTGCACAGCTAACTCCATTGTCACAGGGTATACGAGCAATGCTTCGGAGACACCTATGATCGAAAACCAGTAACCTACGAATATCCTCGCTTCTTAGTGGACATGTTTCACGCCCGTAAAGAAGGACGGAGCGAATAGCTGCACAGCAGACTCGTCCTTTGGTTAACAGACGGATAAACCGCCTACACCATTAGTGAGGCAAGTTGGCAAAAGCCGATCGAGCCTTCTGAATCCATGATGAGATTTCATCTAACACCAGGCAATCAGCACCGATTAGACTTCTGAATGTAAATACATCTGAGTTATACATTAAAAATAAGGAACAATAAAATGTTCATGGAAACAATTTGATTGTGTTAATTGAATTTTTGTCATGAAGTTCCATTAGTCTAAATCACTTCAAGTCAGATCTCGGTACTACACGACCTCCGTCAAAGTGTGGATAACTCTCTACAGCAACGTTTAGAACTGTGAAGATAAGAGCTGTGAGTTGGAATTTCATTGAGAGCACCGATTCCCTGTTTCCCCGAAGTATACATACCTGTCGGTTACTGATGTATCAGTTTGACAAAATGAAATTAATCATGCAATGATGACTCATGGGTGTTTTATTTCTTTCACAACAGAGCAATATAAACCAACTGAATCGTAAATCGAATTTCGTATTACGACTAGTATTATAACTCCATCATAACATCAGAAATATCACCATTACAAGACATGATTGGTAAGTCATATCTAAAGTATCTATCAACTACTACTCAAAAATACATAAAAACACTTAATTTTGTTTTGGCGAGAAGTATTGTGGTCGGTGAAGTTCTGTATGTCGACGATAATCAATAGTATCTGTTAATATAATGATCAAGCATGCCAAAAATACTAAACGACAGGTATTCCGCCCTTGTGTGATAATAAAGCACAACACTGATGAGTCCCATATTAAGACCAAGTGACCATTCATTGCTTTACTGTTTCAAATGGTGATCTGATATGCTTGAAACTATAATTATGAGTTCACTTTACTCAGCAAATGGAACGCAGATCAACGATACAGTGACACGATAGGCTATTCTAATACGATTGTTCCAGGACTCGCTAACTAAACCAAGAAGTCTTGATAAGGCGTCTAGAATGTATTCTACAGGCACTCAGAAAATACGAGGTTGCTAAGCATTCAACTTCACATAGGACAAAGTGGACGACCTCTTCAACTTCGTCTGTGTGAACATCAATTAGCAGTTAAACGCCATGACGATTCTTCGCTTATATAAATACACACCGACAATTATGGACATACATTCGATTAGAACAATCTGAAAATACTGGAGGGGGAGGACAAAGAACACTAAGGAATTTTCAGAAGCTTGGCACTCAGGTCAATCAACAATCAACAAACATATCGACATTGACCCAAGTTATCAACCAATCAGCAAAATTATAGGTGACATAGGATCAAGAAACAGATCAAAAGGGAGATACAATCAAAATTAAGGTGCAAACAACGACAGGTTTAGGATCAACAGCAACCAATCAAGATCGAGGTTAGCAGAACAAGCCACGAGTCATTTCGTGGAGAAATTTGAAGGCTTCACTTCTTCTATCTAAAGTTTGTGCTGCTGATGTTGTTGTTCAGAAGAATAACAATGAAAGCTCCACAACCAAAACACCCAGCTCAGAGAACGAAACACCACCACAATCAACTCAAGTTTATTTATACAACTGATAAAACGCCCTTGGTGAGAGCCATAAAATAGCGTACCAAAATAATCCAAAAACCAATGACAGTCAAGGATTTTCCGAATGGGAAATGTAAGCTAAAGGTCACATAAGACATATCTTTAATGATCCAAGTTACCAGACAATATCAACATAGTGTGACAAATTTATCAAAACAAATGTTACATTAGTATACTTAGTATCGGTATGAAAGGTGTAGGCGTAGGAAAGTGTTAGGATATTCATCCAATATCCTAAGAGAATTATTGGTCAATCCCTATTGGTCGATTTCTATTGGTCAAAATTATGGTCGTTTTATTAACTGTCAAAGTCAAATACTTCAATGTTGTCTCTTATTGGTCATCCGGACTGTCAATGTCATATCAAATGTTACTTCCTATAGGTCTTCGAAACTGTCAATGCCACAGAATTCGATGCTGTTTCCTATTTGACCAAAATGTATAAATACGCATTATCTGTAACATTTTATGACCACGACCCGCTCTCGGATCCCTAGTCCGGGATCCTGATTCTCTTGTGGATTCGGATCTCGTACTTTCTGGATACTTGTAGAATACAGGTTCTACTTCATATCACGTCTTCTTATTTTCACTGAATATGGGGATTGGGATAATCGGATTTGAGTAGCATGTCATGTCGCCGGATCCTCCATCTTCGCTCTCGTTTTTTCGACTAGGTAAACTCGTCATAGTTCAAGTATATCGAGTTGACGTGTTCATGTGCAGGCGTAACAGAAAGATTAGGCATAGTATACATAAGATTCGAGAAGGAAGCATAGATTCACAGAGTAAATAAAGTCTATATAATCTGATGAATAAAAGTGTACATATATCCGATCCAACCAATGATCACAGCAGTTAACACCACCACTGCGTACAACAACAAAATTCTAACCCAACAACTCACTTTCATTGATACTACTTACCTAAATTAGTTGATTGACGTAATTCACTGGGTACATCTACACCAGTAATTTTATGTATGACAAAAGCAGCAATACGTAGAAATGGTAAACAATTAGCACGTAGAAATAAACCTAATGATTGAGCCATCATTTGTGGATCGTCATTATTACTATTATTACTGACGTTATTACTGGATGAATTCCATGCAGGAAGACCGCATAGATCACGTAGTAAACGCCAGACATCAAGTAACTGGATGGGGGGGAAAAAACCCATGGACATAATATAAATGTTAGTAAACAATGGATACACATTACTAACTAAGTCTACAGTGAAATACACAAAATAACAAAATACTAATAACTACATGAAACAATGTATAAAACAGGTTAGTACAAAAGTTGTTACAAATTACGCGAAGCAGAAATAGTACCCAACCCTAACTGCGCTTCCTTGACGTGATGGTAGGGCTTGCCAACCATCATGAACTAATCGAGCTATATTGGCAGGTCGACTGGAGAACGATGAAACTAAAAACCAGCGACTCCAGGTTTGAGGGTGAAGTCGTACTGCTCACTGGAGAGAGGTGTTTCTCTCGGACAATCAGCATCTACAGCGATGCTAGAGGTTAGAGTGGTCGACTGTAGGAATGTCACACTTCGTCCTACCGCATGAATTTCCATCTCTGATGGCAAAGCCATTTGAAAAACGGAGTTAACACTTTACAAACTTCCCATAAAAAAAACGCCATTTGTGACCGGCCGGAATCAGTTGTCCCTTAGGCTCTGTAGTCACACTCCCAAGGCGCTATGACCAATGCTAATCCAACTTCTTTGTCAGGAACCTCAAAAAGAAATACTTCTTAACGGTGTGGTCAGCCGAGAAGTGACAACCGCCATCAGATCTAAATATGTATGAGCTACACGAATTGTTGCATTTGTGAGTTGGGATGAGATACTACTTAAGGTGCCCGAACCGATACAGATGATTTCCCTAGCCTTTTCTACCGACAGATCAAGTTCACAAAGTAATGAATGGAACACAACGTCGACAGATGTAGTCACATGGTAGCCGGCGATCAACAATAGGTGTTAATACGCCAATTGTTTCATTAGAATACTGAAGCATATGAGCATCATCGGTCTCTCTTTAGAATGCATCTCTTTCAAAAAAGACACTTATTCATCAGTTTCATGAAGTAATAATCAAGTGTTGCGTACAATAACAGATGAGAAAAAATAAAGAGAGAACATGAAATCACAGCATTTAAATAGGGTTTATGTACAAGCCAATGGCACACAAACCTACTGTATTCATTTGAGATTTATCGTACTACTTCAAGATAAATATCTTGTTAGAATACTCATCCAATATCCTAAGAGAATTATAGGTCGATTCCTATTGGTTAATTCCTACTGGTTAATTTCATGGTCGCACTGGTAGATATCAGTGTCACGTATTCCAATGTTATTTCTTACTGGTCGTCCTGAATTTCAATGTCACTTCAAATGTTCCTTCCTATTGGTCGTCTTAACTGTCAATGTCACAGACTTCGATACTGTTTCCTTCTCGACCTAAATGCATAAATACGCATTATCCGTAACGTTTTGTGACCCGAACACGACCAGGATCCTGATTCTGTTCTGGACTCGGACCTCGTACTTTCTGGATGTTTGTGCAATACATACTTCATATCAAGACTTCTTCTTTTACTCAATGGAGGTTGGGACAATCGGATTAGAGTAGCATAGCGTGTCGCCGGATCCTCGATCCTCGCTCTCGTATTCCGACTAAGTTAAACTCATAATAGTTCAAGCATATCAAAATGACATGTTTACATACATGCGTAACACATCTCTAAAATATATTGATCCACCCTAATATAGATTTTAGCAAACGTAAACTATATTATCACATTGTGAAAAGCACTTAAATGCGTCACCAGATAAGTCCTCTCTTTGAATCCTCGAGGTCAACAGAAAAGAGGAAAACCAAAGACTATATTGCACCGAGAAATGGAGACAAACGTGATAAGAATGAAAAGCAGTTGTCTGGAATTGGTGAATGCTGGTCCTTTAGAATCTGGTTTGTTCTCTCCCACAGTAGGTTGTTGATGATGGTGTCTGGCCAACGAATTCGAAGCATTTTGCGAAAACAACTGTTCATAAATACTTGTATCTTCTGGATGATGGCTTTCGTAATTCTCCAAGTTTCTGCTCCATACAGTCTAACTGCCCTCACAGTTGCATCGGACCCACCTTGGTTGTCGATGATGCTGCACAGATATGTAAAGACGTTAATATCCTCCAAGGCATCTCCATCAAGAGTGATTTGGTTGGTGCATGTTGTGTTGCATCGGAGAATTTTGCTTTTTCCTTTACGTATGTTGAGACCTACTGCTGCAGAGGCTGCTGCTACACTGGTCGTCTTCTCTTGCATTTGTTGTTGAGTGTGCGATAGAAGAGCCAAGTCATCTGCGAAGTCCAGATCTTCCAGCTGCGTCCTAACTGTCCAGTCGATACCGTGCTTCCCTCCAGATGTTGACGTCTTCATAATCCAGTCGATGACCAGGAGAAAGAGAAAGAGTAAGAGTAAGCAACTTTGCCTGACACCGGTCTTCAGCTCAAGCGAGTTTATCAGCTGTCCTCCGTGCACGATTTTGCAGTTGAATCCAATCATAAGAATTCCGTATGATGTTGACTATCTTCTCAGGCACGCCGTAGTGTCGAAAAAGCCCCCATGGTGTTTTCCTATCCACGCTATCGAATGCTTTTTCGTAGTCGATGAAGTTGATGTAGAGTGATGAGTTGTTCCATTCAATTGATTGTTCCACAATGATCCGTGATGTTGCAAATTGATCGGCAAACGATCGATCCTTACGAAATCCAGCCTGTTGGTCTCGAAGTTGTGCGTTTACGAAGTCTTTCATTCTGTATACTGGATTATATTCTTAAATTTCATAATCCACTATAATAATAATAATAATATTACGGCATAATAAACAAAAATGCAAATCCGAATTCCACTCACTTCCGGTAAATTCCAATGTGCTGATTTCACATAATTATCATTCCATGTGCAGGATTGTGGTAAAAGTTGATGCTTTTTTAAATAATTCAAACAATCCATTCTTGGTTGCCATGCTATCAACGATTGGACTAATAATGCAGCATAACATAAACGTAACAAATGCGTTTCATGACTATCACCAATTGGTAAACGTAGTCGACCTTCATCACATGCTAATAAATAGGCGCCTAATGAAGCAGTACCCGATTCTTGACTAATATCTGCATTGGCTACATTAGCTAAACGTGTACATTGACATTGATTGACAGTGAATTCTTCTAAGCCTGGACGTAAATGTAACAGGCTAATGAATAATGATGTAATATCCACCTGGTGATGAAAGAAACAAGCAAAAAATTAAACAAAAGTAAGAAAGATTAAACAAATAATTAATCCATTCTGAGTGAATTGAACAGACAGACAGCCAGACAGATACAACGCAGAACTTCGTACATGAGAGTACATAAGTTCAGGTTGCCATACTACATCAGCACAGAGACGTAAATGTCAGTTCAAATCCAAGAGTAATAGCAATGATAGAAGTATTAGCAGTAATGGAGAACATTAGGGAGCAAAGATATGATTCGAGAAGTATAATTCAGTAAGATAAATTTAGAAAGAGAAAGATAGAGATTATGAGGAATTCAAAAGGTTAGAATTAAAAAAATACACAAAGGGTGGATCACCTGAGCCATTGAAAACTATTTTGAGCCATGTCGTTCAATGTCTCTAGCCATCGGTGACTATCGTCTCGCGGACCCCAACCAGATAGCCTACATCTACCAACATGACTCAGTCCACTTGTCAGTGACTTCATGGATTTCTGCCTTGTTTTGGTCTGGCCGCCCCTAACTTTCTTCCAATCTACTCCTACACCACAAAACATAACTCTTAGAGGCAGTCGGTGGTTGAGCATACGTAACACATGTCCTAACCAACTCAACTGATGAAGTTTCACCACTTCATCTATTGATTTGACATCCTTACCTAGTACTCGTTTCTTAACGACAGCATTGCTTATACGGTTGACCCATGATACACGAGCAATGCTTCGGAGACACCGATGATCGAAGACTAGTAACCTACGATCATAGGTCTTCGATCACAGGTTTTTATTTTATGCTGAAATCATAAATGAATGATTCATTATTGTTAGCCCAACATTAGAAACGTGGAATTGTTTGAGACCGATTTGGTCTCGTGTGCTTTTACGGGTATGAGGGCGGTTGTCACTTCCCGGCTGCCCACACCGTGGAAGGTTGTTTCTTGAGGGACCTGAAGAGGAAGTTAGATTAGTGTCGGTCTTAAAGACCTGGCTGCGCGACCTCAGAGCCAAAGGGACAACTGCTTGAGGCCGGTCACGCACGGCCTTTTGATGAAAGGTTTTTTGAGTGTTAGCTCCGCTCTTAAAGGCCTTTAGTGGGCACCCTTACCGACAGAGACAGAAATCAGTGAGGTAAGGTGAGATGTGACAATTTTAGGGTCGACCTTTTCTAACCCTTTCTTCCTTGTGAGAAGGCAGCATCACTGGCAGATGCTTGTTATCTGAGAGAAACACCTTACTGCTGTCACATCCCTCTGTAGTCAGCAGTACGACTTTTTCCTCAGACCTTCAGTTGCTGATTTTAGTCTTACCGTTCTCCAATCAACCTGAATGGGGTGGTAGAACCTACAGGAACATATGTTACAGCCAATATAGCTCGATCGGATCATAACGACAGGCAAGCCCGACCACCACGTCAAGGTAGCAGCTACGGTATATATTTTATAAAATTCTAACCTACTGAACTCCTCATCATCTCTATCTTTCTCTTTCTAAATTTACCTCACTGTATTATACTTCTTGAATAATATCGTCGAACCCTAATCTCCCCGATTACTTCTAATAGTTTTACTAACTCTACTACTATTGGATTTTAATTGACAATTATATCTCTGTGCTAATGTAGTATGGCAACTTGAACTGATGAACTTACGTAGGAAGTTCTAGGTTGTAACTGACTGACTGAGAAATCTGGAAGCACTGAAAGGCGGCCCTGTAGTCCTGGTATAGAACTCAGCAGCAGCAGCAGTATGCATCCACGACTCCGGCTACACGCACAGGATTTCAACAGTTTTTTAAATGTAAGTTCTGACAAGCTTGCAATAAATTTATAAATCAATTATTTTATTGTGGCATATGTGTATATAAAAATAATTCAGTTTATTCGTGGTGACGTGACTCATTTGCCCAAGTCTTCGACGGTCCCGAAACATCCCTCTGAGAAAAGTCTCTCGAGTTCTGGCAGACGTCAAGAAGAGAATATTCACAGAAACATCGGAAAATTTACAGAATCATTTGCCACGATTCTGACTCAGTATTTAGTCATACCGATATTATATATTCACATAGTTTCAAGAAAAACCTCTAGAGGTACAAGGTTATGTGCACAACTCTATAAGTACCCCCATTTTTCTGTACATAAACTAAGCTTGAAGTAAAGCGTTCTTTTTGTACTTCGCACATTTTCTCTTGTGTTCAAGTTACTATGTAGATTCAATCTAAGGGTTATTAAAAGCATTTAGAAAATTGTATCTTGTGTACGTTCAGCAGCAACGATAGTAAGTTGTGATTATCCCCACAAGCCGAACTCATTTGGAAAACAAGAAGCATCATCTAACCATGGATTGGCTTTTGCCAATCTGCATCACTCATGGCGTAGGCGTGATATCCGTTTGCTGACTAAAGGACGAGTGTACTGCGCAGTAGTTCGCTCCGTCTTAATTTATGGCTACGAAACATGGCCAGTGAGAGTAGAAGATATTCGTAGGTTACTGGTTTTCGATCATAGGTGTCTTCGAAGCATTGCTCGTATATCGTGGGACACCCGAGTGAGCAACGCTGTTGTTAAGAAACGGGTACTAGGTAAGAATGGCAGATCAATAGATGAAGTGGTGAAACTTCATCAGTTGAGGTGGTTGGGACACGTGTTGCGTATGCCTAACCAGCGAATGCCTCGTCGAGCTTTGTTTTGTAGTGTAGGAATAGGTTGGAAGAAAGGTAGGGGCGGCCAGACCAAAACATGGCAGAAATATATGAAGTCATTGACGAGTGGACTTAGCCATGTCGGTAATTGTCGACTGCCTGGTTGGGGTCCACGAGATGATAATAATCGATGGTTAGAGACCTTGAATGACATGGCTCAAAACTGTTTGCGATGGCGCTGGTGCATTTATTCTTTATGTTCTCTCAAATCCTAATCTTCTTGATTCTTCAACTTTCTAAACTTATCTCACTGAATCATACTTCTTGAATAATATCTTCTAATCCTAACCTGTTCGATTACTCCTAATACCTTTACTACCTCTTCCACTATTGGATTTGGATTGACAATTACATCTCTGTGCTGATGTGGTATGGCGACATGAACTGATGTACTTACGTACGAAGTTCTACGTTGCATCTGACTGACTGACTGACTCATCTAACCATGTCTTTGTGCACTGGTGCCATATTTTGATTTGGCTGCCCCTAAGCTTTCCTCCAGCCTGCCCCTTACACCAAGTATCATTCATCGCCCAGGCAGTCAATGGTCGGGAATACGTAACACATGTTTTCTAACCACTTCAACCGATGATGAAGTTTCACTACTTCATCTATTGGTCCGTTAAATAACTGTATTGATTTACCATAGTCAGATATATTAGAAGAGAAAAACAAACAAGCGAAACACATAAATCAACAACTTACATCCCAAAGTAGACTAGTAGTAGTAGTAGTCGGTTGATTGATTGCATTCATGGAATAAGTTGACGCAGGCATTGAAGTATTGGCATTTGTTGGTTGTTGCTGTGATTGTTCTGATAAGTTGCTGGTTAGCGCATCTGATTTATAATTCTCTAATGGTGGCAGCAATAAACGCCACAAGAAACGTGCATCTTCGGTTGCAGCTATCGAAACAGCTGTTTCAGCGATATTGATTATAGTGGATGGATTATTCAGACGACAATCAGGTAGAACTGAAATGAAAGTGAAAACAAGAGAGAGAATATTGAGAATATAATGAAGAAATATCTCTAGTGTATTCAAGTTAGTTAGTTTATTATTGAATTAGGAATTTCATAAAACAATTCCTTGAAATATTTGCTGTTGAGTTTCGAAATTGATTTCTCCAATCACTTTATTTGATTTGTGGATATTTTGAGGATATATCTTCACATTCGATTACATGGGGATAAGTTCAAGTGTCGCTGATGAGGTACAAATTACAGAGGTCGCAGAAAGAGAACTATTTCTGAATGCATCTTTGGTAACTATCCGATGTAACTTTGTAGACTGTTCATTATAGAGTTATGGAGATTGTTGTTGATTACTGAAATGTGAATTAATCATTGTTAGACAAACGACAGAAACCTGGAATCAATGAAAGACGACCGTTTCGTCCTGGTATGGGATTCGACTTTTGCTACTCGTAGAATTCAATCTTGCGCACGAACGCCTAACAATCACTGATTCACATTTCAGTCAATCATAAACAACAATCTCCAAAACTCAATAATGAAAAATCGCACAATGTGCTCACTTATAACTAGCTTCGTGGAGAAATCTTCGGGGTTTTAAAGAGAAGACATTGACAGTGGAGTTCAACCCTGTCGAGTGTGGGTGGGGTTGCGCTAAATCCCTAAATTGATCAGAGTTAAACATTAGCACCGTTAGATGCCGACTCAGTGATTCAGAGGTTAAGCGTTCACTCACAAGACCGAGTAGCAAGAGTCGTTGATGCGCACTGCCCGTGAGTCCCATACCGGGAAGAAACGACCGCCATTCAGTGTTTCCAGGTTTTTATTATTGGTGCATAAATGACTGATTCACATTTCTAGATTCTATCGACCGTTCATTATTAGAACATCATGTGGATTTTGATCACGTGGTTTCACCTGACGATTCCGGTAAACATATGTTCTATACTGTCAAATGATTTGGTTCGAAAAGAGGTACAAATCAATAACTTTATTCCCTGCAAAGGTGTTACCAATACATTATTTTAAGGCTGAACTTTGTTTGAATAACGAACAAGTATAAACATTTCTTCGCTCTTAAGCTTAACTTTTAATTTGCACTAACATTATTTTGACAGAGATATCCTTATGACGTTTTTTTTAATCTTCGTTTAAACTATTCGTTATTATCACGTACACCTTCTTAATTTTTAATTCTTCATCCTATTCATACTCGTCAAGTGGAAAATTATCGTGATCTAATTGATGATATCAATCTACGTAGTGAAAGCCAAATTGCCTTAGACCAATCTGAGCAATCTTTAATGCCATCATGATATTGATTTGGCTGTCAGGTTTACAACAAGTCAATAAGAGTATCTTTATGACTTTATGATCATAAAACCGAGTTCTTACAAATTTGGAAGAGTAATAAGGATTTTTTATAACATGGTGCATTTCAATGGTTTGTTGAAATATCATCAAACATAGCGCGGAAAAGAAATCTTTGATTTTCCTGCGCTAGATTACCTTAATTAAAAGAAGTCATTGAGTATTTGCATTTTCAACTTAACAGTACTGCTTGGTAAGTGAAGTTAAGGACGCGCATTCCTCTCTATCTAAGTCTCATCAGCTGGGTGTATACTTGGACACTACAGTTTATGCTCACTCCCAGACTCGGACTCAGCACTGTTCGCTTTATATATGTCAATTCACAGACTGATCAATTGCAGTTCTAACTAACTATCAATGGGTAGATTCAAACAGCCAATATAAATGAATTAAATTTCATCCTCGTTGCACAAGAGAGTGGCTCTTTGAACTCAGTAGCTAAATGGCGTTTTGAAGTATAAGTTACTGGGTACGAGTCTCATAATAAGTGTCGATTAAGAGATGCGAATACATCCAGCTGACGAGTCCTATTTAGGATAAAACATGCGTCTTGGATTACACTGCCAGCCACTACTCTACAATGATTATCATTGTCGAGCCAATCAGCTCAGCTTGTACGTACACATATGTCAAAAGATTCTGATCAATGATAGGTAGTCTTAAATATCAATAAGAAGATTTGAAGAACCAAATATACAAATAAATTAAATAGATTTAAGTCACAATTTACAAATTGGTTTGATGCTGGTAAGTTTAGAGAGTGGCCATTGGTGTTCTTGACTGACACGAAGCTTATACATTGGAAAATTGAATAATACTTGCTAACTTGAACATTTAAATCGTAGTTACCGCATTGAGTAAAAACAAAGAGACAATCGAGTTTGTAATCAAAGAAACTGTGTTCTCAACAATAATAAGCATAAATACATTTTTGAAAACCATTTCGAACAAAAATCTAATTATAACTAGGTATCTTAAGAAAAAATAATGAGCAAGATGGATCTGATGCAGATATGAAGGTGCAGAATGACAAAGCAAGACGAGCAGTTCTACAACTGAAGAATATTTGGAACCCAACAGAACTGTCAATCAACACCAGAGTTACAATTTTAAATACAAATGTCAAGACAACTCTACTTTATACAGCGGAAACTTAGATAACCACGTAAGCCATCATCCAGGAGACAGAAGTGTTCTTTAACAGTTGTCTAAGCAAAATGTGGACTTAATCATGTCGGTAATTGTCGACTACCTGGTTGGGGTCCACGAGATGATAATAATCCATGATTAGATACCCTGAATGACATGGCTCGAAATCGTTCGCAATGGCGCCGGTGCATTTATTCTTTGTGTCCTAATCTTCTGAATTCTTCAACACCTCTAGTTTTGACTTTCTAAACTTATCGCACTGAATCAAACTTCTTGAATAGTACCTTCTAATCCTAACCTCTTCGATTACTTCTAATACCTTTACTACCTCTTCTACTATTGGATTTGGATTGACAATTACATCTCTGTGCTGATAGGGTATGGCAACATGAACTGATGTACTTACGTACAAAGTTCTACGTTGCGACTGACTGACTGACTGTCTAGGCAAAATACTTCGAGTCCACTGGCCAGACATCATCAGCAACAACGTACTGTGGGACAGAACAAACAAGATTTCAGTGGAGGAGGAAATCGGGAAGAAGCGCTGGAAGTGGATAGGACACATATTGATCAAAGCACCGAAATGCGTCACAAAACAAGCCCTCACTTGGAATCCTCAAGGTCAAAAGAAAAGAGGACCACCAAAAACACATTACGCTGAGAAATGGAGACAGACATGAGACGAGTGAACAACGATTGGATAGAACTAGATACGAGGAAGGCGGAGGACAGAGTAGGTCGATCCGTGGCCTATGGTCAACTGTGGGGGGGGATAACAGCTCAAAAAACAAACAATCGATAATAAAACCGAACTTACCATCTTTCAATTGTGAATTAGGTACAACATCAAATGGTACACAATACGACCACCACCACCAATGAATCGGATGAGTTTTCAATTGTGACCAACATAATCGATGCCCGGTTGTTGTTGTTGTCTTGCCATCATCATTTGCAGCAGCATCACATGACAATGAACAACCACGTGAAACAACAGCATGACGTGAATGTGCTGTCAATGAAGTTCTTAACAAATGTCCCAGTCCATGCAGACGTCGTTCAGCTAAGCCACCATTAAAGAAATGCTCATAACAACTATGTAATCTTAAAGCCTAAAAAAAAGAAAATATATTTTTGAATAAAAATATAATACCGAACATAGTTAAAAATTCTGTAAGATCAATTGCTGAATATAGGATGAAGCCAATGTATCAGGGAGTATATATTGATATAGCTACTTGTGTGGTGCGCACTACTTATAAATAGTATATGACGCGTGTGTAAACGTAATGTCTGGCAGCAGCAGAAGATGGGGGAAGATCAAGAGAAAGGAAGAGTGGGAACACAATGGAATTTGTATGAAACGCGTGAATAGTGAAATGTCAGACAATGGATTGATGATGGATTGAAGGTTTGCAAATTAACGATTTACGATATGGTTTTCCTATTTTATTGAGTAACTCTGTAATTTTCGTTAAATGCAACTCGGTTGCCCTCACCTGTGTTCTCCTTCACTACACTTGATGATCATTGAGAAATGTCCTAAGGAGTGAATGAATATCATTGGCAATGAAATGGATTGATTTTCTAAGGTGAAGAGGAATGCATATATCTGAGAATTTATTTGTATATACGATTCGATAGCCATATAGACTATTTCTTTTGCTGTTGATTTCTAGCCCAAAAGGGTTTGTTTGGGTGGGCTGGGGGCGATTAGTAAGTATCGCGTTCAGATCGCGGACATCGCCCATCATCATATAGACTACCAGGTTTTGTAACATCAAAGAGAGAGAGAGAAAGAAAGAAAGAGATTTATAGACTCTGTTTATAAATACTCTGAAGAACCAGTTCTGCTGCTAGAAATAAACTGATTTTAAAACAACCTATTATGTAACACTTTTTCAACTGTATTCTCTACGTAGATATTCGATTCGGACAGTCAGTCAGTTACAACGTAGAACTTCAAAAGTACGTACATAAGTTCAGGTTGCCAGTCCGTATTAGCACAGCGACACAATTGTCAGTTTAAATCCAATAGTGGTAGAGAGAGTGCAAGTATTAGCAGTAAAGGAGAAGTTTGGGGTTCGAAGATATGATTCGAGAAGTATGATTCAGTGAAATAAATTTAGAAGGCGAAAGACAGAGATGATAAGGAATTCATAAGGTTAGAATTTTAGAGAACACAAACAGTGGATGCACCTGCGCCACTGCAAACGATTCTGAACCATGTCGTTCACGGTCTCTAACCATTGGTGACTTTCGTCTCGGGGACCCCAACCAGGTAGTCGACACCTACCAAGATGGCTCAGTCCAGCTATCCAATAGAACGAATAGCGTATGAAACTTACTGTAGGTTATCATTCAACTACTACACATCCCCTGACGTTACTTCATTGGGGTTTTAATTCAAATCGTCATAGTCTTGTGACTGACTCATGAGAAAACTAACTGATTCGGTGCCCCCCATTTCGTACTAATATTTATGTACGTCTTGAAATAAATCAGTCATAAGTTTTCATGTAGATGATATATATGTTAACACTGAGAGATGAATAAAATAACACTTACACGTTCAGAACCAATCAATGTATACGCTACACTATGTCGTAATGATCGCCATTCACATGCAGCTGACCAAATCACATTACGTGCACGTTGTGCAATACGTTCTAAATAATGTTTGGTAGAATTAAATGAATTCATGATATATTTCTGATTAATATCATCATCGACACCGGTTGTTGTTGTTACTGATGATGATGGTGTTGCTGCTTGTGATGATGATGCTGCTGCTGACGTTGTTGTAGTTGTATGCGATGACGTCTTTTTCTTCACTGGACGATGAGATGACAACTGTGATTTAGGACAATTTGTTGTTGTTGTCGCTGCAGTGGTTGCAGGGGTTGTCGTCGCTGCATTCGTCGCGGACGTCACTGTTGTCGTCACATTCTGTGGTATCAATGAATTCAATGTACGTAAACGTTCATAAAAACTCATAAAATCTAAATGAAACAATTCAATTGCTTCAGAAAGATTTAAATTTGCATTGAACAAAACAGATTGTTTGCTCAAACATGTTGATGATGAATTCATTGTCAAATTATGATGATGAGTAGTGGTTGTTGAAGGTGGCGAATCGAATTCTGTCTGAGTCATTAAAACTTGTATATTTGAAGTGGACAATGTTGAGGCAGTCGATTGAATTGGTGTGTCAGTAACAACAAATGCTACCACTTGATCAGTAGCAACAGCCGCAGCCACAGCACCATCTTGATCCTCGTCGCCGTCATCCCCATCGTCGTCGTCATCATCATCATCTTGTTCTTCATTGATATCATTCGGTAAAGGAACAATTGTCGGTGTGTTATTCACTTATGGAAAGACAAAAAACACACATCAATAAATCGATAAATCAATAATAAATCATATACAATCGATTTGATAGAGTAGGAAAAAAATCAATATATATATATATCAGTCAGTCAGTCAGATGCAACGTAGAACTTCGTGCATAAGAACATCAGTTCATGTCGCCATACCACATCAGCACAGATATGTAATTGTCCATTCAAACCGAATAATAATAGTAGTAGAGGTAGTAAAAGCGATTAGAAGTAATCGAGAGGTAAGCATTAAAAGATATTATTCAAGAAGTATGATTCAGTGAGATAAGTTTAGAGAGACAAAACTACAGGTGTTGAAGAATACAGAAGATTAGGATTTGAGAGAACACAAAAAATAAATGCACCGCCACCATTGCAAACGATTTTGAACCATGTCATTCAAGGTCTCTAACCATCGATTATTATCATCTCGCGGACCCCAATCAGGTAGTCGACAATTACCGACATGGCTAAGTCCACTCGTCAATGACTTCATAGATTTCTGCCATGTTTTGGTTTGGCCGCTCCTAACTTTCTTCCAACCAACTCCTACACCACAAAACAAAGCTCTTCGAGGCAGTCGGTGGTTAGGCATACGTAACACATGTTCCAACCAGCTCAAGTGATGAAGTTTCATTAGTTCATCTATTGATTTGCCATCCTTACCTAATACTCGTTTTCTAACGACAGCATTGCTTATACGGTTGTCCCAGGATATACGAGCATTAGCTTATCTGACTGCACCGCTGAAGGAGAAGTTTACTGCATAACAATTTGCTGTGTTCTACTTTATGGGTGAGCGAAACATGGACACTAAGATTAGAAGATACTCGAGGGTTCTTAGTATGCGATTATAGATGTCTTCGGAGTATTGTTCGTATATCCTAGGACAACCGAGTAAGCAATACTGTCGTTAAGAAACGAGTGAAACTTCATCAATCAAGGTAGTTGGGACATGTGTTAAGCTTACAAAACCACTGGTTGCCTTGACGAGTGATACTGTCTGACTCAGGAGCAGGCTAGAAAAAAGCTAGGGAAGCGACCAAAGCAAAACATGGCACAAATCCATGAAGTCATTGACAACTGGACGGAGCGATATTTGCAAGTGTACACTACCAGGTTGGGGTCCACAAGACAACAGTAATCGATGGTTAGAGACTTAGAATGACATGGCTCAAAATCGTTCGCAATCACGCAGGTGCATCCATTTATTGTTTCCTCTCAAATTCTAATCTTTTGAATACGTCATCAGCTATTTTTCTGTTTTTAAGTTGATTACACTGTGATATACTTGGCGAATGTGATATCTTCGATCCCTGATTTTTTAGATTAGCGTTAATACTTCTACTACTATGGGATTTGAATTGACAATTGCATATCTGTGCCAATGTGGTTTGGCAACTTGAGCTCATGTACATACATAGCTGACTAACTGGCTGACTATACGTAATCAGGCTTGAGCAGCTACTCTACTTTGAAATCTAGAAGGGGGCTATGCTCGCAAGTTGTCATTACTATTTCACTTTATTCAAGAGAACGTACCATCCGTCCATCGTATGAACGATTGGAAAGTAGTACCCACCACCCAAATCAGCTTTTTTCTAATAGAATTAGAGAACACCTATTGTAACTGATTCGTGCGAAACTAGCATAGAATATTTTTGACGATCCCAATATGTTAATCGTTTACAGAATGATCGGATCAGTCAGCTGAATAATATACATACTTTTGCACATTTGAAATCATCAATCAATCATTGTTAGGCCACCCTGATTAGAAACCTGGAAGCACTGAAAGATGGCCGTTTCGTCCTGGTATGGGACTACTCATCAGCAGTGCGCATCCACGACTCCTGCATCCCGCACGATTCGAACCCGGGACCTTCGGTATTGTGCCCGGGTACATACTTTTGTAAGTACGATTGAGATTTGTATAAACAAGCTTGTATTCAAACTGAATAGTAGCCAACAATGTCTTGACCAAAAGTGTGTATTGATTTAATTTGTAACAACTATAGAATGAAATCACCGAACTCTATTTAAATAATAACACACAAACATTGTTCAATTCATAATGATGATGATGATGAACTTACCAACTACTTCAGCAGTAGCAGTAGCAGTCGCGGTAGTCGTAGTCGTCGTAGTAGTACGTCGTCCGATTGGACGTTGAACAAGTGTATCCACTGATTTCGGTTGACATAAACTAGCTAAACGTTGTACTAAAGCAAATAAATTCGTTGTAACCAATGGAGATGATGATTGTGGCGGTAAAAGATTTTTCAGTGGATTATTACCAATACTGAGTGTTGTGGCATGATTATTGTTATTATTATTATTATTGTTACTATTACCATGATTGGAATTGGATGAATTCATCGATACATTGTCATTATCTGTGCTGGAACGTCTAGAAAATCGTCGAGATGTCCAAAATTGTCGACTTAAAGGATTTAAACTACTACTGGTACTACTGCCACCAACGCCCACATTACTACTACTACTACTGCTACTACTTATTCCACAATCAGTAGTAGTTTTCGAATGTTTCTTCTTAGCGTTCAATTCATGATGATGATAATCTTGTTCAGTGGAGTCTTGTACAATTAAACTATATTTTACACGTTTCATAATTGAATGAATTCGTTGAGCGATGAATTCATAATTATTGCCTGATGTTGATGTTGAATGTTGTTGTGGTTTTAAACAGGTGGAAGAATAATCATGATCAACATCCATATCGACTGAAGTTGACGGAGTAGTAGTCGATGAATAGGATGGATAAGTTACATTGTTGATATCGGCTGTGATAAGATTACCGAAATTCCATAATGCATAATCTTCTAGTGTTGACTGTTAGTGTAATATATAGAGAAATGAGAAGAAAAAATACAAATTTTATGCGGCGTTTTTTATTTAAAAAAAAAGAATTGGTTTACGCATAGCTGGCATTACAGTATTATGCAGATTGTAGTTATAATGTAGTGCCTCCACATATAGTATTCCAGTTCGCTTACATTTAAATTGGTTAAGCCCTTTCGATTAATTTATTTAACCAATCCATTTTTATTTGAATTGCAACAATTTATATGTTGTACTATTCGTTCTTATTAGTGTCTGCTTTGTATGATGAGCTCACATGACATGTCCCACTTGTCATTTGACCTTGTCAACTATTCGTCGCTTTTATTCATGTGTGTGCATGCCTATCTCGTTGATCACATGTCTGTCTTATTTTTGTCTGAATATATATTCTTAGTCACGCTCTATCTCTGTGAGTTGGCTCACTAGCCTTCTCCACATCGCTTTACATGCTTCCATCGCCCATTCGTTCGCATTTTAATTCTGGGAGTTGGCTCAATAGCCTTCTCCAATTCACGTCGCTTCATACCTTTTATTCGCTGCTTCCTCGCTTCGCTTTGTGGTGTGTCCAAAAATAAACGTATTCAACACTACGAGTTCACCTGATTTATAAACCGTCAGACGCTACTTAGTAACGATTGTCTGGAAGAGCTAATTACCGAGCTTAAGAACACGTAGTAAATCGACACACTACAAATGGTGAGCCTGCCGTCGAATTGGGTCACCACAAAAATACCTTGAACTGATCATAAATGGATTATTGTTAGTCCCACAATTAAAAACCTGGGAACAGTGAACGGTCATTGGATGCACCTGTGAAATAGTGGTCCATAATAGGTTAAGCGCTCGTGCGCAAGACTGAAGGCCCTAGGTTCGATGAATCCGGTGAACAGCAGCAACAGGAGTCACATGGATGCGTACTGCTGATTTCTTCTTTCCATACCAGGAGGAGACGGTCGTCCGGTAATATCTTTTTACTCATTGCTATCACATGACTTTGATCTATTCATGCTAATTAGCCAGGATAAATTCAGACAACATAGATCTGTGCTAGACTCTACCATATATTGATAATGTCAGTCTATTTGAATATCGTTCATTTGTATATTATATGTTAGGTTGAAGAGAATTTCGTAAGAAATAAAACATTTAGGACTATTTGAAAGAAATCTATTGTTGACATTTTTTTAATGATATAGTTGAAATAAGACATTAACATTATTGGATGGCGATTTATTGACCTAAATAAAGGTTAAGCGTTCGTGGGTAACACCGAAAATCCGCAATTGGATTTCCGCGAGTGATAGTCGTTATTTATTACTACTTATTAAAATATAATTCCTGGTAAAAAAAGGGATACCTAAAAGTTTATGCATGACACAAATAAATGAATTGATGTGAGGATTGTGACATTGCCTGGAAGGTCAAACATGAGGTGGTTTTCTTAGAGGGCCATACTTCGAACTTTAAAATTGTAGGTCTAATTCATAACACAGTAAGGCAACGTCAAGAGATGCTGTCAAATGGTAGTCGGTGACCAATAATAGGCTCATACGCCATTCTTCTCATCAAGATCCTGGAGCCGATGTGCAGCATTGACTTGGAATGCGGGTTTTCCAACTCCCTTAGGTCGAACGTGTAGACCGCTTCACTTATCTTGGGAGTCTCATCAGTGCCGATGGCCTGGTGACTGACGAAATCTCGGCACGGATACAGAAAGCTCGATTGGCTTTTGCCAACCTGCGTCACTTATGGCGTAGGCGAGATATCCGTTTGCTGACTAAAGGACGAATGTACTGCGCAGTAGTTCGCTCAGTCTTACTTTATGGCTGTGAAACATGGCCAATGAGAGTAGAAGATACTCGACGGTTATTGGTTTTCGATCATAGATGTCTTCGAAACATTGCTCGTACATCGTGGGACACCCGAGTGAGCAACGCTGTTATCAGGAAACGGGTGCTAGGTAAGAATGCCAGATCAATAGATGAAGTGGCGAAACTTCATCAGTTGATGTGGTTGGGACATGTGTTGCGTATGCTCGACCACCGACTGCCTCAACGAGCTTTGTTTTGTAGTGTAGGAATAGGTTGGAAGAAAGTTAGGGGCGGCCAGACCAAAACATGACAGAAATCCATGAAGTCATTGACAAGTGGACTTGGCCATATCGGTAATTGTCGACTACCTGGTTGGGGTCCGCGAGATGATAAAAATCGATGGTTAGGGACCTTAAGTGACATGGCTCAAAACCGTTTTCAATGGCGCCGGTGCATTTATTCTTTGTGTTCTCTCAAATCCTAATCTTCTGGATTCTTCGACACCTCTAGTTTTGACTTTCTAGACTTTTCTCATTTAACCATACTTGTTGAATCATATCTTCTAATCCTAACCTCTCCGATTACTTCTAATACCCTTACTAAGTGTTCTACTATTGGATTTGAATTGACAATTATATCTCTGTGCTGATGTGATATGGCGACATAAACGGATGTACTTACGTACGAAGTTCTACGTTGCATCTGACTGACTGACTAGTCGGGAAAACGAGAGCGAGGATTGAGGATATGGCGACACGATATGCTACTCTAATCTGAGTGACCCAACCGCCATATTGAGAAAAAAATAAGAAAGCTTGATATGAAGTAGAATATGTATTCTACAAGCATTCAGAAAGCACAAGGTCCGAGTCCAGATGAGAATCAGCATCGCGGACTAGGCATCCCGGTCGGTTACGGCTCATAGAACGTTACACATGATGCGTATTTATACATTTAGTTCGAATAGAAAACAGCATCGAAGTCTGTGACATTGACAGTTAAGACGACCAGTAAGAAACAACATTGGTGTACGTGACATTGATATCTACTAAGACGACCATAAAATTGATCAGTAGGAATTAACCAATAGGAATCAACCGATAATAATTCTCTTAGGATATTTGATGAATATCCTAAGAAATTATAATCGTGCGATGAAATCTATTTTGTTATCATAATAATAATAATAATAATAATAATAATAATAATAATAATCATTGTAGGTGCACTCGGTCCAGGTTTGATTGATCAATTATTCACTAATCAAGATGAAATGAATCATTCAATTATATTAGATCGTTGGCATCCACGTCCATTAGTATCAAGTCGTGATCCAATCGCTGAGGAAGGATCATTTTTCACATTTTGTTCACATCCAATGCATGCAACATGTAAAACAAAATATGCTAAACAAATTAAAGGTCGAGTGGATAATTTAAATCGGTAAGTTGATTTCTTTTTTTTAAAAAGAACTATTGATTACTTGCTGTTTGAGTAAAGTGTGATATTCGTCGTCACTGACCTGCTTTCTAGAGATGTGATACATTCATCTCGTCTACCTATTCACTCTATAGGTGACTTTCTATACCCAGGAGATTCACTTATGGACTTAGAAACGGGGTAGAGTAGCGTTGGTCTTAACGACCTGGGAGCGTGACCGCAGAGCCCAAGCGATAACTGCTTCAGGCCGGTCACGCACGGCCTTTTTATGAAAGGTTTTTTGAGTATTAGCTCAGCTCTTAAAAGCCCTTAGTGGGCACCCTTACCCAAGGAGACGGAAATCCAGAAGGTAGGGTGAGCTACGACATTTTTAGGATCGACCTTTTCTAACCCTTCCTTCCTTGTGGGAAGGCATGAGGAATGAGTGCTTGCACTCATTATGTGCTGGTTCAAATCAAAATCAATTCAAGTTTTCATAAAATAAAAAATTATTCAGTGCATATATATATATATATATATATATATATATATATATATATATATATATACACAACATACCGTATTCTGCAAATGATCAGTCATGATTGATTTCTGATCAATGAAATTCGATGAGAATAATGGACCCAGAATGTAATCATTCACATCGGATGACATATCTAACCAACGAGACAAGTTATGTAGCCAAGAACTTAATGGTTGAAAATGAGCATGATTATTGTTAATATTAGTAGTAGTAGTAGCAGTGGTAGGGGTAGTTGTAGCAGTCGAACCAAGTTGATGAACTGATGATTGATCATGATTGATCGATGGTAATAATCTTGATTGTAACCACTCAATAGGGATGTCTAAATAAATTGGACCCAACATGGGTAAATCCAATGTTGAGATACATTTGCATAATGGACAACGAAATTCAAATACAAGCATCGATGAATTACGTCTGTAATAGAATAGAAAAGATAGAAAGTTGTAAAATAAAAGTCATTCAAAAGAGATGAGAGAAAGGTTTGGGTTGTTGGTTGAGATTACACAGAGGTATAAAGCGATAGATATATGAATGCTTTGATTGTGACCAGCTCGGTGTTACAGGTATAAGGGCTGATATCACTTACCGGTTGTCCACACTGTGAAAGTGTATATCTCCGTGAGGAAGCTTAAAAGGAAATCGGATTAGTGTTGGTCACAGAGTCCTGGGAGCGACACCGCAGACCACAAAGTGGCAGCTGTTAGAGACTGGTCACACACGGCTTTTTAATGTCAAGTTTTCAATGTGTGTTAGCTCCGCACTTTGAATGGCCTTACGGCTGAGGATGGAAATCCGTGAAGTAAGGTGAGATGTGACATTTTTAGGATCGACCTTCTCTAACCCCTTCCTTCCATGTCAGAAGGCAGCATCGCTGCAGATGCTGGTTGTCCAAGAGAGATACCTTACGGCTGTCACAACCCTCCACCACATTCAGCAGTACGACTTCGTCCTCAGACCTTAAGTTGCTGCTTTTGGCCTCATCATTCTCCAATAGACCTGCTTGTCATGATGGTAGAACCTGCAGGAACATGTACTCCAGCAAATATAACTCGGTTGGGTCAACACAATAAGCAGGTCCGACCACCACGTCAGGGTAGAAGCTGCAATCGAGGCATTCGAAAAGAAGTAAATACGAAAAACTCCAATAGAGAAGCATACCAAAAAAAACGATACACAGGTGCAGACTATCCAAAATAATTGAACATGGAGTTCACCCACTATGGTCAAGGAAAGCCATAATACTCGTTCTCTATAAAAGTACGATTCTTAACCCTAATCCTGTAACAAATGAAACCTCGTTAAGCGAATATGATCAATGAAAATCAATTCATCACAAAACTAACTAATATTTACACAATTGGTTACAGTTTATCATGGATAGAAGCAAATACAGAAAAGTTGCAAAGTGAAGTGTCAATTATTGATAGCTAGTGAAAAAGACTTGATTTTAAAAATTTCTTCTACATTTGAATCAATTTCTAATCCCATATATCGTTAATATTTTCTGAGAGACGGATAACTGGCCTGCGCCACAAGTGACGCTAGTTGGTAGAAGCCGGTCCAGCCTTTCGAATCTGTGCTCAGATTTCGTCACACATCAGGCCATCAGCACTGATCAGATTATCAAGATAACTGAAGCGATCAACACGCTCAACTGCTTCAATCCCTATCACTATAGTCCAGGTGCCAATGCATACCAATCCTGAAGCAATATTTCGTATTGCGAAGAGGCGAGTCGCACACCTCAACATGCTTTCATTTTGTCAACGCCTTCACCAACTAGAATAACAGATCATCTGTGTATTTTCTAAGTCCACCTTCCACGGTGTGGGCAGCCGGGAAGTGAAAACCGCCCTCATACCCGTAACACCCAACTGAAGCTGCTACCTTGACGTGGTGGTCGGGCTTGCCTATCGTCATGACCCAACCGAGCTATATTGGCTGGAACTTATGTTCCTGAAGGTCCTACCATGACAGGCAGGTCGATTGGAGAACGATCAGACTAAAAGCAGCTACTCAAGGTCTGACGGTGAAGTCGTACTGCTGACTGTGATGGAGGGGTGTGACAGCAGTAAGGTGTTTCCCTCGGACAACCAGCATCTGCAGCGATGCTGCCTTCCCACAAGGAAGGAAGGGTTAGAAAAGGTCGATCCTAAAAATGTCACAGCTCACCCTACCTTCTGGATTTCCGTCTCCTTGGGTAAGGGTGCCCACTAAGGGCTTTTAAGAGCTGAGCTAATACTCAAAAAACCTTTCATAAAAAGGCCGTGCGTGACCGGCCTGAAGCAGTTATCGCTTGGGCTCTGCGGTCACGCTCCCAGGTCGTTAAGACCAACGCTACTCTACCCCGTTTCTAAGTCCATAAGTGAATCTCCTGGGTATAGAAAGTCACCTATAGAGTGAATAGGTAGACGAGATGAATGTATCACATCTCTAGAAAGCAGGTCAGTGACGACGAATATCACACTTTACTCAAACAGCAAGTAATCAATAGTTCTTTTTAAAAAAAAGAAATCAACTTACCGATTTAAATTATCCACTCGACCTTTAATTTGTTTAGCATATTTTGTTTTACATGTTGCATGCATTGGATGTGAACAAAATGTGAAAAATGATCCTTCCTCAGCGATTGGATCACGACTTGATACTAATGGACGTGGATGCCAACGATCTAATATAATTGAATGATTCATTTCATCTTGATTAGTGAATAATTGATCAATCAAACCTGGACCGAGTGCACCTACAATGATTATTATTATTATTATTATTATTATTATTATGATAACAAAATAGATTTCATCGCACGATTATAATTTCTTAGGATATTCATCAAATATCCTAAGAGAATTATTATCGGTTGATTCCTATTGGTTAATTCCTACTGATCAATTTTATGGTCGTCTTAGTAGATATCAATGTCACGTACACCAATGTTGTTTCTTACTGGTCGTCTTAACTGTCAATGTCACAGACTTCGATGCTGTTTTCTATTCGAACTAAATGTATAAATACGCATCATGTGTAACGTTCTATGAGCCGTAACCGACCGGGATGCCTAGTCCGCGATGCTGATTCTCATCTGGACTCGGACCTTGTGCTTTCTGAATGCTTGTAGAATACATATTCTACTTCATATCAAGCTTTCTTATTTTTTTCTCAATATGGCGGTTGGGTCACTCAGATTAGAGTAGCATATCGTGTCGCCATATCCTCAATCCTAGCTCTCGTTTTCCCGACTAGTCAGTCAGTCAGATGCAACGTAGAACTTCGTACGTAAGTACATCCGTTTATGTCGCCATATCACATCAGCACAGAGATATAATTGTCAATTCAAATCCAATAGTAGAACACTTAGTAAGGGTATTAGAAGTAATCGGAGAGGTTAGGATTAGAAGATATGATTCAACAAGTATGGTTAAATGAGAAAAGTCTAGAAAGTCAAAACTAGAGGTGTCGAAGAATCCAGAAGATTAGGATTTGAGAGAACACAAAGAATAAATGCACCGGCGCCATTGAAAACGGTTTTGAGCCATGTCACTTAAGGTCCCTAACCATCGATTTTTATCATCTCGCGGACCCCAACCAGGTAGTCGACAATTACCGATATGGCCAAGTCCACTTGTCAATGACTTCATGGATTTCTGTCATGTTTTGGTTTGGCCACCCCTAACTTTCTTTCAACCTATTCCTACACTACAAAACAAAGCTCGTTGAGGCAGTCGGTGGTTGGCATACGTAACACATGTCCCAACCACCTCAACTGATGAAGTTTCATTATTTCATCTATGGATCTGCCATCCTTACCTAGCACCCGTTTCCTGATAACAGCGTTGCTCACTCGGGTGTCCCAGGATCTACGAGCAATGTTTCGAAGACACCCATATGCCAAGGATTGAAAGCTGACAAAAAAAAATGGTCAGCGGTCTTTGCTGCATCGGGGAGTAAGCAGAGTGCTGTGACATCAGTCAAACAATATCAATATCAGTGTATAGATAAACTGTCCAGCCTATCATACTTTATAGGTATACTGACGCTAGAACTATGCAATGATCGGTTGAATCGGTTAAAAAGTGCTTCAGCTAACAATCAGTAACTGTTAAACAACAGTACTTATGAAAACACTTTATTTACGACCATATTCTAGTCTGGTTAACTATGTTTATACTACCAGACCACTACCGAATTGCCTACTCAAACAGAAACACCGTACACACAGATTAGATTATGTTATAACTAACTGAGTCACAGTTCCTTTTTCACGCTAAATGACTGTTGGGGATGTTAGATCCCTAAAACTCGCTTATTAAGTGCCTTATTTTGGATTTCACATTTGCCAGCATGGGCTGATCAGTTGACCTTGAGATTTCATTTCCCACCCCAGGAAAATCCATGGCTGTGATTGGCTGCTGTGTATTTTTTAGTGTGCTATTTTCGTAACTGTCCCAAGGACGTTCCTATAATGTACAAATAAATGAGAGTTGCATGCTTGATTGTATTGTGATTGCTGGGTGTTTGTAGAATATACTTTCTACGCTTACCAAGATTTCTGTCTTCAGCTTGGGATTCAAGGTAACCTATCTAGACGCTGGTTCATTGTCTCGTTCACGTTTATCGACTAAGGTGAACTCGTAATAGCTTCAAGTGTAGTACCTAGTGACGAACATAAAAATGACCAATGACAATTTACTTTTACACTGGTCACACATTTGAATAATTACCGGACTTATAGGAATCTCATTCAAACAATTGTGGTGAGCGCTACTTATAAGTAGTATTTGACGTGAGTGTCAACGTAAAGTCTGGCAGCAGAAGATGGGGGAAGATCAAGAAATGAAGAGTGGGAACACAATGGAATTTGTATGAAATGCATGAATAAGTGAAATGTCAGACAATGGATTGATGATTGATTGAAGATTTGCAAATTAACCGTTTACGATATGGTTTTCCTATTTTACTGAGTAACTCTGTAATTTTCGTTAAATACAATTCGGTTGCCTTCACCTGTACTCTCCTTCACTACACAATGACATACGTAATTCATCTTTAAAAAAAAACAAGAAACAAGCGAAAAAAAAGCTTTTTCTTACTTTTATCTGTCAGTTCAGTAGTAGTAGTAGTAGTATCTTTTTGTACTTCTAAACATTGTATACCGGATAATAATTCCGGAATTATACGAAGTCCCATTCTCGATGAACCGGCACATGTAGCTGCAGCTGTTGTTGACACCGATGCCAGAAAAGGTATAAGCTGAAAGTAAAAGCACACAGAGAGAGAGAAAAGTAAAGAATAAAATGATTGACACAGTAATAAAATATGAACGAATGAAATGTAATAGAGAAGACAATGAATAGTTTAGGTTGAATAGACTAAAATATCAAATATCCTAGGTACAGTCAGTCAGTTGCGACGTAGAACTTCGTACGTATGTACATGAGTTCATGTTGACACACCACATTAACACAGAGACGCAAATGTCAAATCAAATACCATAGTGATAAACATAGTAGGGGTATTAATGGTAATGAAGAAGACTAGGGTTTGAAGATATTATTCAAGAAATATAATTCAGTGAGATAAGGTTAGAAAGACTAAGGTAGAGGTGCTGACGATTCCAGAAGATTAAGATTTGAGAGAGCACAACGAATGGATGCACTTGCGCCATTGCAAACGATTTCGAGCCATGTCGTTCAAGGTCTCTAACCATTGGTGACTTTCGTCTCGCGGACCCCATACAGGTAGCCTACATCTACCAACATGACCCAGTCCACTTGTCAGTGACTTCATGCGTTTCTGTCATGTTTTAGTTTGGCCACCCCTAACTTTCTGCCAACCTACTCCTACACCACAAAACATAGCTCGTCGAGGCAGTCGGTGGTTAGGGATTCGTAACACATGTCCCAACCACCTTAACTGATGAAGTTTCAATTCTTCATCTATATCTTAGTTACAAGTATATTGAATAACATTATTGATATATAAGCAATAAAAACTCTAACATCTACAAAATATGACTCCACGGACTTGTGCCACGGTTCGGTCTGGCCACTGCCCTGGATAACCGAGTAAGCAACGCTGTTATTAGGAAACAAGTGATAGGTAAGGATGGCAGATCAATAAATGAAGTGGTGAAACTTCATTAGTTAGGGTGGTTGGAATATGTTTTGCGTATGCCTAATAACCGACTGCTTTGTCGAGCTATATTTTGAGGTGTAGGAGTAGGTTGGAAGAAAGGTAGGGGCGACCAGATCAAAACATGGTACAAATCCATGAAGTTGATGATAACTGGATTGAGTCATGTTGACAGATTTAAGCTAACCTGGTTGTGGTCCAAGAGACGATAGTAAATGAATGTTAGAAACTTTAAATGATATGGCTCAAAATCATTTTTAATGGCGCATATGCATCCATTGTTTATCTTCTCTTGAATTCTGATCTTCTGCATTCCTCACATCTCTCTTTCTATATCCTCCAGTTATACTTCTCGAATCATATCCTTGTACACTAAGATTTTCGATTACTGCTAATGCTTCCATTCCGTCTACTCCTACGGGATTTGAACTGAAAATTCCATTTCTCTGTGCTAATGTGGTATAGCAACTTGAACTGATGTACGTTCGTACAAAGCTCTATGTTGCTATCGACTGGCCACCGATAGCTTTCTTCCAACCTACCCCTAACCCTACACAACAAAACATAGCTCGTCGAGGCAGTCAATCAACTCAAATGATAAAAATTCACTACATCATCAATTGACTTTTCATCCTAACCTAGTCTCCTTTTCTTAACACCAACACTGATTACTCGATGGTTCCACAATACACAAGCAATGATCGAATACTAATATCCTGAGAATATTGTCTACTCTTACTGGCCATTATACACATGTATAAAGTAGGAATGAGAGAACTAATGCGCAGTCGTTTGGTTACCAGACGGATATCTTGTCACATACAAGTTGGCAAAAGACAGTCTAGACTTTTGTAATCATGCTGCGACTTCATTAGTCACCGAGCATCGTTGCTTAATGTGGTCAGAAGACTCTTCACTTCATTGCGCAAATGTATCTTATGACAACTTGAACTGATATACATACGAACCATGTTCTACATTGTTGTTGACTGACTGACTGACTGATTGAATCATGTATAAACAATAAAATCTCTTGTCAATGTCATTAATTTGCATGTGATCGATTTCTGATAACGACATTGGTTAGAACATGTTCATGAATTGCTCAACATGAAGCATATTCTTCAATTATTATTGTACGTGAAGTGTGTATTCTGTTGATCTGATGATAATGATTTATATAGTGAAATTATTAATAAACGGGTTATTGAATAGTCAGTAAGTTACTATTCCATTATACGTAGGTTAGAGTTTTCACAAGAATGATGTACACAAATACCACGTTAAATGAAAATAGTTTCCAGCATAGACTAAATAGATTTGGATGAGTTTCATGTAAATCATGAACCAATCAATAGCTAGACCACCACCATTGACAACCTGGAAGTACTGGACACCAGTGCGGTCAAAAAAGATCAGCACTACCGGCAGAGTCTCGTAGATAAGCACTGTCAATGAGCATTATACCTAAAAAGACGGAATAGTTGTCCAATGCTGTTAGTGGGACAAAGATGGAATTAAAGCATGACTACGTCACTACGCGCTGATTGGCTAAATTCCTATCCAATCAGCGCCTGATCAAAGCTTGGAGAACAGGATAGAAAATTCTCGTATTGATAGCTGCATGCTGATTGGTTAAATCTAATCCAGCCGATCAGGTGAATTTCAATCCAGAAGCTTTTCTCATGTAAAGGCTATAAATAGACTAGCGTTGTATTTATCTTTGCCTTCTGGCCTTCGCCATCACCTCTGGCTTCTTATTCCTTACTATTTTGGAATATAATCTTTTCCTGTTCAACCGTGTTTTTGATTTTGGGGGACTTGTCCAGTGTTTTGTGTCAAAGAATACTAAGCAATAAGATTTAGTCGGGAATTATCTTAAGCAAGCGTTACAACAAATGCTTTCACCAGGCTGGCCAATGGAGTGTAGTCTAACTTTCAATCGAAAACTACTTGATAATATAATATAATATATACACTAGTGTATAAATGATTACTTGATTTTCGTCACCATGAACAGAATAGGATTTATCATGATGACGATCGATAGTTGTTGAACACATGGAATCAACCATGTCAAGATCTGAAGATAAACGTTTCACCACAGACATTGTTACAGGACCTTCTAACCAACTAATACCATGTGATGATAATACAGATGATCGGCATACATGTGCAGCCATAACCATACGACTAGAAGCTTGTTCGGCTACTTCTTCCTATTAGAACAGAATAATAATAGTAATAACAATAATAATAATAATAGTAATAATAACTAAAGCATTGAAGTAACCAACCAATAACAGTAAGAACAATCGAAAGTGAATTTATGTTATAGGCTGTCATTATAATGGACGATGTTTGTGGCTCAGGTGGATGGTTGTGGTGGTGTTTGGTTCTCTGAGCTGGATGTTTTGGTTGTGGAGCTTTCATTGTTCTTCTTCTGAACAACATCATCAGCAGCACAAACTTCAGATAGAAGAAGTGAAGCATTCAAATTTCTCCACATTTGACCTGTAGATTGTTCTGCTAACCTCGATCTTGATTGGTTGCTAATGTTGACCTTAAACCTGTCGTTGTTTGCACATTTGTTTTGATTGCTAATTGGTGTTCACGTAAACGAAGCTGGAGAGGCCGTCCACTTTGTCCTATGTAACACCTATGAAACACCACCACAATCATCCACCTGAGCTACAAGTTTTCTCCACCATCTTAATGGACGATGAATAAATAAGGGAATTTATGGAGATGATTGATATTTGATATAAATTAATATAAAATACTTGATTCTGACTGAGTACTTTAAAGGTTAAGAAATTGCCACCTTACTATGTACGATCATTAGTATTGGTTTCAATAATACTCCAAAGCCTAACTAGAGCTCGTGAAGAACAGACTTGAGAAAAAAAACCAGGTTGGATTTCGATCTGGACGTGGATGTATAGACCACATTTTCACACTACGTCAGGTCCTAGAACAAAGACACACGTTCAGACACCCCACAATAGTAGTATATCTCGACCTAATGGCGTCATTCGATTTTGTGGATCGTGAGGTTCTGTGGCAGTGACTGTCACTGGAAGGTGTACCAAAGAAGTACATCAACCTTATACAAGCTCTGTACTCGAACACCCCTGGTCGGGTGAGAGCTTATGGAGAACTGTCATCGGAATTAGTTACTTCAAATGGTGGCCGTCAGGGTTGTCCATTCTTGTCTTACTTTGTCGTTGACATGCTTTCAGAGTTACCTATATCGTCGTCTGACTCTTTAGGAGTGGACCTTCTACCAGGAAACATGCTTGCTAACTTAGAGTATGCTGATGACATAGTCCTATTCGGTGAAGACGCTGACAAAGTGCAGAGTCTTTTAACAACTCTGAGCAAAACTACAAGCATGTTCAGGAAGAGGTTTTCTCCCTAAAAATGCAAAATGTTGCTTCAGGATTGGGTTGAATCGGCATCTGAACTAGTGATGGGGAGTGAAGTAGTCGAGCGTGTAGACCGCTTCACTTATCTGGGGAGTCTCATCAGTGCTGATGGCCTGGTGACTGACGAAAGCTCGATTGGCTTTTGCCAACTTGCGTCACCTATGGCGCAGGCGAGATATCCGTTTGCTAACCAAAGGACGAGTGTACTATGCAGTAGTTCGCTCCGTCTTACTTTATGACTGCGAAACAGTCATAGACATACACCCTGACGTCCCACTAAAATAGAATTTATCGACATTTATACGGCATTTGACTCTACGGAGCATTATTTATATATCCTGAGACAATCGAGTAAGCAATTCCAGTGTTAGGAAAAGGGTACCAGTTAAGGATGGCAGACCAAAAGATAGAGTAGTGAATTTTTATCAGTTGAGGTAGTTAGGACATGTGCTACGAATGCCTAACCACCGACGAATCAGATAACGATTACACAGCCAATTAACGTATCCTCCTGCGGCTCCCCTTTCAAGGTTACTGTCTGGCCCAAACCCAGATAAAGGAGGCGTGTTCGGGCATGGAATTTGCGGTCCTGTTCCGTAGAAAAGTAACTCACTAAAAACACCTAAATCAGAAACTAGTCGACGGCCTATGCTCCACTGTGGGGGGGTAACAGGTATGTGTAATTAAGTAAATAATTAATACACAACCAACTTAACTTACTAAGCATAAATTACATGTGACTAATTCTGTATTTTGCACTTCCATTCCGCCTTGTGAAGATGAAGAAGAATTAGGGAACAGGTATGCAGCAGCACTGCCTAACGATCTTGTTGGACCAAGTGCACATTGTTGTACAACAGTAGATTGTGCAGTTGTTGATTGATTCAAATTGTCATTGTTTACTTCAGGATAATCAATATCCATTAATTCAGCCTGGAGAAATGCAAAATGCAAAAATAAATACACATAAAACACAATCACACTGGATGATGTGGTATTGTGGTGCGTGCTACTTATAAGTAGTATATGACGCGAGTGTAAACGTAGTGTCTGGCAGAAGAGAAGATGGGGGAAGATCAAGAAAGGCAGAGCGGAAACACAATGGAATTTTCTACGAAACGCATGAATAAGTGAAATGTCAGACAATGGATTGATGATGATTGATTGAAGATTTGCAAATGAACCGTTTACGATATGGTTTTCCTATTTTACTGAGTAACTCTAATTTTCGCTAAATACAATTTGGTTGTCCTCACCTGTGTTCTCCTTCACTACAGTATTTTCAAGTAGTCGACTCTGTAACAATTATAGTCATAAGTTTAGTATCCCGTATTCAGTTGTGCAGAAGCTTGAGGATGAGACAAACAATGAATGATGCAACTGTGCCATGACGTCATTCAAAGTTTCTAACCACCTGTTCCGATTATCTCGACAACAATAGCCAGGTGATGAGTCTACACCTGGGACTGCACAAAGTGTATGTTGGCGTATATGAATAGTGCGGACTCCGGAATGTATAATTTATGTGCGTAACTATATGCAAAGAGTATGTCTGTAGGTTCGAAAGAAAGAACGTTACCTCAAAAATTCTGTCCCATTTATGAAGAGTAAATAGAATGTTTATGCCTATATATAAATCATGAAATGCTTAAGCAAACGTTTACGTACCAGTGATATTCATGTAGCGACCACCTACCCTGTCAAAAGGCGGTTGTGACTCTGAATTTACCAAGCGACGTATTGATGAAAATTTGTGTGTTGCTAGTGTGCGAGTAATGTATGAACGACCTACAAGATAAGTATTCCTATATGTAGCTTATGAGATAATATGACGTGAAACCTCATGTGTTCCAAATGTGCATGTAACGTGTGCTTCCTTCTGGGGCGATGTCTTGAGCTAAGATCTCTGATGTAACGGTTCTAAGTTTCTGTATCTCTAGTGACAAAAACCACTCCATAAGCGCTATTTGATGTCTCCTGATGAGGTTTCACAGACCTCTACAGTTAAAACACCGAACGCCACTGTTGACATATTGTAACAAAGTGGAGTGATACACATTTTTGCCAGTTTAAACATTGTTCATGACTGTAGAACCTGGTGACTAATAGTTCCTGTAACTAACATCGGTTTAAAATAAAATCTGAGGATCATCTGACAACAAAAGTGTAAATATTTTGCAATCAAAATAAAAATCCATAACCTACTTCATTCGTGGTAGCTTCATTTTGTGTCAAAGAATCCATAAAATTTCTTTGCATATTTGACATACGTGCCATAATTCGTGCACGTCGTGCTCGTGCTTTCTCTGCACGATCTTGTTTGATTTGTGCATTGGATAATTGATAAGATGGAGATTCCTATGAGAGTATAGGTGAATAAACACAAACACACAGAGTAACAATTGAGTACTTTGGTTCAAGAGAAAAACACAACTAAGTAATACCAGTGAAAATTCCTATAAAGATATTTCGTGAGAAGATGAATAGACAGAGGGAACATTTCGTCACATGACAGACACATTTACCCAAGGTCGTATGTTATCTATGACTGAATAACTGATAAATTTACATCATCATAAGGAATAGACGACAAGAATACTCGTAGCTTCCTACATGCAAATGTAAACCTTTATATTTCTGGGCAGTATCATTGATGATAAGGGTGGATCTGATGCAGATATGACGGCACGGATCGGCAAAGCAAGGATAGTACTTCTGGATTTAAAGAACAGTCGTGACTAAAAATAAACGTCAGCCAACACCAAAGTCACAATTTTAAATACAAATATCGAGACAGTTCTACCGTATGGGGTAGAGGCTTGCAGAACCACGAAAGCCATCATTCACAAGATACAAGTGTTTATTAACAGTTGTCTACGCAAAATACTTCGGATTCGTTGGCCAGACACCATCAACACCATCGTACTGTGGGAGAGAACAAACCAGATTCCAGTGGATGAGGAAATCAGGAAGAAGCGGTGGAAATCGACAGGACGTATGGTAAGGAAAGCAACTAACTGTATCACAGGACAAGCCCTCACTTGGAACCCTCAAGGTCAACGAAAAACAGGAAGAGCAAGGTGCAAATTACGTCAACAAATGGAGACAGAAGTGGGGAGAATGAAGGAAAACTGGACAGAACTGGAAAGGGAAGCCCATGACAGATTAGGTCATAGAATTCTGATCAGCGGCCTATGATTGATCGGGTATAACTAGCGTAAGTAAGCGTTTCTGCAAAAATTCAATAAGTCCGAAAGATTCGATAAATTAGTAGGGATTACAGTTACATCACTGCTATTGAAGCAATATAAATCAACAAGAACCACAGCAAAAAAACAGACTAAATTTTGACATATCAATTCTATTTGTGTGTATGAAAACTGTTATAATGCTGCTACGCATAGCTATTCAGTCCTAGCGGCTCCCAATTCAAATATCCCAATACGACCCAAAATGCTATTTCCAAATCTCCTATATATCAGAACGCAACACCGTGGGATGGAGTTATTTATTGGGTCGAGTACAGAAGAGAGGTAGGCAGGAAGAAACGGAAACGGAATCGGAATCATGAAGTCTTACAGATAGTGCGTATTTATACATTTAGGTCGAATAGGAAAGAAGCGTCAAACTCTGTAACATTGACAGTTTAGGACGACGACCAATAGGAAAGAACATTTGAAATGACATTGACAGTCCGGATAATCCAATAAGAGACAAGATTGAAGTATTTGACTTTGACAGTTAAAACGACCATAATTTTGACCAATAGAAATCGACCAATGGGATTACACTTCTAAAAATAGTACTCTTAGGATATTTGGTGAATATTTTAACAAAAACACACAAAGAATTCACCAATAACAACAGATCTATAATGAACTTACCTCAATTATTTCACCAGATTCCGATGTCTGTTTACCAAGAGACGGTTGTTCATCTGACATAGTTTGTACAACTTTATTCCAATAATCTAAAGTCCATCTATCATAAAATACAACAAACAAACAAATAAAACATGATTAGTAACTTCGATATTCCTACCTAACCTTTTGAATCATTCATCATCTATATCTTTCTCTTTTTCTACAGTTATCTCACTGAACAATATATATACTTCTTGATTAATTTCTTCAAACCCTAATCTTCTTCATTACCAGTAATACTTATACTATCTCTACCGTTATTCGATTTGAACTGACAATTGTGTATCTGTACTGATGCAGTATGGCAACCTAAACTGATGTACGCAAGTACGAAGTTCTACGTTGTAACTGACTGACTGACTGACTGAGTAACTCCAATATACAAATATAGTTTAGTATGTGAGTTGTATGAAGATTGTTGAGTTTTAACGAGATAATCAATCAATCAGTGTTGGACTACAATTGAAAAGCTGAAAGCACCACTGAACACCCATTTTGTTGTAGTTTAGGACTTAGCAGCAATGCACGTGTCCACCACCATTCACGCAGGATTCGAAACAAGGACCCTCGGTTTCGTTTATGCTGTCCAGTGCTATCAGGTTTCCAAAAGTGATAAATATCATTGATTGGTTCATCATTTCAGTGAAATTCAACAGCCGCCACAACCCTATACTGATATAATGGTGTACTAACTAGTGACTAGCCTTTTAGGGATAATCTAGTGAGAAGTCGTGACCAGTGCAGTATTCATCGGAGACAATGGATGATGGTCACGGATGCCAACTCATTTGTCAAGAGGTTAAATGTTCAAGCGCGAGAGCAAGGGCTATAGGTTCGAGTATCAGGGTGCTGGCAGTTGCAGTTGCACGCTCTTGATGAGTCCCACACAACGAGCAAACGGTCGTTCTGTGTATGCCGGTTTTCAGTTGTGGTGGTGTTTCGTTCACTGAGCTGGATGTTGTGATTGTGGAGCTTTCATTGTTCCCTTCTGAACAACAGCATCATCACAAACTTCAGATAGAATTAGTTTTCAATGGTGAATGATTCACGCTTTGAATGAAATTCAACTATGAATGTATAGATCAATTGATTAAGAGTATCGGTAAAAAGTTCAAGAACTAAGCTTAATTCTAGCCGGTCTCCATAAAAAAAGGCAAATCTGTGATTACGAAGAATCTGACTTAAGAAGCGATTCAACCGTTTTGCAGACCACCAATGCATGAAGATCGGATTCGATCGGTAACCCACACACAGATGATATCAATCACCAGCCAGCGATCAATCACTTGTAAGCAGTAGAAATACACAATCCTATCTAGAAAAAAAAATTTAAAACCTCCAACCATCGAAAATGAAGAAAAAAAACTTTAGTTGGTGGAGAAGATTTGTAGCTCATGTGGATGATTGTAGTGGTGATGTTTAGTTCTCTGAGCTGAATGTTTCGGTTGTGGAGCTTTCATTGTTCTTCTTCTGAACAACATCATCAACAACGACAACGCTTCGCTTATATCAATACACACCAACAATTATGGACATACATTCGATTGCAACAATGTGGAAATACTCTGGATAGGGGGAGGACAAAGAACACTAAGGGATTTTCAGAAGCTTGACACTCAGGTCAATCAACAATCAACAAACATATCGACATTGACCCAATTTACCAACCAATCAGAAAAATTATAGGTGACATAGGATCAAGAAGCAGATCAAAAGGGAGATACAATCAAAACAAATGTGCAAACAACGACAGGTTTAAGATCAACAGCAACCAATCAAGATCGAGGGTTAGCAGAACAAGCTACGAGTTATTTCGTGGAGAAATTCGAATACTTCACTTCTTCTATCTGAAGTTTGTGCTGATGGTGTTGTTGTTTAGAAGAATAACAATGAAAGCTCCACAACCAGAACATCCTGCTCACAGAACCAAACACCACCAACACAAAACTTTAGTCATCGTGACAGGAAAATATTCGATAATCGATTACAAGTCGACCACCACTGAGGGAAAGCTGAAAAATCCGACAGAAGGTTTTGTGTTTTTCTCAAAAGATAAAACTACTTACTTACCTAATCAAATCGGAGTGATCATCATAATGAGCAGAATTTAAAATGCGTACCAATCGTGAAGTAATACAATTGCTGAAATGAAAAATAAAACAAACAAGACAATAATACAATTGCTTTCTCAACTCGTGCTGTTACGGGTGTGTGAGCGGTTGTCACTTCCCGGCTGCCCACACCGTAGAAGGTTGTTTCTTGAGGAACCTGAAAAGGAAGATAGATAGATTGTTGGTCTTAGAGACTTGAGAGCGTAACCGCCGAGTTCAGGGGACAACTGCTTGAGGCCGGTCACGCACGGCCTTTTGATGAAAGGTTTTTTTAGTATTAGCTCCACTCTTGAAGGCCATAGTGGACACCCTTACCCAAGGAGACAGAAATCTGTGAGTTAGGGGAGGTGTGACATTTTTAGGGCCGACCTTTTCTAACCCTTCCTTCCTTGTGAGAAGGCAGCATCGCTGCAGATGCTGGTTGTCCGAGGGAAACACCTTACTGCTGTCACACCCCTCTGCAGTAGTCAGCAGAACGACTTCGCCCTCAGACCTTGGGTAGCTGCTTTTAGTCTCATCGCTCTCCAATCGGCCTTGCTGGCATGGTCGAACGTACAGGAACATATGTTCCAACCAATATAGCTCGGTTGAGTCATCAAGATAGGCAAGACCAACCACCACGTTAAAGCAGCCGGTACGTTTGGGAAGAAAACTTGTAGTCCAAGTGGAGTTTCATTCTCTAAGCTGTAGGAATAATGAACTCGTAGAATGAGACTCAATCGTTAATTATCCTGTTTTAAAATGAATTTCTTTTCAACACTACAACATATATAAAGCAACAAGAACCTACTTTTTAATCAGTGTAAATAAAACAGATTTCTCTATTATTACAGGTTTTAACCAATGTCCAGTACGTGCAAGCTCTTTCAATTCAGCATCGGATTCATTTTGTTCTGGAACACGAGAAACCGCTGACAAAAATGGATATGAACCAGTTTTACTAAGAAAATAAAATAAAATAAAACAATAATGAAAATAAAATGAAACGATAATAATTAAAAAAAAATAAAGTTATCTTTTTAAAAAAAAAATACAAGTGTTCATGAACAGTTATCTTCTATGCAGTATACTTCAAATCATAGAAACGAAGAAGGTGCAAGACAGAGTTGAAGAATGCTGGTTAATGAATGGTCTAGGCAGCAAATTTACAGTTGGGTTGTAAAAAAACAAAGATTGAATTCAAAATATACACACCATATATTTAGTAAACACCATCTCGAGCCCTTCTCAGGGTTATTTCTGATCCCAAGGCCGGATAAAGGATGATGGTTGAGCATTTAGAGGTTGTTAGCGACTGTGTATCCCGTAGAAAATCAATTTGCCACTAAAAAAAACACTAACCAGAAAAAATAATTCAAAACCGTATTGAACATGCATCGGCACCTGAACTAGTGATGGGGAGTGAAGTAGTCGAACGTGTAGACCACTTCACTTATCTGGGTAGTCTCATCAGTGCCGATGGCCTGGTGACTGACGAAAACTCAGCTCGGATACAGAAGGCTCCATTTGCTTTTGCCAACCTGCGTCACTAATGGCGTACGCGAGATATCTGCTCGATAACCAAAGGACGAGTGTACTGTGCAGCATTTCGTTCCGTCCTACTGTACAGATGCGAAACATGGCCGTTAAGAGTAGAAGACTTCCGTAGGTTACTAGTCTTCGATCATCGGTGTATGCGAAGCATTGCACTCTTGTATTTGAACTGACAGTTACGTCTCTGTGCTGATGTGGTATGGCAACTTGAACTGATGTACTTACGTACGAAGTTCTGAATTGTATCTGTTTGTCTGTATTGAACTTTGCTCTGCGAGTTAAAACACGTCTTTATTTAGAAGAGAGTAATAACTTTTCTTAGTGAAAAGAGTCGAGTTTTTCTTCGTAAATCACAAGGCCAATAATGCATCATCTTCTGACAACCAGAGCAATGATTGATATAATAATTAATAAAGATGTGAGGTTGGGTACTTAAGATGAAATGTTCAACTATTTTTATGACCATAAATCGGAATAAATCAATGAATAAAATGATGTTTCTCATATTCGCATAGAATTACTGTTAAGCGGAATATCCATGATAAGATACAATTAAGTGTTATCTAAAAAACAGGAGAGAAGATACTACTAAATAAGTCACATTATTTTGTACACACATCTAGTCGTGATCAATGGAGTTTAACCCTGCTCGGGTTTGAAGCAGTACTCGCCGAAGATAGTGAATGGAACTGTGCAAAAAGACCGTAGATATATTTGAAATTAGACTAACACCGTTAGATGCCGTGTCAGTGGTCTGTAGATCAAGTGTTCACGTGCACGATCGAAGGTCCTGGATTCGAATCATGCGAGTGGTGAGAATCGTGGATGCGTTCCGTACCAGGATGAAACGGCCGTCCAGGTTGCTAATGATGGTCGGATATTGATCGATTCATGATTTTTAAAAAATAACTAGATTATCAAATTCAAAGTTCATTTGCTCTATTGTGAAATTTCCATTGACCCCATAAAAACAACTATGGCGTTAGACCACCATTAGAAACCTGGAACAAGCACTGGACGGCCGTTTCGTCCTGGTATGGGACTCTTCAGCAGTGCGCATCCACGACTCCTGCACCTCACAGGATTCGAACCCAGGACCTTCGGTATTGTGCGCGAACGACTAAACGTTAGACCACTGAGCCGGTATCTAACGGTGTTAATGTCTAAGTTGATTTACCATGCCTATTTTGCTGACAGTTTATTGTTTACAATCTCCGTTTCTCTACCCACTGTCAATTTTCAGCGCATTCATGTTAGTTTGTTAGTGTGGTGTGGTCTGTTTTGTGTGTGTGTTTACAGAAGTTTGAAATATTACATAACTAATCTTGGACTAGTTAATAATTACTGGTTTCGCATTCTACTTCTTCGGTGTTTGAAGACTAGTTAGTCATTGAGGCCGAAATCTTCAAAGATAGAGCAACATCGCATTTTTTGATCTTTATTGCATATTACTCACTAAGAGTTTATCTACACAAGAACAAATCACAATCGAAATTTATGATATAAGGCAAATCAACCGCATTAGGCGCATATTTTACTCATCTATACGGCTAAATATGAGAGAGAGAGAGAACGAACCAGATTCTAGCAGTGGAGGGAATTATAAATAAGTGCAGAATATGGATAACACATATATATATATTGTGTAAATCATCTAACTGCATCACAAGACAAGCAGTCAGTTGGAATCCTCAAGAAAGACCCGAGAACACATACATTACACCGAGTATTGAAGACACACATGAGAATAATGAATAAGCCATTGGATAGAACTAGAAAGGAAGACCAGTTACAAAGTATGTTTAGGGGAATGTTGGTTCGCAGTCTATGATGTATTGGGAGGTGTGTAACAGTCATAAGTAACTATGTAAGTTATATAGTTGAATAGAATTTTCAGCATTCGGGCTGAATACATCAAAATCAACTCAACAAATACAAAATGCACTAAACTAACACATCAATCAACTCACCTTCCACTTAATTCATCTTCATATAATGCAGTAATAATTAAATGTAACAACAGGTCCAACAAATTATTTGACCACCATGAACTACTACTACTACTGGATGTACCTCCACCGGCACCGCCACCGCCAGCACAACCACCACCATGTGATGTATAAGCAATATCTAGCAGGATTTTTATAAAACGTACAAATGTAACACATTGAATAATTTGTAATGGTCCTGATGATAAAGATGATTTGAATTTATGCAATGGACGAGGGATTGGTGGTGGAATAGGAAGATTTTTCAATTCTACATTCTGATTGGCATCAACTTGTTGTAACCATTTTTTTAATACTTTTGAAACATTTGTTTCAGCCTATTGATGGTTTTTTTTGGGTAAAAAAGAAACAAGAGAGGAGATATCAAAGTTGTTAAAATGTATATACATAGATAAATCATAATATGTTTGGTCGATCGATAAAAAAATATGGTGATTACATAATCCGATGGAATTGAAAAAGTTCAATGACGATGATTGAATAGTCATGTTAGCAGATGTAGACAACCTGTGATGATAAGAGGGTTGGTGATGCATATGCTCGCCAATTGATATGTTTGGATGCTATTACGGGTTCACCTTGCTCGGTAATAAACGAAAGCGAAGACAAATGATACAGTGACACGCCAGACTATTCTAATCCTATTGTCCCCGAGCGCGCTAATTATAGCAAGATGCGTATTCTACAAGCACCCCCATCTTCTGCTGCCAGACATCACGTTTTTACTCACGTCATATACTACTTATAAGTAGCGCGCACCACAATAGAAACTCCCTTGGGAGAGCCAAAAAATAGCGTATCATAATAATCCACCGTCCAATGACAGTCAAGGATTTTCCGAGTGGAAAATGTAGGGTGAAGGTCAACTAAGCGACTTATTCGCGAAAACATAAAAAACCAAAAATTAGAACCTTTTCAAAGTGAGTTCTAAGAATCTAATGTACCCAACAACGCGATAATCGTTATCAGTGGTTAGAGACTTTGAATGAAATGGCTAGAAATAACTAGCGATGGCGTAAATGCATCCACTCTTTGTATTCTCAAGAAATTCTCAATTTATGAATTCTTCATGACTATGTTTTTTCCTTTTTAAGAAAAAAATTTATTTCACCGGTTTGAAACTACTCGGATTGTATTTTTAACCTCTAGCCTTCTCTATTAGTGTTAATACTGTTAAGATCTCTGTCACTACGGGATTTACACAGATAACTAAATCTGTGTGCGCTAATGTATGTTTTAGTAACTTGAACTGATTGACGTAAGTCAGTTAGTCAGCCAGAACGCAGACCTTTGTACGTACGTGCATCAGTTAAAGTTGCTATACCACAATAGCACAGAGATGCAATCGTCAATTCGTATCGCTCAGTAGTAGATGTAGTAAAAGTATTAACAGTATTCGAAGAGATTAGGGCTTGAAGTTATCATTGAAGAAGTAAAATTGAGTGAAATAAACTTAAAAAAGAGAAAGATAAAGGTGATGAAGAATTCAGAATTAAATAGAACACAATGAGTGGATGCACCTAAGCCGTTGTAAATGAATTTCACCCCTATGATTCAAGGTCTCTAACCATGAACTACTATCATCTCGCGGACCCCAACCAACATGGCTCAGTGTGCCTGTCAGTGACTTCCTGGTTTTGTGCCATGTTTTAGTCAGGCCACCCTAGATTTATGTAAGTAAGAAATTCTACATGATGGCTGACTAACTAACTAATTAACTGACTGGAATATAAGGACTAAAATACTTACTTTTCAAACTATTTATGTTGCTTTTTACTGGTAATATAAGGTATTCTCACTCTCATAACAAATGAGAAATAACGCTGTTACACAGTAGTCCAATCACCGTATACCAACTTGACATTCTATCGGGCTACAACTGGATGGAATCACTGTGGTTCTTGACAACCACAACCACAACCATATTTTGCAAATTAACGATTAACGATATAGTTTTCCAATTTTACTGAGTAACTCTGTAATTTTCGTTAAATACAATTCGGTTGCCCCACCTGTGTTCTACTTCACTACATTATGAGTTGACCTTTGTGGGTTAGACCATCATTACAAAAACTGGATGTACTTGATGGGACAACTTATCAGCAGTACACTGGCACAATCCCCGCTCACGGACAGCGAACGCTATAATCAATTTATGATATCAAATGAAACTCAACAATCAGTATAAACCTTATCATAGTGAAAATACTTAAGAACAAAAATTTAAACAATCCGATTATATCACTTACAGCCGTTTGGTCCGCATGTCTATATCCCCAATAAAATCGATTAAATCGATAAGCCATAAATTCTGGTCGTATACTAAATACAGTTTTATTATTCACTGATAATTGTACAGCTATTTTATGTAAAATTTTTGGTAAAACATTTTCAATAGCACGTTTATTAGCACTTCTTGATACGGAAGCCGGTAATGCAACAGGTTGTCGTCTAGTGGGACACGAAGTTGTTGACAGCGATTGTACATCTTGTGCGCCCATTTCATGATCTTCTGATTCATTGTTAGATTGATCATGATCATGATGATGATGTTGTTGAGTTGATGTGGATTCGACATGTTGTTCTGTTGGTATTTTTAACAATAAACTAGTTGCATTTTGATAAGGGAGTATTGATAATAATTCACTGTAACTCAATGGTTTTAAACACAGTGTATGTATTACATCATTAATTAAATTAGCATAATAAATTTCTGATTCTGTATCAATAAGAATTTCATCTAGAGAACACCCGTTGGCTAATTTCTGATGAAAATTATTCATTAAATAATAATCTTTACTGAAATAACCCATGGATGGACGTGCACGATTAGTAACACAGGCTAATAAAACACGTAGTAACATTTCCACTGCTTGTACACGACCAGGACCAGGTTCTTTTGATGTGACATAACTAGATGAGTTTGGTTTTAAAAAAAAAACAGATTTTTAGTACGAGAAATAAAGTAATCGGTTAAAAAATTATGTATTAATCAACTGGTTACTTATGAGTAGTATAGTTATATTTAAGAATATGTTTACTCAAATACGGATAAGTGTTCTTGTTTCACTAAAGTCAATCACCCGTCGGCCAATGAGGAAGTGGCTAAAATTTTAAGAAATGGAACATTAAATTATGTAATACGAGACAGTTTGTGATAATCGTTGAATTTTCAGAGGACTTCATTAGTATTTATCGCTGTAATGCTTAAAGTTTAGTACACAGGAGCTCCTAGATATTTATGCGCTGCAGAAATCTATGCATTTTTATGTATGTATGGATAAGATGAGAAACTACAGAAATTAAAACTTTTTTAATGTGGAAATTAGGCGCTAAATGCCACGATTAAAAATTAAAAATTAGTTTCACCTGGGAATACTCATTCGCTAGGATGAACTTGCAACTCAGAGTAGATGTTCGCTTCGAGACTCGAATCCAATACCGATTGCTACAGACTGATCAATTCCAGTCCATAAACATCAATACAAATAAACTAATCTGCACCCAATAGCACAAACGAATAGCTAAGTCGATGCTGCGTTGGTGTTTAAAGTGAATGGTATTGAGTTCGAGTCTTGGAGTAAACATCCACTATGAGATGTAAGTACATTCAGCTGAAGACTCCAATATAGGATCGAAAACACGCATCATAGATTCCACTGCCAGTCCACTATACCAATTCGTTTATCGTAAAGGCAATATCGAGGCAATCAGCTCAGGTTGAACGTGTACTTGTATGCAAAAAAAGGACAGACTGACCAATGTATAGTCTAGTCTTGACTTAAACATCCATGACAGACAGACAGATACAACACAGAACTTCGTCCACAAGTACATCAGTTCAGGTTTCCATTCCACATCAGTACAGAGACGCAACTGTCAGTTCAAATCCCAGAGTGATAGCGATAGTAGAAGTATTAGCACTAATGCAGAAGATTAGGGAGCGAAGATATGATTCGAGAAGTATAATTCAGTGAGATAAATTTAGAAATAGAAGGATAGAGATTATGAGCAATGCAGAAGCTTAGAATTTCATAGAACACAAAGTGTGGATGCATCTGCGCCGTTGCAAACGATTCTGAGCCATGTCGTTCAAAGTCGCTAACCACCGGTGACTATCGTCTCGCGGACCCCAACCAGGTAGTCTACATCTACCAAGATGACTCAGTCTATTTGTCAGTGACTTCATGGATTTCCGCCATGCTTTCTTCTGGCCACTCCTAGCTTTCTGCCAACCTACTCCTACACTGCAACACATAGCTCGTCGAGGCAGTTGGTGGTTAGGCATACGCAGCACATTTCCCAACCACCTCAACTGATGAACTTTCAATGCTTCATCTATTGATTTGTCATCCCTATCTAGAACTCATTTCCTAACGATAGCATTGCTTATACGGTTGTCCCATGATACACGAGCAATGCTTCGGAGACATCGATGATCGAAGACTAGTAACCTACGAACATCTACTCTTGACGGCCATGCTTCGCATCCATATACTAGAACGGAGTGAACTGCCGCGCAGTACACTCGTCCTTTGGTTAGCAAACGGATATCTAGCCTACGCCATAAGTGACGCAGGTTGGCAAAAGCCAATCGAGCCTTCTGTATCTGTGCTGAGATTTCGTCAGTCACCATAAACATCCTTGAAGAATGATTCATAAAACAACCAATATACAAAATGACATAGAATTTATTAACTTACTTTTTCAAATAATTGCCCAAATGAAATTTATGTATTAAACGTATAAGAAATTCATCCGGTGGTAGAATACAACTAGCTATCTGTAATAACTGTAGATCACGATCAATTAATTCAACACGTATAGATGGACTGAATAAATTTGTCATCTGTTAATACAAGTAAAACAATAATAATAAATTTTAGAAAAACCAAAAGAAATACAATAGTTAGCTATCAATCAAGGTACAACCTACTTTACTTACTATAACTTATTTCATTACGTCTGTTAGCCCACCCCCCTCCCGATGGATCATATGCCACCGACCAGTGTTGTTATGCTCGTCACTTGATAGGCCTGAAACTATTACGGGTTCACCTTAGTCGATAAAGGAGAACAAGACAATGAACCAGTGTCCGGGTAGGCTACTCTGATCCGTTAACCCAAAGAAGAAGTCTTGATATAGCATGGAAAGTGTATTGTACAAAAACACCCAGCAAGCACAATACAATCAAGCACACAACTCTCGTTTATGTATACATCATAGAAACAGTCACAAAAACAGCACATCAACCAATCACAGACAAGGATTTTCCTGGTTGGAAATGTGATCTCCAGATCAACTGATCGGTCCATAAATAAAATCCAAAATTAAGGCATTTATCGAGCAAATTCTGAGGATCTAACGTCTCCAACACTCCTCCCCTTTTTAATAGCCTGAGCTCCTGGGATCAACTTGCATCTTGACTGTTGTTTATCGCTGTCTGAAAGGATACCTTCTGGAGCGGAGATCAGCTTGTTGCTGAGTTTCTTCTCATGGTGGGGTTGCCGGTAGTTTGAAGGTATCTAGCAGGATGTCAAGGGGAAGGTTTGCTCCTGTTGATGGGCGATCTGGGGCTAGCCGTTTGCGTATCTGGTTTCGATGGCGTGACCACATTCAACCTCCTAACTCTACTTCGTACATAACAAGCCCAACTGTTCTGGCCACTTGCGCTTCTGCCCAAAGACCATGGCTTGTCCTGTAGTCATGGGCAAACACAGGACATCCCACTGCGTAAGAGGATTTCCTTTCCGACTTTGTACCAGTGTTGGTGCATTACACGGATACATCAGGCTGTGGATCGTTTTCAGACTTCTTGCTATCAGGATTTCTGCTAGGGACTTTTTCTCTGGCAACAACTCATTTTGTGTTGTGTGTGCAAGAAATTTCGTAATGCGTCGGCTGGTGTCTCTTCCCCTGTTGACTTAACCAATGCTCTTTTAAACGCATCAACAAACCTTTCCGCTTGCTCATTCGATTGCGAGTGATATGGTGGCGAGCGTAAGTGTTTGATGGCTAGCCGTTGACAGAATGTTTGGTTCGAGGTAAATCGAGACCCATTGTCAGATACGATCACATATCCAACTTACCCTGTCCTGGGCTTCCCTTTCCAATTCTGTACAATATTTGTGCATGCTTCACATTTCTTTCTCTATTTCTCAGAGTAATGTATTTCTTGGTCTTCCTCTTTTCTTTTTACCTTGAGGATTGAAAGTGATGGCTTGTCTTGTGAGGCAGTTGGGTGATTTCCTTAATGTGTGTCTGATCCACATCGACAGCTTCTTTCTGATTTCTTCCTCCACTGGAATCTGGTTTGTTCTGTCCTGCAGTAGGTTGCTGCTGATAGTGTCTGGCCCACGGATTTGAAGTATCTGGAGTAGACAATTGTTAATGAATGCTTGTATTTTCTGGATGATGGCTTTGGTAGTTCTCTAAGTTTCCACTTCATACAATAGAACTGTACTGACATTTGTTTTGAAAATTCTGACTTTGGTGTTGGTCGATAGTTCTTTTGAGTTCCAAACGTTCTTCAATTGTAGAAATTCTGTGCTTACTTTGCCGATTCGCGCCAAATCAAGGTATTGCTGATTCAAAAAGGGGACAGAAACATTTATGATGCAATGCACAAATTAAGGAATTCGTCTGTGGGGTAGGAGATACTGTCTGGGTGCTCAAACCAGGACAGATGATTTTCTCGAGGATCCCTACTCCCCGAGCTTTTGACCATCAGGTAGTGAGTGATGCGACGTTAAGAAGTGAGTGAGATTACATTATGTGACAATGAGTATACACACGAGGCCAATGAGTAGATATAACCCATCCAACAGGGTCTTTTTTTATGAAAATAAAGGTTTCAGAATTGACCAATCAAAAGCTATGTAAAATTGATCAACACACATTAAAAAAATGAGTACAATCTGAAAATCAACACTTACTGATTGTTGTACAGCAAATCCATTACGTACCCACATTTTCGCGTTGAATTGAGCACAGAATGCAAAAATTTGCAATGGTCTTTCGATTAATAAATTAATAAATCCCTTTTTTTTGAAAAAAAAAATATGAAAAAAAGAGAGAATAAGTACTGAGCAAATTAAAAAAAAACAAAGCGGTAATTAATATCTATGGTGCAACACATGTTACTGAAGTACATAAAATCAATAGCTTGTTCATTTATCTCAGTCAGCTGACACGTAGAACTTCGTAAGTAAGTACATCAGTTCAAGTTGCTGTACCACATTAGCATATATAGATATCGATTTGTCAATCCAAATCCCACAGTGGTAGCGATAGTAGACGTAATAGCGGTAATCGGAAAGATTAGGGGGTTCGAAGATATTATTCAAGAAGTAGAATCTAGTGAAATAAATCTGAGCAGAGCTTAAAATTTGAGAGAACACAAAGAATGGATGCATCTGCACTGTTGCAAACGATTTAGAACCATAACATTCAAAGTCTCTAATCACTGGTTACGATTGTTTCGCGGACACCAACACCTGGCAGTCTACATCTACTAACATGGCTCAATCCAGTTAGCAGTGACTTGACGGATTTGTGTCATGTTTTGTTTTGGAATTAAAAAGTAAGATTTAAAAACTAACAAAATATTCTGGGAAGAATATTTTTTCAGCTTAACTGAAACATGAAAGACACCACTTCTAGTGTACGTTCAGTGAGTTAGTAAAAACAGCAAGTTACAACATAGAACTGCACAAACAAATAGAGCTGTCAATTCAAATTCAATAGTAATAAGCGTAGGAGTAGAATTGCATAAAACAGTTCACTTTGATCAACTTTATGCATAAACAGTACACTACACAAATAAAATTCCCTCTTACTTGATCTAATAAGCCTAAATTTTCAAAATTCAATCCCATCTCCAAACCATGACCATAAAGACTGGCTAATAGACGAGGTATTGGTTGTAATAAACTTAAACGATACACTGACACATCATACACATAGACTTCAGTTGTGACACCAAGTGAATGAAAATACAATTTACTTGACATGACATGATTGGTAGATTCATTATTGTTGCTGTTGTTATTATTATTATTATTATTGTGATCATTGGTGTTCAGATCGATCGGTAATGGTTTAATACGAAAACGACGATCCATTATACCGATACGTGTTTCAAAAACCTTTTAAAAAAAGGAAGTGCAGTAAGCAAAGGCAAAGAAACATACAAATAATGCGAAGTCATATTGAAAACAAAATATTTAAGAAGAAATAAAACCACGGCCAAAGCAATGAAATTACGCAATACTATTCCGGTTGTTCAACTCCGCCTGCAACACTTTGTAGGGTTACCGACCGTCCCAAGCTTAGATAGGGGAGGAGGGCGATCTCATCCCGTAGGAAAAACCAACTCGCTAAAGAAAAACAATGCTAACCAGAAGGAAATAATTTAGTGGTCGATACAGACAGTTGTTATGATATTCACCAAATTACCTAAGAGGATTAGTTGTAAGTTTAATTCTATTGGTCAATTCCTATAGGTCATCCTAACTATCAACGTCACATACTTCAATGTTGTTTCCTGTTCGACCCAACCAAATAAATATGCATTATCTGTAACGTTCTATGACCCGGATCCTTAGTCCGGGATCCTTATCCTCTTCTGGACTCAGACCTCGTACTTTTTGGATGCTTTTAGAATACACGTTCTACTTCATATCAAGTCTTCTTCTTTTACTCAAAGGGGGTTCGGAACAATCGGATTGGAGTGGCATGTCGTGTCGCCGGATCATCGATCCTCGCTCTCATTCACCGACTAGGGTGAACTCGTATCAACTGACGTGCTGACGGGCATACACGTAACACCTATGCTCCATTGAAAAGTAACAGGCGTAGGTATTCTCAATACATAACCAGAGCATAACTCCAGAACATGGGATTCCAAGTAATTATTACGAAAGAAACCAGCCACCTACAAACAGCCTATTTATTTATTATAACAGTCACACACAGAAACAAATAACAAGAAATACCAGAATTCAGTGCAAAATATTCATTACGTAACGAAAACTATAAGATGATTTTTTCTTTGCAGTGGATACACTAGCACAGCACCCACAATGTGTACATTTTTTGTCTTGTCATCACCTTCCTCTTGTTGCTGCATTTTTTTGACCACCCCTGGGGGAAAACTAACTGTTTCTGGTTGAGCACCTACCTATTTTTTAGACAGTAGTATTTTATTAGTTCACTCAAAAATTTAAGAACTTGTGTGGTAGGTACATAATTAATTATATAAGTGTCAGTCAGTCAGATGCAACGTAGAACTTCGTAAGTAAGTACATCAGTTCATGTTGCCATACCATACATCAGCACAGAGATGAATTTGTCAATTCAAATCCAATAGTAGTAGAGGTAGTAAAGGTATTAGAAGTAATCAGAGAGGTTAGGATTAAAAGATATGATTCAAGAAGTATGATTCAGTGAGAATAGTTTAGAGAGTCGAAACTAGAGTTGTTGAAGAACCCAGAAGATTAGGATTTGAGAGAACACAGAGAATAAATGCACCGTCGCCATTGCGAACGATTTTGAGCCATGTCATTCAAGTGTATGTATGTAGCAGTGGTTGCATATTGCTACCCCAAAAAGAGAAAAGGACTATTTTCTAGATTCATTCATATTCATATGTATAGTTGATATACTTATCGTCTAGTGTTTTCAATGGTCCAGAGGTTAGGCGTACGTGCACAAGACCGAAAGTCCTGCGTTCAACCAATCCTGCGAGATGCGGTAGTCGTAGATGCACACTGTCACTGATGAGTTGTCCCATACCAAGATGAAACAGCTGTCTTTCAGTGCTTCTAGATTTCTAATGGTGATGGTCTAACACTAATAATCGATTCATGATTTCAAATAATAATAATTTTGTGTGTTTGATGATTGAATTAGTCATGAGGATTCAGTCAAGGAGATCATACAATTTTCTAAATAATTCTAAGCATATAAATCAACGACTCGATTATAGCGTATTTCACTTTTATCAGTATAACACTTTTTGTTCTGATATTCAAATCACTGTGAACCGTTTTGATTTTGGTGAAATTCCAAACTCTTGATAATGTATTCATAATGATTTGATTTAATTATACATGTAAATATTGAAACAAAGGAGCACCAAAATAGCTATGCGCCACACGAATTTCGAAATTTATAGATTCAACTGAGATACTGACCAGGTGGTTGTTTATCTTAAGTGGTCACCGTTTGAACATTTGACCTATAGGTCTAATCTAATAGGCAGTGGAGCAACGTCGGGAGATGTAGTAGTTCCATGGTGACCGGTGACCGACAATAAGTTCACAGTCTATCCGTTCAAGAATCAATGTCTCCAGCTCTCCTAGGTAGATCTACTAAACCGAACAAATCGGTTAAGGTGCTGGGGCAGTAGCTTTTTGTCGACTCGATTTCCTAAACAACACCAGTTTGAAAAACGTTTAATTAACAGGTTACATTCCGTAAAGATCGATCGTACATTGACTAAACGTCGAATGGAATTCACTCTTATACATCAACTTCACTGACTGTGAGAAAGCATTTAACTAGTTTGGTAAGGCGACACTATTGAGGTTTCTTCGACACTAAGATGTGCTTAAGAAGATAGTCAACATCATATGGAATTCTTATGATAGACTACACTTGAAAATCGTGCATCGAGCACAGATCACTAAAAGTCTTACCAAGAAAAAACCGCTGTCATAGAAGTTTGATTGCTTTCACCCTTTCTCTTTCTCCTGGCGGTCGAATGGATTATGAACACGTCAACATCTGAAAGGAAGCATGCGATACAGCGGACAGACGATCTGGACCTCGCAGATCACCTAGCTCTTCTATCCAACACACACATCAACAAACGTAGATGAAAACGGTCAGAATAGTAACAGCCTCTGCAGTAAGGAATCTCAACATACACAACGGAAAAAGCAAGATCCTCCAATAGAACACATAATACACCAACCAAACTACACTAGATGAAGAAGCTTTGAAAGATGCAGAAACCTTTACATACCTAAATTGCATAAATCATAAACAAGGCGGACCTAATGCCCATATGAAGACATATCAGCAAGGTGAGAGCAGCATTTCTACAAGCGGAGAACATCTGGAATTTAAAACAGCTATCAACTAACACCAACAACACAATATGCAATGCAAACGACAAGATAGTTGTTTTGTTGCACGGAGCTGAAACTTAAAAAACTACAATTCATCGTCCAAACGACACAAGTATTCATAATCCGCCATCTACGCAAGATACAACCGATTCGTTGAGCAAACATCGTAGGGAACAACCTACAGTAGCAGAGAACAAATCAAATTCCAGCTGAGTAAGAAATTAGAAAGAAGTACTGGAGGTGGACAGGACAAACATTCATGAAAACATCCGACTGCGTCACAAGGCAGGCTCTAACTTGGAATCTTCGAATTCAAAAGGAAAAGCAGTAAGCCAAAAAACATATGATATCGTGAATCGGAGACAGGTGTGAAAGGCATAAATAACAATTGGATAGAACTGGCAAGGACAACAGATGACAGAGTTGGTTGGCAACTGCTAGTCAATAAATAGCCTATACTCTCCCCACAAAGGGATAACAGGTGTAAGCAAGTAAGCAAGTAAGTAATATATACATATAGCTTACATAAATACTTGAAAACAATAAATCAACAATAAACAATACTTACTTGACGAACTTCACGTAATACTAAATTATACAATTCATAATCAGAACTGGCAACTTGTACAGTTAAACCAAGTAAACTAATCAATAGACTCATAATATAAAATCCACTAGCCCATTCTAATTCTTCTTCAACATGATTTTGTGTTTCACGTTGCATTCCATTCATATCCTAATCAAAAAAAAATAGAGAGATAGAGTAGTTTTTTATATAAGTATAAAAAAGTAAATATACTGCTGGTACAAACCGGCTTCCCCCAGGTGGAGGAAGCTATTAAGGAGAAGCGTTGGATTTAATGGATAGGACACATATTATTGAGCGAAGCACTCAACTATGTCACAAGACATGCACTCATCTGGAATCCTCAAGGTCAAAGCACAAAAGCAATACCGAAGAACACTCACTATACGCCGAGAAATGAAGACAGGTATGAGAAAAGAAAATGAACAACAACCATTGGGCAGAACTAGAAAGGAACGCGCCTGAGATGGAGTAGTAGCATGGGGATTGCTGGCCGTCGGCCTATGCTCCACTGGGAGTTAATAAGCTTAAGTAAGTAAAATAAATTCTGCTAGTATTTAAATGTAAAAAACAGTAAAACGAATAGTGTTTTACTTTCTAAACTGTATAGTGTAATCAACAAGGTAGTTTATGACTGTTTTTGTTACAAGGAATGGGATTCGGATATCTGATAAAAACACGGCACAAATAAGTGAGGGCTTCACAATTGGACTGAGTCATGTTGGTCGGTGTAGACTACTTAGTTGGGGGGGGGGGGTTCCAAAGACAACAGTAACTGATGGTTATATATTTTGAATAATATGGCTCAAAATCGTTGCAGCTACATTCATTCTTTGTATTCTCACAAATTCTAATCTTCTGCATTCGTCATCACCTTTATCTTATTCTTTTTTTTACATTTATTTCACTAGATTCTAACCAAAGGACGAGTCTATTGCGCAACACAGTTCGCTCCGACCTACTTTATGAATGTGGAACATGACCAGTAAGAGTAGAAGATATTCGTAAGTTAGGGGTATGACAACTAAAACTGATGTACGACATACATACGACCGTCTACGTTGTAACTGACTTACAGACTGAGCGGACGATTCGCTGCATACTACTTATACGCCACGTTGCAAGTAGCATCCACTGCGATTATATATATATATATATATATATATATATATATATATATATATATATATCAGTCAGTCAGTTGCAACGTAGAATTATGTACGTATGTACATCAGTTCATGTTGCCAAACCACATTAGCACACAGAGATGCAAATGTCAAATCAAATCCCATAGTGATAAAGATAGAAGAGGTAATAATAGTAATGAAGAAGACTAGGGTTTGAAGATATTATTCACGAAGTATAATTAGGTGAAATAAGGTTAGAAAGACAAAGGTATAGGTGCTGACGAATTCAGAAGATTGGGATTTGAGAGAACACAAAGAGTGGATGCACCTGCGCCATTGCAAACGATTTTGAGCCATGTCATTCAAGATCTCTAACCATCGATTATTATCATCTCGCGGACCCCAACCGGGTAGACTACATCTACCAATATGACTCAGTCCACTTGTCAGTGACTTCATGCATTTCTGCCATGTTTTGGTCTGGTCGCCCTTAACTTTCTTCCAACCTACTCCTACACCACAAAACATAGCTCGTCGAGGCAGTCAGTGGTTAGGCATTCGTAACACATGTCCCAACCACCTCAACTGATCAAGTTTCAATACTTCATCTATTGATCTGCCATTCTCACCTAGCACCCGTTTCCTACCAACAGCATTGATTACTCGGTTATCCCACGATATACGAGCAATGCTTCTTAAACATGTATGATCGAATACTAGTAACCTACGAACATCTTCTACTCTTAACGGCCATGTTTCACAGCCATATAAAGAGAACGGAGCGAACTGCTGCGCAGTACACTCATCCTTTGGTTAGCGAACGGATATCTCGCCTACACCATAAGTGACGCAGGTTGGCAAAAGCCAATCGAGCTTTCTGTATCTGCGCTGAGATTTCGTCAGTCACAAGGCCACCAGCACTGATGAGACTCCCAAGATAAGTGAAGCAATCAACACGCTCGACTACTTCACTCCCCATCACTAGTTCACGTGCCGATAATGCAACGCAATCTTGAAGCAACATTTTGCATTTCGAGGGTAAGAACCGCATCCCGAACATGCTGGCATTGTTGCTTATGGTAGTCAGAAGACTCTGTATTTTGTCAGCGTCTTCACCGAATAGATCAGTAAGCAAATTTCTAGGTAGGAGGTCAACCTCTGAAAAAAATATATAGTCATAAATCATAAATCGCTATTACCTAAAGAGTTCAAGGTCATTCACAAGTAAAATTACGAAAATGTACTAGCACTAATAACAATAATAATAATAATAATAATAGTAATACTAATCCTAGGAAAGAAGAATTTTACAACTGTTCTTGACTTTATTATTATTATTATTATTATTATTATTATTATGAATATTGTACTTGGATCACAAGATGTAAATCAGAATGATAAACATGTCCTGTGATAAATTTTTTTTCAATCAAAATTTTCAATAAACGTGACATCTCTACAAGAGAGAGAGAAACAGGAAAAAAAGGCCCAACAGAATAACTAACTAATTAACAACAACTACTTACTTGTACAAAACTAAGTAATGCTAAAAATTGTCTAATATAATCAAGAAATGACGAACGTGCAGCTTCTGTCCACCAAGTAGTAAGCGTTGAATTGCCATCATTATCAGTGTTGTTGTTGATGGCTACAGGTTGTTGGACATTAGTTAAACTCGCTAAAATATAATCAATATCACGTATCACATGAAATAATCGTTCGAATGGATGAAACCATGAACGAGCTATGGTATTACCCGGTTGCCAGGATAGAACACGTGGTTCTGGTAGGACACAATTTGCGGTTGACAACGATGTAAGCTGTTGATGATGATTATTCACAATATATGAAGATCCGATCGATGACGATGAAGAAGAAGAGGAGGAACCCCATTCAAATGGGTTTAAACGTCTTAGTAAATCTAACATTGCATTAATCCATGATAGAGTTGTTGTATCCGGTGTATTCATCATCATACTGGCAATGTTTACTTCTTCTTGTATATCCATGGGAATATTTTGATTGGTTGCAGTATAAAAATAAAAATATGGTAGAACAATGGAATTCGCTTGAAATGCATTAGTCAGTCGTGTAAGTAAACGTGTTAACACATTGTTCTGTTCTAAAAGTTGGCGGGCCTGTAAAACACAAATAATAATAATAATAATAATAATACACAAACTAAGGTGGTGCGCGCTACTTATAAGTAGTATATGACGTGAGTGTCAACGTAATGTCTGGCAGCAGCAGAAGATGGGGGAAGATCAAGAAAGGAAGAAGAGTGGGAACACAATGGAATTTGTATGAAACGCATGAATAAGTGAAATGTCAGATGGATTGAAGATGTGCAAATTAACGATTTACGATATGGTTTTCCTATTTTACTGAGTAACTCTGTAATTTTCGTTAAATACAATTTTAGTTGCCATCACCTGTGTTCTCCTTCACTACACTAATAGCATGGCGGGATTGTGATTATTTACGGATGACCTTGAACGATGCCAGTGTGGTGACCTTGGGGAGATTTAGCGACTTACTGATTAGAGTTTGAAAGAAAGTTTTTCAAAAAAATTACTATGAAGAACTAGGGATTACGATTTAAAGTTGAATATCAAAGCTAGGAATAAACATATAAAGTATTTTTTTGCTTCATCACCAAATGACGGCAACTATCCTCTACTGAAATCCAAAACTTGATCTTTTGAATGTGATTGGTTTATTATCCGTATAAACAAATAAAGCATAGTCGTACCAACAATAACAACCAATAATGAACTTCAGTTTTTATATTGTTAACAAGATTAGAGAGATGATTTGTTTAACTGTACAGAGAAATAGTCAGTCATTCAATGAGCTACGATTTAAAACTATGTACGTACGTACATTATTCAAGTTTCCATATCACATTAGTTCAGAGAGACATGCAATTGTCAATTCACACCCCATTGTAGTACAGGTAGTAGAAGTATTAGCGGTAATGAAAAAGATTAGGGTTCAAAGATATCGTTCAAGAAGTATAATTCAGTGAAATAGATTAGGATTTGAGAAAAGCCAAAGAATGGATGCATCTGAGCCATTGCCAACGATTTTGAGTCATGTCAATCAAAAAGTCGTCAACCATCAGTTACTAATATCTCGTGAATCTCAACCAGGTAGTCTACACTCAGTAACCGCCGATTGTCTCGACGAGTGATGTTTTGCAGTGTAGGAGTAGGTTGGGAGAAAGCTAGGGGTGGCCAAACCAAAACCTGGCAGAAATCCATGAAGTCACTGACAAGTGAACTGAGTCGTGTTGGTAGATGTAGGCTATCTGGTTAGGGTCCACGAGACGAAAGTCATCGATGGTTAGAGATCTTGAATGAAATGGCTCAATGTCGTAGGTGCATTCATTCATTGTGTTCTCTCTAATTCTAACCATCTCGATTCTTTACAATCTCTATCTTTCTCCTAAATTTATCTCACTGAATTATACTTAAAGAATCATATCTTCGAACCGTAATCTTCTCCATAACTGCTAACACTTCTACTATCATTGTGTTCTCTCTAATTCTAACCATCTCGATTCTTTACAATCTCTATCTTTCTCCTAAATTTATCTCACTGAATTATACTTAAAGAATCATATCTTCGAACCGTAATCTTCTCCATAACTGCTAACACTTCTACTATCGCTATCTCTGTTGGATTTGAACTGACAGTTGCGTCTCTGTGCTGATGTGGTATGGCAACCTGAACTGATGTACTTACATACGAAGTTCTGCGTTGTATCTGTCTGTCTATCTATTTCAACTAATAAAGAAGTGATAAGACATATAGATAGATAGATAGATAGAGTGAAAGTCTATTCTCATTCATGATTGATTCGGGATAACACACAATAGAACACAATAGAACTCATTTGAAAATATCATAGACATGTTAAACAAATGTCTATACATTATTAGCATAGCATGAAGAGAGGAGTAATGAATAAGAATTATTCAACAACACCAAAAAAAAGGGTTATATATAATAACTAGATGTTTTTTTTTCTTGTTTGCTTGCTTGGTTGTACACATTTTTCTCACAACGAATTATGTATGTATCGATTGATTTTGTGCACATCGAAAACTAATAATAGATGCGCATTGGACGTACACCATCTCATCATAACTATAGAAGGCAGGGGCATTGAAAAACTTAACAATTCTCCACTAGCGACTAGCTTTAAGAAAGGGATTGACGAAGTTTTAGTGAGAAGCTGTGATCAAAGGAGGTAGTTGTCACCAACCGGAGATAATGAATTGTGGTAGTACAATATCGTGGACTAGTTGAAGTTGAATATCAACGTCGTTGGATGCGTGCTCAGTGATTTTATTCGATGATTTAAACACATAAATATTGATACAAAGTGGCATTTAAATATTTATTTGCCAAACGAATCAATGGATTTGTGTGCATATGCTGAGATATTGACCGGTTACTTAAATCGAAACAGTCGATTCTCCTACAGGAACGCGCCCTGAACAGTTTACCTATATGTCCTACCCATCACGATGCAGTGAAGCAACGTTAGGAGAGAGAGTCCTATGGTAGGCGTTAACCAATAACGGATCTAAACGGTATTTTTTTATTGCATGTGTTCTATTGGTATGGAATTAGGGCTTACAAAATCTTCCTTTTGAGCCCTACTACAAGCCCAGTTACAGTTCCGGACATTCGCTCGACTTCGTAAACAGCACGTGTGCCAGAAAAAGGCAATAGTTAGAACTTCTCTGACGGTGGCCGCGTGGGAACATATCGACAAGGAAGGCGAACGGTATACACTCTTAGGCGTACCAGAGTACATAGAAATCCACAAGGCCAAGAGGAAAGAAGCATATTAAGGAACACATTGTGATGAGAATCGGAGTGGAAGAGAGAATTTTTGTCACCAGTCTAAGCTCCATGATGAGTAACGGGTGTAAATAAGAAGAATTATCTCATTTCGAAACAAATGATAGGAAATGAACCTTGTTTGATAGAGATGGTAACGATTTCGCAAACAACCAATTTATATCGACTGATAAATAAATTTTAATACTGATCTTTATTCAGTCAGCGATGTTGTTGTCCCACCTGAATGGTTGTGAAACTTGGCCAGTTACAGTTGAATATTTATACCTCAACAATATTGGAACAAAGACGTCTTCGTCGCATGGCTCGTATATCCTGGGACCACTGAGTAAGGAATGCTATTGTTAGGAAAAGGGTACTAGGTAAGGATGGCAGATCAATAGATGAAGAAAGTTAGGGGCGGCCAGACCAAAGCATGGCACAAATCCATGGCGTCAGTGACAAATGGATGGAATCACATTAGTAGGCGATATTAACTGATGGTTACAGACTTTGAATGAAATGACTCAAAATCGTTTGTAATGGGGTAGATGCATCAACTCTATGTGTTCTTACAAATTCTAATCTACTGAATTCCTCATCAACTTCAACTTCCTCCTATGTAAGTTTACTTCACTGGATTAAACGTACATACGAAGTTCTACATTGTAGCTGACTGACTGACTGACTAACTGACATGATGTAATTTGAGTAAAGTTTAGCAGTACATGATTAGTAGTAGCAATAACAATAAAACACAACAACACACAAATTGACTTACCAAACTAATCACAGTGTAAAATTGACAACTTAAACCGCATAAACTATCACCAATTAAATGATCATCATAAATATGATTTTGGATCAACGATGAATAGGACTGTTCGTGTACAGTAAAAATACAAAATAAAACAAAAATGTGACAACACACACATACAAACAATGATTTATTTGGTAATTCAAAGAAATGCAGACTGGAATAAACGAAAAAAGCAAGGCGCAACGCAAAGTTATAAAAAATATCAATTGTTAATCCAATGAAGTAACTGACAAGTGGATTGTGTCATGTTGGTAGATGTAGACTACCTATCTGGTTGGGGTCGGCGAGACGAAAGTCATCAATTGTTAAGAGACCTTGAACGACATGGCGCACGTGCATCCATTAGTTGTGCTCTCTCAAATCCTAATCTTCTGAATTCCTCATCACCATTGCTCGTATATCGTGGGACAACCGAGTAAGCAATGCTGTTGTCAGGAAACGAGTACTAGGTACGGATGGCAGATCAATAGATGAAGTATTTAAACTTCATCAGTTGAGGTGGTTGGGATATGTGTTACGTATGTCTAACCACCGACTGCCTCGTCGAGCTCTGTTTTGTGATGTAGGAGTAGGAGTAGGTTGGGAGAAAGCTAGGGGTGGCAAAACCAAAACATGGCACAGATCCATGAAGTCACTGACAAGTGGACTGAGTCATGTTGGTAGATATAGACTACTTGGTTGGGGTCCGCGAGACGATAGTCATCAATGGTTAAGCGACCTTGGACGACATGGCTCAAAATTGTTTGCAATGGTGCAAGTGCATCCACTCTTTGTGTTCTCTTAAATTCTAATCCTCAGAATTCCTCATCACCTCAATCTTTCTCTGTCTAAATTTATCGCACTGAATTATACTTCTCGAATCATATCTTCGCTCCCTAATCTCTCCGATTACTGCTGATACTTCTACTATCTCTACGATTATGGGATTTGAACTGACAGTTGCGTCTCTGTGCTGAGGCGATATGGCAACCTGAACTGATGTACTCTCATGTACGAAGTTCCACGTTGTAACTGACTGATTGACTGATATCAATCGTTGAAAACTAATGTAAATACACGATTTTAACTATACATAATTCATTTGTGTAAAAAATAGATTAAAAATTTATTGATCAATTACAGTTTTATCGGACTGTGTATGTGTACACACACACGCACACACACACCACATTTACTACATTTAACCCTGTTACGTATGTCTGACAGAGACAAAAAGGTGTCAAACATAAATGAGGTATAAATAGTATTCATTTTAACAAAAAAAACTAATTGACTTTTATAAATTAGTGTTTGCAATTTGAAACCATTCTTCCGGTTTGCTTATTTATATAGTTCAACACAAAATGACTGGAACAAATGAGCACTTACATATATTTATGCGGCATATAAATCAATGTATTCAGGGAAGAGAGATGGGATATTTAGTGTCCAGGTGTGCACAAACTAGAAATAGGTGATTTTACTTAGGGTAGACACTCAACGAGCCCTCTATAACTCAGAGGTCTAATCTAGAAAGCAGTGGAACGACGTCTGTGACTAACAATAGATTCATATATCACATGTTCCGTCAGGATTCTGGAGCCGTTGTACCGATCAATGGTTTGAAACCAAGGTTTTTCATCTCTTCCTAGATGGATGCGATAAGCCCAGAAAAAACACCAGATACTCACTTTTCTTCCTCTCGAATTCATAAACAGCATTCCCGGTCACCAAAAGGCAGTAAGTAGGACTTCCGTGATAGTATAGTGCCTCCACATATATTCCAGTTCGCTTACATCTGATTTGGTTAAGCCCTATCGATTAATTTATTAAACCAAGCCATTTATTTGTATTGCAACAATTTACATGTTGTACCATTCGTTCTTATTATTGTCTGGTTTGTATGAGGAGCTCACATGACGTGTCCCACTTGTCATTCGACTTTGTCAACTATTCGTCGCTTCTATTCATGTGTGCCTGTTTCGCTTGTCGCATGTCTATCTTATTTTTGTCTGACCATATTCATGCTCTATTTCAAGGAGTTGGCTCATCAGCATTCTCCAACGCGCTTCGCCTATTCATTCGCTTCCTTCGCCCATTCGTTCGCATTGTAATCCTGGGAGTTGGCTTGACAGCCTTCTCCAGTTCACGTCGCTTCATTCGTTTTATTCACTGCTTCCTCGTCTCTTTTTGTGATGTGTCCCAAATAAACGTATTCAACACTATGAGTTTACCTTCTGATTTATAAACCGTCAGACGCTATTTAGTAACGATTGTCTAGACGAGTTAATTACCGAGCTTAAGAACAAACAGTAAATCGACACACTACAATAGTGACTATACACGCATGGCTACGTGCGAGTATTTCGAAAAACAGAGTGGATTGTCTTCACATTAGATTGTGACATGGAATTAACAGGCTAGTATTTGATGAAATCCAATCATGGTACATAAAAATGTCCTTTAATTAGACAGTATTCTCGTCTTGGGCGACAATAATCTAGCGTTGTGGACATCATATCATGTGACCATCACATCGTATCTATCTATCGATCAACTGATTTTAACAATCCGAAATTCGTTCATTCAACGAAACTCCTACTCCACAATAGATGATCAATATTTTCGGTTGATAACAATGACTAGGTCGTTTACGATTAGGGTACCCGAAAATGGTATCCCAAACTAGGGGAAGCCAAACCAAAACATGGCACAGATACAAGTAGTCATTGACAACTGAAGTAAGTCATGTTAGTAGGTGTAAACTACGTGGTTGGGGTCCGTGAGACGAAAGTTACCGATGGTTAGAGACCTTGAACGACATGGTTCGAAATCGTTTACAATGTTACAGTTGCATCCACTCTTTGTATTCTCTGAAATTCTAATCTTTCGAATTCCTCATTACTTCTATCTTTTTAAATTTACCTCACTCAATTATAGTTTTTGAATCATATCTTCAAACCCTAATCTTTCCGGTTACTGATAATACTTTTACTATCTGCAAACTATGGGATTTGAACTGACATTTGATTCTATGTGCTAATGTGGTATGGCGATCTGAACTTATGTACGTACGAAATTCTACGTTGTAACTGACTGACTGTATGGTAGACTATTCACAAAGTCAATGATTTGTGCGGCGCATAAATATTTACGTGCCACTACTTTGTATCAATGATCATTGAGCGAGTAAAAAATACGACCGATGAGATTATTTTCAAAAATACATAAAGTCTTTCAGTTGATAATAACACCCCTATTAAATCTATCTACAATGAAATGAACTCCGCCTGGAGCCCTTCTTTAGGGCCAATGCTGGTCGCAAGCCCAGATAAAGGAGTAGGGTTAGGCACGAGGGGGTTGTTGTTAACACAACTTCACATGAAAACAAAAACTTGATTTAGGAAAAATCAGGCGCGAACTAGAGATTAAAATGAACATGCGTGTTTGTATAAACACATATTAAAATCACAAATTACAAATCACAAATAAATGTGTGATAACTTAATCGAAATTACTTGATACACAACACATCATCACATGTCGATAATATATGAGTGTAAATAAATAATTTAATTTTTTTTCTAGTCAAATCGAAGGAAGAAAAGATAAGAACAATACATTTTTTTAGTTCAATGCTTCTCTACCGCTTAACAGTTAATTCCAATTAAATAAGCCTTTTTTAATAGGCATTAAGTAGGTGAAGAAATGATATATAACAGTGAATAAAACCGAACACAAAAGGAGGATTACAAGGTCAGTTCAGTTTGTTACGGGTATGAGGGCGGATGTCACTTCCCGGCTGGAGACGGAAATCCGTTAGGTAAGGTGAGGTGTGACATTTTTAGGGTCAACCTTTCCTAACCTACGCAAAATACTTCATATTCGTTGACCAGACACCATCAGTAACAACGTACTGTGGGAGAGAACAAACCAGATTCCAGTGGAGGAGGAAATCAGGAAGAAGCGGTGGAGTTGGTGGATAGGACATACACTACGAAAAGCAACGAACTGCGTCACGAGACAAGCCTTCACTTGGGACCCTCAAGGTAAAAAGAAAAGAGGAAGGCCAAGGAACACATTACGCCGAGAAATAGAGAAAGATATGGGAAGAATGAACAAACATTGGACAGAACTGGAGAGGGAAGCCCAGGACAAAGTTGGTTGGCGAAAACTGGTGGGCGGCCTGCGCTCCATTGGGGGTAACAGGCGTAAGATCGATCGAGATCGATCATGCATGTAAGCAATCTATGATTTTTATGATATATACATATAATTACGATTGAAATCTCACTTACTCTGGTAAATTTCACTGCGAATACACATCGATAGAAATTGTCTCTTAACAGGACACTCATAATGAGACGTAACATTTCTTGTCGAACAGCTAAAAGAAGCGAGAAAGTCAAGAGAAAAAAATGCAATACAATTACAATTTCTTTCTGATAAGAATTCACTACAATACAATCAATAAAAAGTGCAATGTATACAACATGTGTCTCCATTAATGAATATGCAGCAGGACAGAGTTGGTTAGAGAAAACTGGTGGACGGCCTATGCTCCTCCATTGGGAGTAACAGGTTCAACACCTGTAGATTCTTCAACACCTCTAGTTTTGACTTTCTAAACTTATCTCACTGAATCATACTTCTTGAATAATATCTTCTAATCCTAACCTCTTCGATTACTTCTAATACTTTTACTACCTCTACTACTATTGGATTTGAATTGACAATTCACATCTCTGTGCTGACGTGTAGTATGGCAACATGAACTGATGTACTTACGTACGAAGTTCTACGTTGCATCTGACTGACTGACTGACTGACAGTAACAGGTGGGCGGCCTATGCTCCATTGGGGGTAACAGGCGTAAGTAATTACTAAGTAAGTAAGTAAGTAACTAACTAACTAATGAATATGCAATTAGTAAGTCAGTCAGTCAACACTACAAAGTAGAATTATCTAATTCTAATCGAAAAAGTAGTTGAGGTAGTAGAAGTATTGGCAGTATTACGAAAGATTAACGATCAAAGGATATGATTCCAGATGTATATCACAGTGGAATAAAGTTACAAAGAAAAAGAGAAAAAATATCATGAGGAATTCAGTAGATTAGCATTTGACAGAACACACAAAGAATGGATGCATCTGCATCATTGTGCAAACGATTGTGAACCATGTCATTCAGCAGGTCTAACCATCGGTTACTATACAGTAATGATATATGTATAGTCATCATCATCATCATCAACAGCAACGTAGAACTTTGCACATAAGTCCATCAGTTCAAGTTGTCATAACACATTACCACAGAGATAGAATTGTCAATTCAAATCCAATAGTAGTAGAGGTAGTAAGGGAATTAGAAGTAATCGGAGAGGTTAGGGTTAGAAGATACTATTCAAGAAGTATGATTCAATGAGATAAGTTTAGAAAGTAAAAGCTAGAGGTGTTGAAGAATCCAGAAGATTAGGATTTGAGAGAACACAAAGAATAAACGCACTGGCGCCACTGCGAACGATTTTGAGCCATGTCATTCAACGTCTCTAACCATCGATTATTATCATTTCGCGGACCCCAACCAGGTAGTCGACAAATACCGACATGACTCAGTCCACTTGTCAATGACTTCATGCATTTGTGTCATGTTTTGGTTTGGCCGTCCGTAACTTTCTTCCAACCTATTCCTATATTGTAAAACATAGCTCGGCGAGGCAGTCAGTGGTTAGGCATACACAGCACATGTTTCAACCACCTAACCTGATGAAAAGCCACGACTTCATCAATTGACCTACCACCTTACCTAATACTCTTTTCCTAACAACAGCATTGCTTACTCGATTGTCTCAGGATATACTTGAAAATGTATGGTCAGAGACCATTCATTTCAGTCTATTTCTTTCATGGTCATTCCTATCTGTTTATTATTAACGAATTCGAATAGTTTCCACCGCTGCAGCTGATGTTGATAATATTTTCGCGCTCATACTTCAGAGTATAATAATACTTTTAGGTAACTGACAAACTTTTGGAAGACCCAGCTCTGTCCTCTGGAGGTTAAGCATTTGCATACAAGACCGAAGGTCTTTAGATCTATTCCCATTCGCAGGAATACCAACTACTGATGAGTCCCATACTATGACGAAACAGACATCAGTCAAACAAATGTAACTCTTGTGAAAGAAAAAACAATTAAATCGGGCTAAAATAATGAATAGCCAACATCAATAAACAACAATGAATCATTCCTTACATCTCCATGTTAAACTATGACGTTCTAAAATACAATTTAAGAAAGAATCTTTTTCAACAATATCACCAGGTAATAAGATTGGTAAGATATCATCATCATTATCAGCACCGGAAGCATCCGTAGCATCCGTAGTATGATCATCTCGCCGATTGGATTCATTCATATCACTACTACTACTACTAGTGGTGGTGGTGTTTCGTTGATGTCGTACAGATGATGGTAAATGACCTAATATAGCATGACATATAATTGGTCGTAAACTAGGCACTTGATCACAGAAACGACGTAACCAACGAATGAATAGAGTGAAAAATACTTCCATTGAATAAATATCAGCATGTTGTGCTATACAATAGATTGGACGTGTTGATAAACTTGTTGATGTACGCTGTGAGAGAGAAAGAAAAAGGGCAAATTAGAAGAATAACAGTAAAATGCCACACAAAAAAAGTGAAATTTGTATTTTTAATGAAATCGATGAGACAATTCAGTCAGTCAGTCAGCAACGTGAAACTTCGTACGTACGTAAGTACATCAGTTCATGTTGCCATACTACATTAGCACAGAGAGGCAAATGTCAAATCAAATCCCATTGTGATAGAGATAGTAGAGGTATCAATGGTAATGAAGAAGACTAGGCTTTGAAGATATTATTTAAGAAGTATAATTCAGTCAGATAAGGTTAGAAAGACAAAGGTAGAGAAAGTGCTGACGAATCCAGAAGATTAGGATTTGAGAGAACACAAAGAATGGATGCACTTGAGCTATTGCAAACAATTTTGAGCCATGTCGTTCAAGGTCTCTAACCATTGGTGACTTTCGTCTTGCGGACCCCAACCAGGTAGTCTACATCTACCAACATGACTCAGTCTACCTGTCAGTGACTTCATGGATTTGTGCCATGTTTTGGTCTGGCCACACCTAGCTTTCTTCCAACCTACTCCTATATTGTAAAACATAGCTCGACGAGGCAGTCGGTGGTTAGGCATACGCAACACATGTCCCAACCACCACAACTGATGAAGTATCATTACTTCATCTATTGATCTGCCATTCTTACCTAGCACCCGTTTCCTAACGACAGCATTGCTTACTCGGTTGTTCCACGGTATAAGAACAATGCTTCTTAAACATCTATGATCGAATACTAGTAACCTACGAAAATCTTTTACTCTTAATGGCCATGTTTCACAGCCATATAAGAGAACGGAGCGAACTGCTGCGCAGTACACCCGTCCTTTGGTTAGCGAACGGATATCACGCCTACGCCATAAGGCGTAGGGAAAACCGGATATGAAATAGGATATAGATAGTTTTATTAGAAGCTAGTTGAAGATTACTAATATTCGATTATAAGTGTCTTCGAAGCATTGCTCGTGTGTCCTGCGACAATGGAGTAAGCAATTCTGTTGTTAGGAGGCAGGTAATAGTTAACGATGGTCGACCAATTGATGAAGTAGTGAATGTGGATCAGTTGAGGTGGTTGGAACACGTGTTATGTATGCCCAATCAACACCACTGACTGACTATCTCAATGAGCAACGTTGTCTGATGTAGCGGTAGGCTGGACGAAAGCTAGGCCAATCCAAATGATGGCACCAGTTCATAAAGTTACTGACAACTGAACTGATCCAGGTTAATAGATAAATACCATCTGGTTCGAGTGCGCATGACAATCGTAACCAATGGTTAGAGACCTTGAATGACATCACGGCTCAAAATCGTTTGCAATGGTGTAAGTGCATCCATTCTTTGCATGCTCTCAAATTCTAATCTGTTGAATTCCTCATCACCTCTATATTTCGCTTTTTTAAGTTTATTTCACTAGATTCTACTCCTTGAATAACATCTTCAAAGCCTAATTCTTTCCGATTACTTCGCATACTTTTACTATCACTACTACTATGGCACTTTTATTTACAATTATATCTCTGTATGTTGATATGGTATGGCAACTTGAATAAATGTACGTACGTACGAAGTTCGATGTTGTAGCGGACTGACTGATAACTAATAAACAATGTCTGAGCAAGATCATGTGATGATGACCAGCAAGAAATGTACTCAAGTCTGAATACATTTCACTCACTGGTGAAGAAATGAATTCATTTTCTAAGGTGAAGGAATGTTTTATAAATTTAAAAGAATATTTATGTATACGATTTTTTCTTTCAATTTTGCCTTCTCTATTCAGTAGTAGTCAGTTTGAAAGGTTAGTGCGTAATCACGTCCAGATCATGGATACCTTGAGACAATTTATATCGAGATTTTATGCTACTTAACATAGTGAACATTAAATAATTAGAATGTTTAAGTTTTATAAAAAGATAGTCTACGGATCGTTAGTGTATTTTAATATTCCAACTGATAGACATTCAAGTCTTGTTCTACTTACATCGGTTTAGGTAAACGTTTACTAGTAATGAAATTCATGTGTAAAAAGCCCTGACTGCAGCAGCTATGATCGTGGTGATATAGTCAAGCTATGCTGGATGGAAGACGTAGGTCAGTCAGTTAAAACGCAGAATTTCGTACATCAGTGCATAAGTTCAGGTTGCCATACCACATCAGCACAGAGACGCAACTGTCAGTTCAAATCCCATAATGGTAGAGATAGTACAAGTATTAGCAGTAATGGAGAAGATTAGGATTCGAAGGCATGATTCGCGGAGCATCATTAAGTGAGATAACTTTAGAAAGAGGAAGATAGCGATGAAGAGGTATTCTGAAGATTAGAATTTGAGAGAACACAACGAGTGGATGCACCTGCGCAATCGTTTAAGCTTTATAACCATCGATTACTATCATCTCGCGGACCTCAACCAGGTAGTCTACCAACATAATTCACTCTAGTTGACAGTGACTTCATTGACTTGTGCTGCGTTTTGGTTTGCCCACTCCTAGCTTACTTACAGCCTACACTTACACCACAAAACATAGCTCGTCGAGGCAATCGGTGGTTTGGCAAGACATATTCTTTATGGTCACACTATACCTTCATAAGAAAGAAGATTAAAACCAGTACGTCCAAGATTCAAGGACGAAATGGTGTCACCTACTACTCTATACGGGGGTATAATGACAGTCCGTCACAATCTACATACATGCTGTCCTTACTACAATGGAAGAAGAGTGTTAGTAAAGATCAACCCTAAAAAATTACACACATTATCTTAAGCTACATTGCCAGTAATAAACTCTGAAAAGTACAAAGCCAACGTATTAGAAACTAGTCACATATATAGTACACGTTGAACAGTATAAAACTCTTCAGTAGTAAACATCTTCATCAAATGAGGTTAAACATTGAGGATCACGTTTCATGATAAGCATGTGTAAGACAGTACTAGATATAGTTCAACAATGTACATTTTAACTTCAAATCATCATGAAAACTAAAATAAACTCAGGGTGCTTAGATGCAGAGGACTAGTGGCAGTGAAAGAATCTAGTAAACTTACACAAATATTCACAAACAGAACAAGATTAGTTAAGGCAAAAATAGGAACATAAGATATTCGTTCCTTTCCTTGCTTGCCAATACCTTATCAGCAATGAACAATCATAGAGCTTCTTCCTATGCCAAACCAACACCTTACGTATGAGTTCGCTAAGGCAACAACTTATACCAACCGTCTCTTCATATGAACTTACTAACCTGTTCTATTGTTACACGAACGAATTATACTCAGCGAATTGATCGCCCTAAACATTATACTGTGAATCATTCTGGACTTACAAGTACCATCGAAGAACTAATTCTGTTGGTTGAGGGGGGAGGTACCTATTCTATTTGTTAATCACTTGTTGGAAAATTTCATTCATCGTGTATCCCATTGATGAATGTCTGTAAGAATGGTGAGTACCAAGGGCTGGAATTGAGGAAAGCACCCAACTGTGTCACAAGACAAGCACTTACCCTGAATCCTCAAGGCTAACGGAAAAGAAGAAGGACAATGAACACACTATGCCTAGAAATGAAAGCAGACACGAGAAGACAGACAGATACAACGCAGAACTTCGTATGTAAGTACATCAGTTCAGGTTGCCAGGCCCCGTCAGCACAGAGACACAACTGTCAGTTCAAATCCAGGAGTGATAGAAATAACAGAAGTATTAGCACTAATGGAGAAGATTAGAGAGTGAAGTTATGATTCGCGAAATTTAATTCAGTAAGATAAATATAGAAGGAGAAAGGTAGAGATTACGAGGGATGCAGAAGCTTAGAATTTCAGAGAACACAAAGAGTGGATGCACCTGCGCCATTGCAAACGATTCTGAAGCATGTCGTTCAAGGTCTCAAACCTTACTTACTTACTTACTTTCGCCTGTTACCCCCAATGGAGCATAGGCCGCCCACCAGTTTTCTCCAACCAACTCTGTCCTGGGCTTCCCTCTCCAGTTCTGTCCAATGTTTGTTCATTCCTCTCATATCTTTCTCTATTTCTCGGCGTAGTGTGTTCCTTGGCCTTCCTCTTTCCCTTCTGCCTTGAGGGTTCCATGTGAGGGCTTGTCTTGTGACGCAGTTCGGTGCTTTTCGTAGTATATGTCCTATCCACTTCCACCGCTTCTTCCTGATTTCCTCCTCCAATGGAATCTGACTTGTTCTCTCCCACAGTTCGTTGTTGCTGATGGTGTCTGGCCAACGAATACGAAGTATTTTGCGTAGACAGCTGTTAATAAACACCTTGTATCTTCTGGATGATGGCTTTGGTAGTTCTCCATGTTTCCGCTCCATACAGTAGAACTGTCTTGACATTTGTATTGAAGATCCTGATTTTGGTTTTGTTTGAAAGTTGTTTGGAGTTCCAGATATTTTTCAACTGTAGAAATGCAACCCTCGCTTTGCCAATCCGCGCCCTCACATCTGCGTCCGATCCACCTTTCTCGTCGATGATGCTGCCAAGATATGTGAAGGTGTTAACGTCCTCCAAGGTATCTCCATCAAGCGTGATTCGGTTGGTGCATGTTGTGTTGCATCGGAGAATTTTGCTTTTTCCTTTATGTATGTTGAGATCTACTGCTGCAGAGGCTGCTGCTACACTGGTCGTCTTCTCTTGCATTTGTTGTTGAGTGTGCGATAGAAGAGCCAGGTCATCTGCGAAGTCCAGATCGTCCAGCTGCGTCCTAACTGTCCAGTTGATACCGTGCTTCCCTCCATATGTCGACGTCTTCATAATCCAGTCGATCACCAGGAGAAAGAGAAAGGGTGAGAGTAAGCAACCTTGCCTGACACCGGTCGTCACCTCAAAAGAGTCTGTCAGCTGACCTCCGTGTACGATTTTGCAGTTGAATCCATCATAAGAATTCCGTATGATGTTAACTATTTTCTCAGGCACACCGTAGTGTCGAAGAAGAGTCCACAGTGTTTTCCTGTCCACGCTATCGAATGCTTTCTCGTAGTCGATGAAGTTGATGTAGAGTGGTGAGTTCCATTCAATTGATTGTTCCACAATGATCCGTAATGTAGCAATTTGGTCAGTACACGATCGATCCTTACGAAATCCGGCCTGTTGATCTCGAAGTTGGGCGTCTACGAAGTCCTTCATTCTGTTTAACAATACTCTGTTGAAGACTTTGCCTGGTATTGAAAGAAGAGTGATGCCTCTGTAGTTCTCACACTTGCTGAGATCGCCTTTCTTTGGTATTTTGATCAGGTATCCTTCTTTCCAATCTGATGGTACTTGTTCCTCATCCCAAATCTTCTTGAAGAGAATGTGAAATATTTTCGCAGTTGCTTCCACATCTGCTTTCATTGCCTCTGCTGGAATGTTGTCTGGTCCTGCTGCTTTGCCGCTCTTGATTTGTCTGATTGCTATACTGATCTCCTCAATCGTGGGTGCGCCAATATTAATTGGGAGGTCCGTGGATGCTGCTTCGATGTTGGGTGGGTTCAGTGGAGCTGGTAAGGTCTCAAACCATTGGTGACTAAATAAATTAAGACGGAGCGAACTACTGCACAGTGCACTCGTCCTTTAGTCAGCAAACGGATATCTCGCCTACGCCATAAGTGACGCAGGTTGGCAAAAGCCAATCGAGCATTCTGTATCCGAGCTGAGATTTCGTCAGTCACCAGGCCATCGGCACTGATCAGACTCCCAAGATAAGTGAAGCGGTCTACACGTTCGACTACTTCACTCCCTATCACTAGTTCAGGTGCTGTTGCAACCCAATCTTGAAGCAACATTTTGCATTTCGAGGGTGAGAACCGCATTCCGAACATGCTTGCATTGTTGCTTAGGGTGGTCAGAAGACTCTGCATTTTGTCAGCGTCCTCCCCAAGTAGGACAATGTCATCGGCATATTCTAAGTCAATAAGCGAGCCACCCGGTAAAAGGTCTACTCCAGAAAATTCAGACGAGGATAAGGTTATTTCTAGGAGCATGTCTATGATAAAATTAAACAAGAATGGAGAGAGTGGATATCTCTGACGGACACCACTTGATGTAGAGAATTCCAGTGACAGTTCGCCATAAGCTCTCACTCGACCAGTGGTGTTCGAGTACAGAGCTTCTATGAGGTTGACGTACTTCTTTGGTACACCTTTCAATGACAGACACTGCCACAGAACCTCACGATCCAGAGTCAAATGCCGCTTTTAGGTCCATGAAAACAACTATTTTAGGACGCCTAAATGTGTGTCTGTGTTCCAGGACCTGTCGTAGTGTGAAGGATGAACAAAAAATTGGACAGAACTACTAAAAGAAGGTCCAGCACACAGTAGGCTGGAGAATGTTGATCAGCGCGGCCTATGCTCCATTGGGGGTAACAGGCGTAAGTAAGTAAGTAAGTAAGTAAGTAAGTGATTACTGCAATTATGTTATATGATAAATATCAACAATAATTTAGTGTAATTAAAAAAAAAGAAATAGTTTCATTTCAATTACCATGATAATCGATGCTAAATTAGATGCTTGTGAAGCAGTGAGATTTGTTTGGAGAACTGCACGACCATCACAATTAACAAGTACAGCATAATGTGTACCTTGTTGAGTTGTACAATCCAATACACGTCTTAATGTTTTGATAACCTAGAATGTATATTGATATGGGGAAAAAAAGGATAGAAATAAACAATATTTTTGCATTAGAGTATTATGGACAATCTAGTTTTTCTTGGAGATCATGAATTAATCAAGATGTGACTAGTGCAGTTCAACCCTGTCCGCTGTGGGCAGTAAGGTGAGGTTGTCTAAAATCCTTAGATTGATCATAGTTAGACATGAATACTGTTGGAAGTCGGGCTCAGTGTGTTGGGGATGTTAGATCCCCAAAATTCGCTTGATAATGCCGTATTTTGGTTTTCACGTTTCGCCAGCATGGGCTGATCAGATGACCTTGAGATTTCAATTCCCACCAGCAAAATCAATGGCTGTGATTGGCTGCAGTGTATTTTAGTATGCTATTTTCTTAACTGTCTCAAGGACGTTGTTATGTTGTATAAATAAACGAGAGTTGTATGCTTGATTGTACTGGATTGCTGGGTGTTTGTAGAATATACTTTCTACGCTTACCAAGACTTCTGTTTTACCGTTTGGATTCAAGGTAGCCTTCCTGGAAGCTGGTAAAAGTCTCGTTCGCGTTTATCGACTAAGGTAAACTCGTAATAGCATCAAGCATCCTAAGTGCCGAACATATCAGTGGCGACGGGGCTCACAATTCACAATGTCAATTAATCCTGAACAGTTAGAATCTTTACTGGAACGTCAAGGTAGACGATATGAACAGTTCCAGGAACGTATGTTGGAGCTGTTAATGAAACAAATGAATTTGAATCACAGAGGTTTTGCCGATGATTCATGTAATCCGCATACAGACTCGATAGTTAATTCCATTCATGAATTTCATTTTGATGGCCTTGCTGGTGTGACTTTCGAGTCTTGGTTTAAGAAGTATGAGGATTTGTTCAAGGTCGACCTCAACAATCTTGATGACGCCACCAAAGTCAGAATCCTTTTGAGAAAGCTCGGCACAATCGAACACGAACGTTACAGTAATTTCATCCTCCCAAAGAACCCACGAGATTTCTCTTTTGATGCTACAATTGATACGCTGTCGCAAATCTTCTCTGAACAGTCATCTCTCTTTAATATTCGTTATCAATGCCTCAAAATAATCAAGTCAAATGAAGATGACTGGGTAAAGCATGCTGGCTTAGTAAATCGTGAATGCGAACGATTTAAATTATCATCAATGACGGAAGATCAGTTTAAGTGTCTTGTGTTTGCGTGCAGCTTACAATCTCCCGACGATGCTGATATAAGAACCAGAATCCTAAGTAAAATTGAACAGTGCCCAAACATCTCGCTTCAAGAAATAACTGCAGAGTGCCAGAGATTAGTAAACTTGAAGCATGATACCTCCATGGTCGAAAACAAGGGCCTCTCATCATACGTGCATTCCATTAGTGAAAAGAAAAATTCCAATTCGGCCCAAAAACCCAAAATGAATCCACCTTCTGCTTGCTGGCACTGCGGTTCATGGCACTATGTACGGAACTGCCCATTTAGGCAGCATAGATGCAGGAAGTGTAAAGTCATCGGTCATAAAGATGGCTTTTGCCTACAGAAAAAGCCAAAGCGATCCAGAAGTGCTAAGAAGCCTGTTCCTAGATCCAGTACCAATGCATTGAGCCTAATATCTTCCTGCCAAAGTTCATCACCAGGTGAGAGGAAATTTATTACTCTTAATATTAACGGTTATTTGTGTAGAATGCAAATAGATACTGCATCTGATGTCACTATCCTCTCACGCAAAAATTGGACCAAATTGGGCAGCCCAAGCCTGCAGCACACAACACAAAAGCCTCGTACAGCATGTGGTAATTATCTTCGTCTGTTAGGACAATTGGAATGTAAAGTTGCTTTCCGAGATTCGTCGTTTACTGGGGTATGCTATATAACGCCAGCTGATCTAAATTTACTTGGTTTAGATTGGTTCGACCAGCTAAAATTGGCTGATGTCCCGCTAAATACCATATGCAGCCTGGTATCACAACGACATGACCCAGAAGCGTATACGAAGAACCACGCAGAATGTTATCTGACAACCGCAGTTCGCGCATTACCGGTGTCTGCAACAGACATACAAAATGCTTCTGGAAACGACCCCATCATCAAGATGACGATGAAATATGTCACTAACGGTTGGCCGTCGAAAAAGTTTGAAGGTGACATGAAGCAACTGTATCAGCGGCGGGAGTCACTATGCATCGTCAACGATTGTCTGATGTTTGGTGAAAGAGTAGTGGTGCCAGAATCCCTTCGTGCAAAAGTGCTGAGACAGTTCCATCTTGGTCATCCTGGGATTAAACGAATGAAGTCCATAGCCAGGAGTTATGCATACTGGCCTCACATGGATCAACATGTCACAGCGTTGGTTGAAAAATGCATGCGGTGTCAGCAGGCGGCAAAGATGAATGCCAAAATTCCGCCGGTTTCATGGCCCAAACCTGAGCATCCTTGGACCACGATACATGTCGACTTCGCTGGCCCAATAAACGGAACTATGTATTTAATTGTCGTCGACGCCTTTTCTAAATGGCCGGAAATCAGCCCCGTTATGCCGCCCACTACAACTAAGACTATACAGCTCCTTTCTGAAATTTTCTCAAGAAACGGCATACCAGATGTGATCGTATCCGACAATGGCTCTCAATTCACCTCTTCCCAATTCCAGAATTTCTGTCAACGGCTAGCCATTAAACACTTACGCTCGCCACCATACCACCCGCAATCGAATGGGCAGGCGGAAAGGTTTGTGGATACGTTTAAAAGAGCACTGCTTAAGTCAAAAGGAGAGGGGACGCCAGCCGAAACGTTACAAAATTTCTTGTACGTCTATCGGACAACACCAAATGAATTGTTACCGGAGCAAAAGTCCCCAGCTGAAATCCTGATGGGAAGAAGATTGAAAACGATCCACAGCCTGATGCATCCGACCAATGCACCTTCATCAGTAGAGACAAAGCAGCAAAGACAATCCGCTTACGAGGTGGGATGCCCTGTGTTTGCCCGCGACTACAGAACGAACCATGGTCCTTGGGTAGAAGCGAGAGTGGTCAGAAGGGTTGGTCGAGTTATGTACGAAGTAGAGGTAGGAGGTGATAAATGGTCACGTCATCGCAATCAGATACGCAGACGGCTAGCCCCAGATCGCCCATCAAGAGCAGAAAGCCTTCCCCTTGACATCTTGCTTGATACCTTCAACCTACCAAGAGCCCCGCCACGAGAAGAAACTCAGCAGCAAGCTGTTCTTCGTTCCCGAAGGTATCCCCTCAGACAGCGGCGAACAATAGTCAAGATGCAAGTCGACCCCAGGAGAACAAGCTATTAAAAAGGGGAGGAGTGTTGGGGATGTTAGATCCCCAAAATTCGCTTGATAATGCCGTATTTTGGTTTTCACGTTTCGCCAGCATGGGCTGATCAGATGACCTTGAGATTTCAATTCCCACCAGCAAAATCAATGGCTGTGATTGGCTGCAGTGTATTTTAGTATGCTATTTTCTTAACTGTCTCAAGGACGTTGTTATGTTGTATAAATAAACGAGAGTTGTATGCTTGATTGTACTGGATTGCTGGGTGTTTGTAGAATATACTTTCTACGCTTACCAAGACTTCTGTTTTACCGTTTGGATTCAAGGTAGCCTTCCTGGAAGCTGGTAAAAGTCTCGTTCGCGTTTATCGACTAAGGTAAACTCGTAATAGCATCAAGCATACTAAGTGACGAACGTATCACAGTGGTCCCAAGGCTAGACGTCCGTGCGCAAGACCAGGGGCTTTAGGTTCGAATCCTACAAGTGGCAGGAGTCGTGGATGCGCACTGCCACTGACGAGCCCCATACGAGGACGAAACGGTCGTCTTTCAGTCCTTCCAGGTTTCTAATGGTGGTCTAACAATAGTAAATGTGTTGAGCTGCATCACAAGAAACTTTTATATATATTCAGAAAAAAAAGTAGGAAAGATATTTACTGAATAATAATTACCTGCTCATAATTATGATATTCATTGTTATAAAGTAGAACTAAAAATGCTCGAGAAGCTGCAGTTCGTTCAGAGGCTGTACGCATAGGTCGTGGTGGAAATAATCTAGGATGATATGTTCTTGCTCGTTCCAACTGTGCTAAGCATCTAGCTTCTACATCTACAGCAGAACGACGTTTAGGAGCAGTTCTTGGCCAAGCATCTTGTCGTAGTACTGATGCATCTTCACTAGGTGAAACTAGCGGAATATGTGATAAAGGTGGTGGCCAATCATCCCATGTATTCTCATTATCCATTTTATAATCAACTAACCCGTCATCTGTTGACCATAAATCCACAACTATCTGTTGTTCAGTATCATTTCCATCCATTGGACAATCTGTGCTTGATGTTTCTAAATGTAGTCGATTACTCAACGGTTCTGTTGATAGACGAGATGTGCCCTAAGAAGGAGGAGTTGGAAGTAGATTGTCAAAAACAAGATAACTATATTGTGAAGTACACATAAAACAATTACAAAGGTAAGACATAAGTAACAACTTTAAAGCGACACGAAAACTAATGGTATATGAATTACAAATATGCAAACACGTAGAACGAGAGAGAACAGAACAAATTCCTCCAGCTGAAGGAGAAATCAGCAAGAAGCGCCGGAGGTGGATAGGACACAAATTGAGGAAAGCACCCAACTGCGTCACAAGGCAAACCCTCACATAGAATCCTCAAGGTTAAAGGAAAAGACGAAGACCAAAGAACATATTACGCTGAGAATCGAGAGCAGACATGAAAAGAATGAACAACGAATGTATAGAACTGCAAGAGCAGGTCCGGGACAGACCACGTTGGAGAATGCTGCTTAGCGACCTGTACTCCAGGAATAATAATAGACGTAACTAAATAAATAGAACCAACAGCACACTAAGTGTTGAGCGAGATGGACAAGTAAATCACTATCATTTCAAACCCTAATCAAACTCAATGGAACACTAGAGATTAGGCGTTCGCGCTCAATACCGAAGGTCCTAAATTCGAATCCTGCTAGGTGGAGGAGCCGTGGACGCTCAGTGCCACTGATGAGTCCCATACCAAGACGAAACGGCCGTCCAGTGCTTCCAGGTCTAACTTGGATCAATTCATGATTTCAAATGTGTAACTTAACAATCTTCACAACCCCGTGGTAGTGCACCTGCGCCATTGCAAACGATTTTAAGCCATGTCATTCAAGTTCTCTAACCATTGGTGACTTTCGTCTGGCGGACCCCAACCAGGTAGCCTACATCTGCCAAAATGACTCAGTCCACTTGTCAGTGACTTCATGGATTTCTGCGACGTTTTGGTTTGGCCGCCACTAGTTTTCTCAAGCCCGTAATACAGGAGGAGGTAAGAGCATGGGGCTAGCAACCCCCACCCGCAGAAAACTAGCTCGCTAAAGAAAAATGCTAACCAAAAGAAATCATTCAAGTAAGTAAGGAGAGTAATATTTTTAGCTTTATGAAATGCTGCTGCTTCTAACAAAAGCTGAAGTAAATGAAATATGTGATCTTCATTACGAAAACGGATTGACAATCACCCCCAAGTCAAGGTAGCCGCTACGGATGGGACATTATCTTTATCGTTATGAACAGAAAGAGTATTCAGCACAAACTTATGCTGACTAGTCAGTGTGAGTCAGTTGCAGCGTAGTCACTCAGTCAGTCAGTTGCAACGTAGAACTTCGTACATAAGTACATCAGTTCATGTTGCCATACCACATCAGAACAGAGATGTAATTGTCAATTCAAATCCCATAGTGGTAGAGGTAGCAGAAGTATTATCTGTAATCGGAGGTTAGGATTAGAAGATATTATTCAAGAAGCATGATTCAGTGAGATAAGTTCAGAAAGAAAAAAATAGAGGTGTTGAAGAATACAGAAGATTAGGATTTGAGAGAACACAAAGAATGAATGCACCGCCACCATTGCGAACGATTTTGAGCCATGTCGTTCAAGGTCTCTAACCATTGATGACTTTCGTCTCGCGGACCCTAACCAGGTAGCGTATATCTACCAACATGATTCAGTCCACTTGTCAGTGACTTCATGGATTTGTGCCATGTTTTGGTTTGGCCGCCCCTAGCTTTCTTCCAACCTACTCCTACACTTCAAAACAAAGCTCGTTGAGGCAGTCGGTGGTTAGGCATACGCAGCACATGTCCCAACCACTTCAACTGAAAAAGTTTCACCACTTCATCTATTGATCTGCTATTCTTACCTAGCAGTCGTTTCCTAACGACAGCATTGCTTACTCGGTTAGGGTTTTTATAACAATGGAGATTTGATGCTACTTTCACTGTGATGATGTACTGTATTGTAAAAATTAAACAAATACCAGACTTCATGTTACCACTAAAGCCGATTGATTATTTCCGAATGACGTTGATGATGATGACGATGACGCTGTACATAATAAAACAAGTTTTAATTTGTTATAACAGTCATTCTCATTTACATACTGGATGGTGACATCAAAATGACAAAAAGTTGTAAACCATAGCAAAGATGTAATAGTATTTGCCCAATTGAAATCATCAATCAATCATTGTTATTAGACAACCATTAGAAATCTGAAACCACTGGATGGCGGATTTCGTTTTGATATAGGTCTTATATCAGTGGCAATGCGTATGTATCCACAACTCCTGCTACTCGCAGGATTCGAACCTAGGACCTTCGGTCTTGCGTGCGAACGGTTAACCAGGACAAAAAACGGCCGTCTTTCAAGTGATTGTAGGTTTCTAATGATGGTCTAATAAGAATAATGATTGATTGATGATTTCAGTGTGTAAAACAAACACTCATCTCTATAACTCTAATTGAAAAACCTATATTCACCTTTAAGAAATAAGAAATGAAAGGTTTATTAATTAATAAACATCATAAAAAGTAATTTATTATGTGAATGATACATAAACCATGCAAATATTAAGTCATCTTACTTGAATTAAATCAGTAAGACATAGAATTGAACTATTTATTAAAGGTTTTAATAATTTCCCTGTACGCAGAACAATATCCCTAGGTAGGTTGTGAATTCGTCGACGAAGATTTTCCAATTCAGATTTTAATTTCACATCGATATTATCGGTATTAGCAAGTTTGGATAAATTGTTTGCTTCAGTTTCTTTAATTTTCGATTTGATTTTGTGACTTTTACACCAAGCATCAGAACGCCAAGCCTCATGATCACCACAATCACAATAACCAACACCAGCGGATGTGCTTATCTGTATAAATAGAATGCGATAAAAAGGGAAAAAAATAACAGCAAACGACATTGAAGATTATGATTCATTCTGTAATGCTATTAAGTAGTCTGACTTGATCAATCAAGCGACTTTATATTCGAAAATTAAAACATAACGAGAAAAAAACACAACAATAACATCGTGGTTATAATATCGAACAGACAGACAGATACAACGCAGAACTTCGTAATTAAGTACATCAGTTCAGGTTGCCATACCACATCAGCACAGAGACGCAACTGTCAGTTCAAATCCAAGAGTGATAGCAATAATAGAAGTATTAGCAGTAATGGAGAAGAAGATTAGGGAGCAAAGAAATGATTCGAAAAATATAATTCAGTGAGATAAATTAAGAAGGAGAAAGATAGAGATTATGAGGAATTCAGATGGTTAGAATTAGAGAGAACACAAACAGTGGATGCACTTGCGCCATTGCAAACAATTTAAGGCCATGTCGTTCAAGGTTTCTAACTATTGGTGACTTTCGTCTCGCGGACCCCAACCAGGTATCCTACATCTACCAACATGAGTCAGTCCACTTGTCAGTGACTTGATGGATTTGTGCCATGTTTTCGTCTGGCCGCCCCTAACTTTCTTCCAACCTACTCCTACACCACAAAACATAGCTCGTCGAGGCAGTCGGTGGGACTTCAATTGTACTCTATTTTAGTAAGTAACAATCAGTAAATAGAGCATCTTTTTATTAAATTGCGGCATACGTATTAGTTAAATGAATAGCAAGTTCAAATTTTAAAAAATTTTTTACCTACTTTACACATTGAAATCATGAATGAATCATTGTCAGACAACCATTAGAAACTTGGAAGAACTGAGAGAAGACCGTATCGTTCTAGTGTACGACTCAATGGGAGTGCTTATCCACGATCTACGCAATCGGAGATCGAACCTAGGACCTTCGGTCTTACACACGGACGCCTAACCTAGGGACCACTGATCCGGCATCCAACAGTGTTAATTTTTAACTCTGATCAATCTCAGGTATTGCGCAACCTTAACCACTGTCTTCGATAGTTACTACCTACACTGGACAGGATTGAACTCTACTGGTCATGGCTTCTCATTAGAACGTCGAGAACTCTCTCACAAAGCTAGTTACTAGTCAGCACGAAGCTATTCACTAGTTAGTTGTTACGCATGAACGTAAACATGCCATTTGAGATGTTTGAACTATTACGAGTTTACCTTAATCGGAAAATGAGAACGAGGATAGAGGATCCGGCGACACAACATGCTACTCAAACTCGATTATCCCAACCCCCATACTGAGTAAAAATAAGAAGACTTGGTATGAAGTAGAACCTGTATTCTACAAGCATCCAGAAAGTACGAGGTCTAAGTCCAGAAGAGAATCAGGATCTCGGACTAGGGATTCGGGTCCGAGCAATAAAACGTTACAGACAATGTGTATTTATATATTTGCGTCGAATATGAAACAGCATCAAAGTCTGTGACATTAACAGTTAAATCGACCAATATGTAACTGCATTTGAAGTGACTTTAACAGTCAGGACAACCAATAAGAAACAACATTAGAGTACATGACATTGATATCTAGGACGACCATAAAATTGACCAGTAGGAATTAACCAATAGAAATTGACCAATCATTCTCTTAGGATATTGGATGAATATCCTAACAACACTAGTGAGCACATCATTTTGATTTTGCATGACAGTACTATAGAGATTGTTCTTTTTACACAATTGAAATTATGAATGAACACTTAAGTGATAATACTATTACTAGTCTTCACATACTACTACTACTACTACTACTACTACTACTATGGAGTGAAATGAATGTTTTTAGAATGACAAACGAAATAACAAAAGGCATAACAAACAAATACTACCAGCCAGCAATAACTTACTTTATAATTATGTTTAATGTGAACACTATTAACGAAACATTCTCTACATAACACACATGTTGGATCGATTGCACAATCACTAAAAAAATACGCACACACAAAAAAAAAATAAAACAAACAGTTAGTTGCTAAAAACAAAAAAAATGGATAGACTAAAATATGATCTGAAATTGTGAAGTACTACTTATAACGCACAAACTTATCAGATGGATAATATATATAAAATGTAACTTGAAGCATACTTGGATTGGATGATGTGTCGTGGATCAAAGAGTATAGATAATAGCCAACGTCTACTGCAGCTAAGCACAGATAATTGCCTATTTCTAGCATGGAGAAAAACACCTAGACCATATCGGTATTAGCCACCGATGGAGGAGGTCGATAGAAGACTGACACTCGTTCTGGAGCACATGTATAGATTCAGATTATGCTCCAGTACGAGCGCGTATTCGTCTGCGGCTTACTGGATGTAGGAAAGACACAGCCAGGAAACCTCTTAGAATTCTACTTGAAGATAATAACGCCAATCAGAAGAGCAATTAGGGAGCCATGTAAATGATGCCCATCATGATGTAGCTTGGAACGGTATCCATGAAGTTGTAGAAACGACAGTTGTATATGCCAGTAAGGTAGACCAAATCTTAATGAGGTTGAAAATGTTATTGGTAAGCTAAGGCGAAGGAGAGCAGCAGGCTCTGATAGCCAAACCCCTGAGATGTTTAAGGATGGTGGTCAAGCCTTGGCAATGAGATTGACTGGGATCTTAGGTAGAACCTGGGGAATGGGCATAATCCCATCTGACGGGTCTCATCCACTGATTTCCCCAGTCCTCTAGTGACAATCACAGAGGATTCAGTTTAATTAATGTAGTATGCGAGATATCAGCTTCAAAAATACTTAGACCCCTAACTAAAGCTCGTGAACAGCAGACTCGAAAAAAAAAACTAATCTCAGTACTGGACGTGGATGTTTAGACCATATATTCATACATCGTCAGGTCCTAGAACACACCTAGAACACCTTGACCTTAAGGTGACGCTTGACCCTGTTGATTGTGAGGTTCTATGGCTATGTCTGTCACTGCAAGGAGTACCAAAGAAATAAATAAACCCTGCAAAGGCTCCCTAATCGAATACTACTGGTCGATTGAGAGCTTATGGAGAACTTTTATCGGAATTCTTTGCTTCAAGTAACTCCGCCAATTGAGCGGCCTATGCTCCATTGGGGGTAACAGGCGTAAGTAAGTACGTAACTCCGCCAATAGAACCTTACGGGCAACTGCCGGTCCCAAGCCCGGATAAAGGAGGAGGATTGGACATAGGGTTGGCGACCCCATTACGTCGAAATCTAACTTGCCAAAAAAACACTAACCAGAATAAATAATCCAAACCATTTTAACTCTGCCCTGGGAGTTGGAAGAACAATTATGACGTCTCGTGATGAAAGCCGAGTTCCCTCGGAGGTCACGGGGCCGATGCCTCTTCTCACAACCAGAGCAACCATTTTTTTAGGTACATGGAACGTTCGTACATTGTGGGAGACTGGAAGACTATTTCAAGTTGCGGCAGAAATGAAAAGATACAACCTCGAGGTGCTTGGAATCAGCGAAACGCATTGGACACAGGTAGGACAACTGAGACTAGCTTCAGGGGAACTGCTGTTATACTCTGGTCATGAAGAGGAAAACGCTTCACATACACAAGGAGTTGCACTGATGCTGTCCAAACATGCACAAAAGGCACTGATAGGATGGGAATCTCATGGACCCAGGATCATTAAAGCATCCTTCAAAACAAAGAAACAGGACATTACAATGAACGTCATCCAATGTCATGCACCTACCAATGACTACAATGACGACGTTAAGGATCAATTCTACGAAAGGCTGCAGTCAGTCGTCGATAAATGTTCACCAAAGGATTTGACGATTCTTATGGGAGATCTGAATGCCAAGGTTGGAATGGACAACACTGGATATGAAGACATCATGGGACGACATGGACTGGGAGAAAGGAACGAAAACAGTGGGAGATTTGCAAACTTATGTGCCTTCAATAAACTGGTCATTGGTGGCACAATATTCCCGCACAAACGCATACACAAAGCCACATGGATTTCACCGGACCACACTATTCAAAACCAAATTGACCATATCTGTATCAAAAAAACGTTCAGAGGGATCATGGAGGATGTGAGAACCAAGAGAGGAGCTGATATAGCTTCAGATCACCACATGCTGGTCGCCAAAATGAAACTGAAACTAAAGAAGCACTGGACAACGGAGCAGACATCACAGAAGTTTAATACATTCTTTCTTCGAGAAACTGTAAAGCTCAACGAATTCAAGATAGCCCTCACCAATAGGTTCCAGGCCTTGCACGATATACTCAATGGAGAGGACGCAACATTGGAGAACAATTGGAAAGGGATTAAGGAGGAAATCACTTCAACATGTCACGAAGTTCTGGGTTACAAGAAGTACCATAACAAAGAATGGATCTCTGTTCATACTCTTGCAAAAATCGAAGAAAGGAGGAACAAGAAGGTAGCAATCAATGTCAGCCGAACAAGAGCGGATAAAGTTACCGCACAAGCTGCATACACAGAAGCAAACAGGAAAGTGAAGAAGAGCATCTGAGCTGACAAACGAAAATATGTGGAAGATCTAGCAATGACGGCGGAAAAGGCTGCAAGAGAAGGAAAATTGAAACAATTGTACGAAACTACAAATAAGCTCGCCCGAAACTATCGTAAACCAGAACGACCAGTGAAAAGCAAGGAAGGCAAAGTAATCAGCAACACTGAACAACAGCGAAATAGGTGGGTAGAGCACTTTCAGGAACTCATGAATCGACCAGCTCCACTGAACACACCCAACATCGAAGCAGCATCTACGGACCTCATAATCGATGTTGAGGCACCTACAATCGGGGAGATCAGCATGACCATCAGACAAATCAAGAACAGCAAAGCAGCAGGACCAGACAACATTCCAGCAGAGGCAATGAAAGCAGATGTAGAAGCAACTGCGAAAATATTTAACATTCTCTTCAAGAACATTTGGGATGAGGAACAAGTACCATCAGATTGGAAAGAAGAATACCTGATCAAAATACCAAAGAAAGGCGATCTCAGCAAGTGTGAGAACTACAGAGGCATCACTCTTCTTTCAATACCAGGCAAAGTCTTCAACAGGGTATTGTTAAACAGAATGAAGGACTTCGTAGACGTCCAACTTCGAGATCAACAGGCCGGATTTCGTAAGGATCGATCGTGTACTGACCAAATTGCTACATTACGGATCATTGTGGAACAATCAATTGAATGGAACTCACCACTCTACATCAACTTCATCGACTACGAGAAAGCATTCGATAGCGTGGATAGGAAAACACTGTGGAGGCTTCTTCGACACTACGGTGTGCCTGAGAAGATAGTTAACATCATATGGAACTGCAAAATCGTACACGGAGGACAGCTAACAGACTCCTTTGAGGTGACGACAGGTGTCCGGCAAGGTTGCTCACTCTCAACCTTTCTCTTTCTCCTGGTGATCGACTGGATTACGAAGACGTCGACATCTGGAGGGAAGCACGGTATTCAGTGGACAGCTAGGACGCAGCTGGACGATCTGGACTTCGCAGATGACCTGGCTCTTCTATCGCACACGCAACAACAAATGCAAGAAAAGATGACCAGTGTAGCAGCAGCCTCTGCAGCAGTAGATCTCAACATGCATACAGGAAAAAGCGAAATTCTCCGATGCAACACAACATGTGCCTACCAAATCACTCTTGATGGAGATGCATTGGAGGATGTTAATACCTTTACATATCTGGGCACTCTCATCGACGCGAAAAGTGGATCCGATGCAGATGTGAGGGCGCCGATTGGCAAAGCAAGGGCTGCATTTCCACAATTGAACAACATCTGGAACTCTAAATAACTTTCAACCAAAACCAAAATCACGATTTTCACTACAAATGTCAAGACAGTTCTACTGTATGGAGCGGAAACATGGAGAACTACCAAAGCCACCATCCAAAAGATACAAGGTGTTTATTAACAGTTGTCTACGCAAAATACTTCGGATTCGTTGGCCAGACACCATCAGCAACAACCGACTGTGGGAGAGAACAAACCAGATTCCAGTGGAGGAGGAAATCAGGAAGAAGTGGTGGAAGTGGATAAGACACACACTACGGAAAGCAACTAACTGCGTCACGAGACAAGCCCTCACATGGAACCCTCAAGGCAAAAGGAAAAGATGAAGGCCAAGGAACACATTACGCCGAGAAATAGAGAGAGATATGAGAGGAATGAACAAACATTGGGCAGAACTGGAGAGGGAAGCCCAGGACAGAGTTGGTTGGAGAAAACTGGTGGGCGGCCTATGCTCCATTGGGGGCAACAGGCGTAAGTAAGTAAGTAAGTTTGCATCGAATGGTGCCCGTCAGGGCTGCCAACTTCATCCATTCTTATGCAACTTTGTCACAGACATGCTTTTACAAACGACACTTTCATAATCTGATTTTTCAGGGGTGCACTCTCTACCAGGGAACTCGCTTGTTGACTAAGAATATGCCGACGACATAGTTCTACTTAATAAAGACGCTGACAAAGTGCAGTCTTCTGATTACCCTAAGCAACAATGCAAGCATGTTTGGGATGCGGTCCTCACCCTCGAAATGCAAAATGTTGCTTCAAGATTGGGTTGCATCGGCACCTGAACTAGTGATAGGGAGTGAAGTAGTTGAGCGTGTTGATCGCTTCACTTATCTGGGGAATCTCATCAGTGCCGATGGCCTAGTGACTGACGAAATCTCAGCTCGGATACAGAAGGCTCGATTGGCTTTTGCCAACCTGCGTCACTTATGGCGTAGGCGAGATATCCGTTTGCTGACTAAAGGACGAGTGTACTGCGCAGTAGTTCGCTCCGTCTTACTTTATGGCTGTGAAACATGGCCAGTGAGAGTAGAAGATATTCGTAGGTTACTGGTTTTCGATCATAGGTGTCTTCGAAGCATTGCTCGTATATCGTGGGACACCCGAGTGAGCAACGCTGTTATTAGGAATCGGGTACTAGGTAAGAATGGCAGATCAATAGACGCAGTAGTGATACTTCATCAGTTGAGGTGGTTGGGACATGTGCTGCGTATGCCTAACCACCAACTGTCTAGACGAGCTTTGTTTTGTAGTGTAGGAGTAGGTTGGAAGAAAGCTAGGGGCGGCCAGACCAAAACATGGCACAAATCCATGAAGTCACTGACAAGTGGACTGAATCATGTCGGTAGTTGTCGACTACCTGGTTGGGGTCCGCGAGATGATAATAATCGATGGTTAGAGACCTTGAATGACATGGCTCAGAATCGTTTGCAGTGGTGCCGGTGCATTTATTCTTTGTGTTCTCTCAAATCCTAATCTTCTGGATTCTTCAACACCTCTAGTTTTGACTTTCTAAACTTATCTCACTCAATTATACTTCTTGAATCATATCTTCTAATCCTAACATCTTCGATTACTTCTAGTACCTTTACTACCTCTACTACTACTGGATTTGAATTGACAGTTACATCTCTGTGCTGATGTGGTATGGCAACATGAACTGATGTACTTATGTACGAAGTTCTACGTTGCATCTGACTGACTCAGTTACAGCTTAGAACTTCGTTCATACGTACATCAGTTTAGTTCGCCATACCGCATTAACTCGGAGCCGTTTACTTCGCTTATTACAAGTCTGGCTAGAAATGCTTAGTCATGCTACATCGCATGGGAATTGGCTTGCTCGTCTACTCCACTTTTATTCGCTTGTAAGCTTTTCGTCCTTGTTTTCACGAATGATTTCCTAAAATAAACTCATCCAACAGAATCTGTATTTGACTCCTTATTACCACTGTCACACACAAACGGGGTTCACCTAATTATGACAAACGGAGAGTGAAGAGGGGATTTATTTCATAGTATATTTAGAATGTTCATAAATATCAGTCAGCTCACGGGCCACTAAAGTAGTGAGTCCAACCCAATGTGCTAACGTAGTATGAAAATATGAAATAAAATAAGTACGTACCAACTTCTACATTGCAGCTGACTGACTAATGTGTAAACTTAATCGAGGCGATTTTATACTAGCGTTTGCTGCTATTTTTCGCACTTTGATTTGTTTGATCGGAGATTTTGTACAGGAAGCATTAAACTATGAAGTAATTAGTACACTTATCAGGTCACCTCTACATAAAATGCTGTCTAGACTGGAAATAGATTAAAAGAAAACTAGGAGCTCTTAAACTAAGAATAAATGTGTGCCACAATATTCAAAGCTTATTCGGATAAGACTCGTCTTGGGACTACAGAACTATTAGTAATGAATGCCAAACTATCGGTAATATGACTTTGCATATAATATAACCGGTCAGGCATACAGAAACTAAAAAGAATCTCTCATTATTTCGGTCCGTAAAACTTCTCACAAATATGGAGCACATCTGTTGCTCGGTCAATCTAACTATTATGAATGTAAAAGTCTATGAGATCGGTTGTGTAGCAATTTTAAAATAGACACAACCACGCTGCTAAAAGCTTCCAAACTTTGCTGATATTATGCAAGGAAGAAACTATGCTGGAACATGTCCTGAACGTTTCACCTAGTACTCAAAAGCTAAAAAAAAATATGTTAAGAGATTTAGACGAAAAATACTAACTTGTTTGCATCTGATAGTTTTTAGCACACCAAAATAAGAACTAACGTTATGTACTTAAATATCATGTTATCATCTTTGTTTGATGCCTTTAAGACACAATAAGACATTTTTAGTAGCACAATTAGTAGGGCATTATTGACATTGTGTTCTTATGCTGACTACTGAAGGCTAAACAATGAGGGAAACGAGCAATGGTCAACCATAACAAACGGGATAGCAGTAACGTACTCTGCGTCAAAAAGAGCTTATTTATGCTAATCCCTGATAGTTCTTATACCGATCAGTAGTGCTTATGGTCGTATAGATCGGCAGTTATAGTACATAATCAGCCAATCTATACACATAGGGTTGTGAAAAAATTTGCCTTATTACCTGCAACAGTAAGTTGGTTCATTGGCCTGAAATATTCGACCACATATACCTTGTTCACTTGGAGCCAAGGATTGCAAATACGCTTCAAGTCGCTTTGCACATTCACTCGAATCGGAATACTTAAAAAATTCCTTCCCAGCAATAAACAACTCGAAACTGCGAAATAATGTCCGCTCTAAGGCAGCGTATTCTGATTTGCTTGACTCAAAGTCACTGTCACCAAATGTTTCAGTTGACATGTTATCAGCAGGTTTGAAAACTTGAGGAGTGCATACTTCAAGAGCTTGTGTTCTGACCTCATCGTACAACAAGCGCTCGAAATTTGCATCATCTGAAGACAGTAAGGCCTCTGCAAATTGCTGAAAATTTAATGATTAAGAAACAACTATTTGCTAACCATTTGGAATCCGCCGTAACCACTGACTTTATAAGCTGCGCTATCAAAGTGCTCCAATAACCAATATCTTTTTCACGAGCTATTATAAACCAGTTGATATTTTTGACCTCGATTCTTGTTCTTCCAGTATGGTTCTGGGTGTTCGGTAGTGTCTAATGAATGGGAGTTCAACCACTCGACTGTCTAATTCTAATCAGTTGGCAGTTGGTTGTGAGTTTGTATGTCTCGTGATTTGTTTCAGGGCAGTAGGGTTTCGGGATACCAGCAGCTATCACATTACCAGAGCGGAGATCAGTTAGACGCAAATTGGATAATATTGAGGAGAAAATTATGATGCTAATATGAATAAGATTTCAGAATTAAGTAATATATAGATAATTTAGTTTATCAATTGGTAGTGAAGATTCTGCGAGAAGACCGAAGTGTAACCAAGGTAGAGGAAAAAGAAATAATAGGTGAGATAGATTAAGTCGGTGATCTGAGAATATGGCGATAATAACAACTAGCAGGTCTCAAGATAAGCATCATGTGGAGTGGAACGCTTCTACGAAGATTTGTGAAAAATAAACATTATTGTACTCGTTTAGTTTAACTGTACCAAAAACACTTCTTCCACTTCTTGCGCGCAACGTTCTCTTCTCGTTGCTGCCATTTTTCTAAATGCCCTGCTCCACATGTAATGCCAACGCTCTCCTTCAATAAAATACTCAATCATGGATTTATTTTGATTTTACTGATGGCGGGATGTTATGGAACATTTAGTGGTGAGCATAGTCAACCTGGAATTTTGACTCGCTCACTACACATGTACAGCCTATCCGAAGAGATGATACTCCGTATGTGAATACTGCCCATTCTCCAATAGGTTTAAGGACCTTTTGAAGCTTGTTCGAATCCTCCGCTTCTAATGGACCTCAAGATCTTCGCATTGTCTGCGTAGATCAATTTTGGTGAGCTAACTCTTTGACAGGTCGTTGATTAATTTCAGGAGGAGAAGTGGACCTAAGATGGTCCTCTGTGAAACTCCCGATTTGAATACTCGCCTGCTCACGTGCACTCTATTTACCTTAGTACGAAACTTTCTATTCTCAAGGTAGTTTCTGAGCCAAGATAGGAGTGGGTCAATGAAGCCCATTCCCGCAACCTTTGAGATTAGGCATGCGCGGGATACTGTGTCGAAGGCTTTTTCAAAGTCGAGAAATACTACCTGCACCGGTATTTTTCGGTTTAAGCAGGATGTCCAACAGTCCCATGCTATGGGAAGATTAGATGCACCCTAACTGCCTTCCCGAAACCTGTGTTGAGCTTCACGGAGTATTTTATCCTTATACATGTACTCCCTCATTTATCTGTTCACCAACCCTTCAATTACATTTGATAATATTGGTAGTAATGTGACTGGTCTGCAACAGTCTGGGTCCTTCCTATCTATTAGAAGACTGGGGAGAGAGTAGCTTGTTTTCATTCAGCTGGGAGTTGGTGTGACTACAGTGAATGCCTGAACGGGTCACATATAGGTGGACAGAGGACTTCTGTACATTACTTCAAGACCATGGGACGAATAATATCACAACCTGGTGACTTTCCTGGGTGTAAGGATTTTAGTTTCCTCAGTACTCAGTCAGGAATAATACGGATATTCCCTAAGCCGTCAGCCGGCATTCGGTCAGTGTATTACTCTGAAGATGTTGATGCCTGGCTTAACTGCTCAGTGAAGTTTTTGTTGAAGATCTCGACCATCTCTAGCTTGGTGAGGTCTTCCCTATTCGGACCTTTGAGAGAACACAAATCCTGATTCGTAGGTTTTCTTTTGGTCACGAACCTAAACAGCTGCTTCCGATTTGCTCGTATTTTTGCAACCAGCTTAATCTGAGAGCGTCTCCTGTCACTTCGAACTTTGGTATTGCATCTGTTTCTCAATGCCAAGTAAGAACTAGGATCAAAATTCTTCAAGGAGACCTCCCACTTGTTCCAGTTTCTCCTCTCCGCCTGTAACAAGCGTTCAGTGTCGCGCCTAACCCATGTTTTTCTATTCAATGGCAATCTAAAGCAGTGGACAGGTAGTCTAAAAGAGCCACTTAATTTCGATTTGGAATGGTCAAATCTCTGGGTAATCTGTGATAGTCTAAATATAATCAATCTTCCTATAGGCCGTGTCCATGGAGAGGGTTTCAGTTATTACTTTTGTTTGACCTCAACTTTACTTATTGGAATCACGAAATGGTTGCCACCTTAGTGTATATTTTTAGGTAGCTAGAGGCGTTTTTCGTTTAACAAACTGTAGGGTGATGCAATGTAGTTAATAAGACATATCGTAATACTGCATGATGTATCTGTGAAGCAGTCTAAACTGCCAAAGGTCTCCTGTCAGACCAGTTTGTAAAGCGATGGGCAGCAACTCAATCGGTTTTCATATATTCTCAAATAATAAACATCTCACAAGAGGCGTGCCAATTTACAGGCAAGATCAAAATATAAAGATTGGCAAGATATTTCTTTTAAAACGCAGTACAGTTACTGAAATATTTCACAAAATACGTTTGCTACACATAGATGGCTAGAATTTTTCTACAAAAAACCATAGATAATTTTGCAGACTCAAAAATGTACAGTGCGAATAAGTGACGCGAGTTACAAAGGTTGCGTTACGACGAGCTTCTTAATGACTACGAAACAATGCAAGGTAGAACCAGGTCTGCATATAACCAGAATTGATTAGGTAAATGTGCTAAGATCTGGTTGATATTCGTCAACTAGTAAATTTACAGGCTCCTGGGTAATGCAACCAAGTCTTCGGCAAATATCCAGACTAATGTATAAGGATTGGAATAAGGTACTGAAAAAAGATAAATAAATAGAACGGGGTGAGGAGCAGGACAGAAAATATTCTTGTTTAAAGCCGAATGATGACTCAACAGATACTTTTTCGGATAGAACAAAGGCTCGTTTACTCAGACTTTTTCATATTTTAACACTAACTGTTCACCGGCACTTATATAGGTCAGTGAAGACAATTCACTAGTAACATAACGAATGGACAATTAATAGTATTAATAGAGAAAATTCAGCATAACCAAATTGTTAGCAACAACGTTGATTTACAGAATACAATAATGCGTCACAATGACCTGATGCTTCTGTGATATTTTACTTATTCTTTTTCTTTTTCACGCTGTGGTTCAAAAAGTTGTGAATGAGCACTTTTTCTGCATAATTGTCAAAATCTGCTTTTAATGGGATTTCTTGGTAGGAAGGTAAAACCAGTGCAAGTTTATGGCCATGAGTTGTAGACGAGGTTAACGAGGAAAACTAACATCAATATCACTGATTAGTTACATCCTGCTATATCTTAAGGAGCCGTAAGCAAACAAAATGTTCTGCCATACAGACATCGGTAGATTGAGGTTATCGTCCCACCATCATGAATGCTGGTCAGATACACCACCTGTAAATGGATTTTCTACCGTAGCAGTTCAAATGGTTTCCAATAAGTGCAATCTGTACGCGTATCTCCCAGTCCAATATTAAAAACACGATAATTCTAGGAGAAAACGGTCTATATTATATTAAAAGATGGAAATACAAAGCAATACCTGGAATTGATGCACTTTCCAGGTCACAATTACTCCGAAGAGTATCCAAGGCAAGGTAATAAGTCCAACCGCCACCGTATCAATCCAAATATGGCTGTAGCCATATTAAAGATCAAATTTAAACAACATATATACAGTTCAGAAGCAAACATAAAAACTTCAATATAAGTACAAAATATAGAAATAATAACAATATACAATGATAAAATCTCAAATTGGAATCAAATAAAATACCAAAAATGTCAACAGAAAGAGTCCGTCATGTCATAACAAAAATATGTAAACATGGAGGGATTTTCCAAAAAACAAAACATTCAAAAAGGATTCTACACCACCCTGCCTCCTTTTGTGGTGTTAGGCTCTCTTACGTTTAATGGTTGATTGTAAATGATGTTTTCTAGTCTACTCCCTATTTTTCGTACACCTTATCGGAGTTCACTTCCTCTACTAGCTCCACGTTACACACAACTTTGCCTTCTGTATGAAAGACAAAATATCCACGTAGCATGCCAGAATGAGTTTAACTAAACAAATGGTATACATTGTAAGATATGTATCAGTTAGTAGGTAGTTTGGAGATAGGAAGGACAGTGAGCTGAAAAAGAAGAAAGAGAAAAGAGAATTGGAATAATGTTAAAAATTATTGAGAAAAGCGATATGTTGGTAAGCAGGCAAGGTGTTTGGATGCTGATGAATTGGGGAAATAAAAATTTACTAAACTGTTAATACTTAAATAAGAAGGAACTCACAGTGATACAGGGAGTTTGAGTTCCTTGTAATTGACAGTAGTTGATAAGCATCTACAGGCTTCCCAATTTGTCTGTTCACTAAAACTGCTTTGAAGATATGAAGATAATGATTGGAATTTAAATTTAGATAAAAGTCACGGGTAGCACCTTTAAATCGTAACCTATTACTGTTAGTAGGAGCAGGAGGATTTGTCTATCATTTCGTGATAGCTATATCAATGGTAATGCGGGCATAATATGTTCATAGTATGTAATTAGTTTCTAAGGTTGATCTAAATATTTGGTGGACAATAAAAGAGTGCCTAGGGACATGGTGTGAGTTCCGGGAATAGTCGATAAATCTCTTTAGAGTAGTCTAACAACAGCATTACTAGTTTGCTGAACTTAGTGATTGAGTCACAGATACGAATAATAATTGGTAACCTGTTCCACAATCGACTGTATCGTATTACAAAAAAATTACAACGTAATGATTTTTCGTGTTTTTCTGTTAATAGTGTATGTGCGTCGTTTCGAAGTCTGCAAACAGTGTCGTGTTTCATAATTGGGCGGTATTTTAAGAACGAGAGACAATTTATCAGTGTATAGAGAAGTATTGGGTTGTTTTTCAACCGACGGCGCCATAGAGGTTCTAGACAAAGATGATTGCATCTTTTTGTGT